TACTGCAACCACAACTACGGGCAATAACATCAAAGCTGTGGACGTACTCCTAGACCAACAAGTTCCTCACGCAGAGTCCTCCATTCCCATTTCGCCGAAGGATGTGGAGCAGAAAAACCAGAAAGAAGCCGCGGATTTACCGGGTTTCGACGAGGAGTTTGACATTGAGGAGGAATTAGCAGAAGCTCGGGAGTTTCTACTCCTTGCTAGTACAACGCACCATGGGGAAGTGTGGAAAGTGGAAAAAGATTTTCAGGGTTTTGTTCACAACACAACTGTTGGCGGTGTGCTGGGAATGAATTATCATCATCGTGGTGATTATTTGCCACCCACCGGACTGAAACGGCTATTCATCACGGAAAATCAGCTGGAAGAGCAGCACAGATTGATCCACGACCCCGCAGACCCGGTCGATTTCCTTCGGGAGCCAGGGTGTACTGGTTTGGTGTCCGAAGTTTACATTGCGTCTATGCCCGTTATGTCGGTGACAACCGCTGATAACAAGAAAGATCGCCATCGCGATAAGAACACTTCGTCTTCAAGCGACGACAACGACAGTAGCAAGCAGCAGATGGAGTCCGCAGCCTCGCAGGAAATCTCGAAACATATGAACTGCACCAAAAGTATCGTACTCGTATAAAAGCATTACAAGAAATCTCCCCAGCGTGAGTAGAAATAAAATTTGTCATGCGGATTTACCCTAAGAAAAAAATTTGTAATGCGTGACTGCAATTACAACGAGTACGATACTTTTGCACAGGATGAAACAAGACGAGTTGGAATTTGACACGCCGCGAGACGGGCCGACGCCAGCGGATAATTCGGCGGTTTTTGAAAATGACATGATCGATGAAGAAGTCGCTTTCTACCGACCTTCGGTTCCGAAGGCAGTTTTTGAGCCGCGAATCACGGGGGATGTGGACGAAGTGTTGGTTGATGAAGATAGCAATTTCGAACCGGAAAGACTGGACATTTTAACCCGAAACAGTGCTCATGCGGCGAGGAGAGAGCGCGACGATAAAAATGTTGAAGCACATGATGGAATTAAAGCAGCACTACCAGCAGGGGCGGCGCATCACAAAAGAACCGACTCACCTGCGTCTTCAACGAAAAGGATAGAAACGCGAGTTTTCGCCCTGGTCACTTGGTGCTTGCCAGAGGGAAAATTCATACTCGCGATTCACCCGATAGAGTCTCTGGTCGTGACCCCGAGCGTCGCCCGGGCGTTCTGGTGTCCAAAAATGTCAGCCTCGATGGTGGAGACGGCAAAAAATGCCTACCGGTCATCCAGTGATGATCTTTCTGCCGCAGCAAGAGGAAGTGCAACGCTCAATCCCAACCGCAGCAGTAGCACCGGTGTAGTGGTGCCACCAAGATTCGCTGCGTCGTCGAGCCAAGATAGGGCGTCGATGATACTCAATTCTGTAAGTAGCAGTGCGGTCGAACGAGCAGGACAAGCTTTCGTATCTTCCGCGCAGCACGAATCATCTCTTCTCACCAACAGTGGTCAGGGCGGAGGTGGTACAACATCAAACCCAGTAGAGGCGGCAAAATTGCAACAATTACAGCTCAAAGAGAAGGAGAAGCATGAACTTCAAATTAAGCAAACAGACGACTTGATCGCGAAACTACTGCTCAAGCAAAAACTGCAGGAGCAGCCGTCGATTTGGCTAGGGTTATGCGTGCGGTACCACCCCGCGCCTTTGGTAATGACGAAGGTGTTGACGGTGGTGGATCGGTTTACGATTTCTCAGGAGATCGATCCGGATTTGGTCGTCTGTCTGTTCTTCGTGAAGCACACTGCTCCTGGAGGTAGTTCTTCATCTGCGGCGAACCAATTTGGCGCGACGGGTGCTACCGCTGCGGCAATTCAGAGAGCGCTGGGAGGAAGTGGCGGAGGAATTGCACAGGGTTCTGGAGGCGCAGTCGGTATCGCTGGATACGCCGGGGCGGGCGGTATTATGTCGCAGCAACAAATAAACCACCCGCAGAACAGCATGCAGATTCGGCTACATCACGACCACCACCACAACAATCACGACGGCGGCGCACCACAGACGCCAGGTCCTCATTCTGCCCACCAGCAGCCTCTTTCCGCGCAGCATCATTCAGCTGCTGTCGATCAGCACTATCAGGAGCAGCACTTGAATCAGCAAAATCTCCTCAAACGTGTGTTGAACAAGAAGCAAAACGAGTTGCCGATCCCTCTACCCTATCAGACCCCCACCGCGGTGAACCCAGCGGCCGACTGCGACATCCACGAGGCACCGCTTTGTCGACTGCGGGTGAGTCACAAGTCTGATCCGAGCTTGTGGTGGGAGACGGACATGTTTCGGTTACTCCCAGCTGGTTTGGATGATCACGAGTTGAAGAGAACTTTCCACGTCCCCTGGTCTTGCTGCTTGTCCGCGGGAGAGTCGAACAGAAACTTGATACTGGGATTGCAGCTGGGAGGGAGCACGGGCAGTACATCTAGAAGGGATAAATTTGCTCGAGACGAAAAGGAGAAAGTTGCCAAGCGTGGAGGTGGATCAAAATCGTCTTTCTCCACTTCCTCTTCGGATTCATCGGAAAGCAGCAGTAGTACTTCTGACACCGACTCAACAGCGAGTAGTGTTTTGTCCGATGACGACGCTGTATTGTCTTCTTCAAGCAGCAGCGGCAAATCAGCCTCCTCTTCCTCCGACGGGGGTGTCGCCGAGGAAAGACAAAGACCCAGCAGTCCGCAAAGCAGTGTCGGGCGACGAACCCAGCAGCCCACAAAGCAGTCTCTGAGCAGCTCCATGTATAATTTGTCAGGGAGAGACAGAGAAACTGAAGCACATCTCCATGATCACAACGACAAACCAGGTTCGGGTCGTACTACTCGACATCACGACAACGTTTTGTTCCCGCCAGAGAGACCAAGGAGCAAACCGAAAGCGTCACGGGATGATCACGAACTGCACGACGAGCCTGCTCAGCCCTCCTCCGCCAACGATGATAACAGTGTTTCTGTCAGCGTCAGCCTGGATGATAACAAATCCAAGGACTCGTCGTTAGTTCAGCCAAGGCAGCTGAAATTTGACGACTCGGAGCAGGAAGAAAGTAGGCAATTGGGGGACAAAAGCGTAAGCGAGAGCGAAAAGGAAAATAGTAAGCATGTAGCCTTTCACGAACAAACGAAGCTGCTACATCAAAACAGAAGTAGTACTATCACAGACAGCATCGGCACCCGAGACACCAACGTGCTCGCCAGCAGTGACCGCAGTTACAGTGCGGGCCTGCTTCCAGCGACTATTGGGGAGAGGATGTCTGTGACGCAGCTGATGCAGCAGAACGAACATCAAAGTGGAGCTGGGTCCGCCGGAGGTACAGACGGCATCAAAGCGCGCGCTTCCGTGAACAAAGGCGGTGTAGCTGCAGCAGGTTACGAAGCCGCCACAGGCGCGAAAGGTAGTAGACCACAACGCAGGAAAAAGATCTTTCCGCCAGCGGACATGATTCGGGTTGAGATCTCGAAGGATATGCAGCTGAAAAGCGGACTATCAAGTGCAAAAATGTCTGGGTCTGGAAGAATGCGACTTGTGATGCTGCATTTGGATTCCAAGAAAATCTGCATTGCATGAGTAGCAAAGGGAATGCAATTTTTGCTACGCTGAGAAGGCATTTGTCATGCGGAATAGGCATCAAGAAGCCCTCAAAAAATCTGTATTGCTAGGGTATGCATCACGGACATCATGGCTCATGCAAAACGTGCGTGACAACTGTCAGAACCTTCCAGACCCAGACATTTTTACAGTTGATACGGACTGCCGTATAACCACAACGCGTTGCAGATAAGACTGCAAAAACCGGACTTCTCGTCTCGTGTGGGGGATGATCACTTGATTAAAATCGAAAATTTAACCAACGAGCCGCTGTACATGCGATTAGAGGACGGGAATGATTTATCCGCTTCCTCGACGTCAGCTGATGTTGTGACCTCATCTATTTCCAGTGGAAATACTGCGAGCGCTGCAACATCGTCGGGTGGAAAGATGAAGCGAGCGAGCACCAATGCTGGGATCAAACTTGATCCGACGATTCTTTCTCCAAAGCACAACGCAAATCAAGGTGGTACTGCTACCAGTTCTTCGAAGACAGGCGCAAATGCTGAAGCTGTGGTGAAAAATCCGGCGAAGAACTTGCACCGGCGGGAAATCATTCTGTTTCCCAAAGATGTGCATGAAACTCGGGAAACCAAGCAGCACGAAGATGTGGATTTGGAGCGGCTGGGGATTCAGATTTTCTCAATGCAGGCGGTGAACACAGCTGGTGCGAAGGTTTACGTGCAGAAGGACGCGAAGCATTTCCATTGCGGGCGGCATTTCCAATCGGTTGTGGCAAGAACAACGACAGCTTCAACAACTTCAGGAGCTGCGAGTGGCTCTGGTGGCAATTATGGGGCAGGAGGTTTATCGATGTTGACGCGGCTGAAGCAGAAGGGTAGTGCGGCGAGTATTGGATCGACTTACAACTTTGACGAGCCACAGTTAGTACAGAATCAGAAAAGCAGCTCGCAGATCTCCGAACACCCAACAAGAGCGACGGGCGTCGGCGCCGCTGCTACCTGGGGAACAACGGCAGTAAACGGGAACACTAGTGTTGTACACGACCAGCCAGGCTACCTCCAGCTGCAAATCTTCGAGTGTCGGTCCCACCGCGACCGCGCAAATTTGTTTCGACACCAGAAGTCCTTCTCTCCGGCGACGGAAAATAGGCCCGAGGCGAGAAGTAGACTGGACAATGCTCCATCGTCCGCAAAGAAGTTTGTAAGTAAGCGAATACAAGGGAAAAACACGCACAGCAGCGACGATGTGGACATAGACAGTACAACAAGACGCGAAGAAGTTGATCCTCGTCTGCGCAGCACTGCACCGAAAGGATCAGTCCTGCCAACCCCCAGTCCGTCCGTATTTAGCCGTGGTGCTGGAGGAAGTGACACGACTACCAGAATGAATGGGGCTTCTGTCTCCAACATGACGAGTCGGAGTGGAAACAACTCCAAGCGGGACCACCGCCCTGTCGCCGGTCATTTCGCGGCCGAGGGTGAGGCGGTGGAGCAAGAGCTGCTCTCCAGCATTTTGGAAGAGGAAATTACGGCCACTTTGAGCGGCGCAAGTGCAATTGATCCGGATAATGTTGACAGACCAATCTTCGCTCCTCCGGTGGATCCCCGACGATCCTACTCGGCTGATGACCCAGAGGCTCTCGCGGCAGCGTTGGCGTTTCAGCACGAAAATCACGTCGAGGGCCAGCATCGGAATGAAGTTCCTAGGTCTGGAGGTGCAGCTTCGGGCTTTACAAATCTGAGTGACGACAGGCCGAATATCAACTATTTTTCGGCGACACCAACCCAGAACAATTTTGCGGGCGACGAATTGGTGGAGAATTTCGCAAGCACCCCGCAGCTGCAAGAGGATCATAATTTCACGTCTGGTGCTTCGATGATGGTGAAAAATGACAACATCATGAACAAACAATCTATGATCTCAACGCCTCAGGTAATGCAGCAAAATGGTCAACTACCAGTGAGTAAGAACACGAATACGACAAACAATTCTACAGCTGCGTGGTCTCAGGCTTTGCAACTCCAGCTGCAAAACGGCCAGTGTCCGCATTGTAAAAATCTCACCGCGAGGTTCTTTCCAAATTACAACTACTTTTCCACGACGAACTCTTTGTCTGGGTCCTCTTCTTCTTCCCAGCCTGGTTTACAAGGCGACATCTCCACGTCAGCAACTGCTGAGAACACGCCGAACATCCACGGCGCATTGTGGAGCGAGAGAGCGCTCTTGCGGACGCCGGCGTTTGTGAACCGGAGAATCAATTATTTCATCCAGCGGGGCGGGTACGTTTCCCACCGGTTACTGCAGATTGAGGGGGACCGGAATAGTTGCGATACGTTGGAGTTGCTGGAGGATGCGGTTTTGTTGAAAGAAAATTTGTCGCTGAACACGACCGGGGGAACAACTGCCTTTGGCGGCGGAAATATTTCGAAGGCAAGTAGTATGGAAGCGTCAGGTTTGAAATCGACAAAGTTGAAATACTTTGTCATGCATAAAATGCAAGGCATGATCATGAAGTGCCTCTCTTGGTAAGATGGCAAGTGAGGCAGATTGTGAGCCTATCTAGGGTTTGGGATAGAGATGCTAAAGGAGCATGACAAAAGCAGTCCTCTGCGCCGAAACAGCATGACAAATTGGATTCGGGTGCTTCCAAAATTTGTCATGCGCCGCTCGGTAAGTGGGCTTCCAACTGGTATCGGTTTTATGCATGACAAACTATTTCAACTCTGACGATTTCGATCCTGACACTCCCATAAGTAGTCGGAAGAGCAAATCGGCAACAAAATCTACTTATCCTGTGCAAAAGCATCGTACTAGTATAAACTGCATGACAAATTTTCTGTTTCTCAAGAACAAAAATGCAATTTGTAATGCTGTTTTCCCTTACAAAATAGATCTGTCATGCATGGCTGCAATTAGTACGAGTACGATACTTTTGCACAGGATACTACTTCCCAACGACCTGCTGGCCGTCAAAGTAATTTGCCATCCTCCTCTACTTCCAGCTCAACTTATCGATCCGCGCCGGTTTCAACCGCAAAGCAGTCTCAGGCCTCTTTATTCCAGCTCTACGCGCACTGCCGGTCTGTCCGCAACCACGTCAACAGCGCGGATGATGGGTGTCTGTTCTCTGAATTGGAGGTCGGCATGAAACTCTGTTTCGTCTTCCCTCCGAACAGCCAAGTTGGAAGAGGTGGAGGTGGCGCCTTTTCAGCAACATCCGGTCCGAGAAGCGGAAATTTTTTTACAGGAACCGTTCGTGGAACAAACACGATCAATCGCATGACCGATATGCAACACAAACTTCGCGTACGACATGTACAAAATGCAAATTTATTTCAAGTTTTTAGAGCGTTCCACAACTTGTGATGCTGAAGCTGAATAGAACCGAAGAAAAGGTTTGTCATGCAGGAGCCGCACAATTCGTACGTACTGTACGCGAAATTATTTCGTGTGCATAAACGACAAACCTTTCACATCAAACTCCGCAACCCCCGGCACATCCACCGGTGCGAATACTGCCTTGTCCTCGCAGAGAAACACAGCCGTCGACGGTCCTGAGAGGTCCTTCGTTACCGGTGGGTCTGTACCGGAAGAATTCAACTTTCAAACCGCGTATTACAACAACTCAACAGCGACCGCTTTCGCCGGGGGCTCCCCGACCTCTCCCGAGCATAATGTAGTGGTCACCAACCCGCCGAGCCAGAGCCGGCTTTACTACAGTCCGGCGAAGGTCACCCAGCAGATCACGCAGCGACTGTTCGGCCATTCAGCAGCAGCGCCACCGGAGAAATTGGTCAGCGTTTTGAGTAGCGCGGACCACGCGGGGCCGCGGGAGGTCGAGAAGACCGGTAATTTGAAACGATTTGGGAGCAGTAGCGGCCACCAGCAGCACTCCGCGCGGGTAGTAGAACAACAGCAGATGGAACAAATTCTAGAGGAAGACGAAGAGGTGCTGCAATATTTCTACGTCGCAAAAATCGCGGAAAAACACGTCACGCTGGTGCAAACGACTCGGGAGATGGACTTTGTCCGCGCGACGACCGTGTCAACTGCGTCTCCATCTGCAGTAGGGGGAGAGTTTTTGTCTTCCCATGAAAAAGAAGAGCAAGAGTTGCCTTTTTTCGCCGCGCCAAGCAACACGTCGACCGGTCGTGACCAACAGTTGCACCAACACGAGATCATCCTTTCCGCCTCAGACGTTGAGGAAAGTCAGTCTGATGTTGAGGAAGTCAACCGCAGCTTTGACGCGAATCTGGTCGGCAAGAGTTTGTGGCGAAGACCCGGAGACAGCAGGATGCAGCGGACGCCTTATCGCGACGCTAGGTCTGCTCCGCGAATTGGATTCCCCACTTCCAAGTCGAGTTTCAGTACGCAAAATAATGAATATGAAAATTTGTTCTCTTCGAAAGACACCGTGAACACCTCTAGTGCAGCGTCTTCGAAAATGAATATGAAGGACCGGATTTTCCACGTTTACCCAAATAGCAGCGGGTTGATTTCTGGGCTGTTTCGGGTCCACGACGTTATTCTCGACGTGGTGGATAATACGAAAGAAACGAAGGCTGGTCGCTTGGGAATCGCCGCGGCAGTGACAGAACAGGGGGACATTGCAATTATTACACATGAAGTTGCGAATCACTGCACCATAACGGTGGAACAGGATGAAGGACAGGGGCAAAAAAACAACAGACGGAAGAAACAAGCCACTGGCTCGAAGAAGAAGAAGGACAAGCCACAGAAAAATGTGACTGCTCCGTCGAAAGTAGCTGCAAATAAAAGCGCTGTGTTAAAAAAGCGGCACAACTACTCGATCAACGGCTGGCATGTGTGTCGGATAAACACATTATCTCTGAACGAACTTCTAAGTTACGGCGGACCTTTTTTTGATGCGGAGCTTGGAAAAGTTGGGAGAGATGGCAATCATGCCGGCGGTGAGCCGGAGCAGGGAGAAGATAGTACTGCTCAAGGACGAGGAAATAACGGAGGAGCCAACTTTTACCCGAGAAGTGCAGCAGCAGCTACGAGAAACAACGTCAACGTGGTAGAAGTTCTCGGGGAAGTAGGAGCCGGTGTAGGAGCTGGTAGGAACAAGAATCTCAACGCAGCGATAAACCACCCTGGTTCAGTACAACCTGCGAGTGTCTTCCGTTCCCAAGCGGCGGCAGATTTTGACGAAACGACGATGAATGTTGACGAAATAGATTATGCGAGATCTTCTTCTTCGTCTTCTTCCCAGCGCCCAACCTCCACATCAACCTCGCCGCTGCAGGAATCCATCAACCGCGAAGTACACCAAAGGGAAAAATTGAAATGCGACATTCTTTTGAAACAGGTCCTCCTCCCGAGACTCGTTCAGAGGGCGCAGCTGTTCTTAGAAGGAAAGCCGATCTACCTGCACCAAACACTGGACGCAGAGACCGGTGCGAGTTTGTTCATTTTGTCCTACGGGCGGGAATTGCCAAGGCTCGAGGAGAGTAAATTGTTTTCAAAGTTCGTGACCGACGAGGTAGAGCAGGCCGAAGAAAGTGCAGGACCGCCAGGGAATGATGCTGCTGAAAACAAAAATCGCAGATCGGGAGAAACATCTTCAAGGAAGACGAGGAAAGCTAACAGGACGAGAGATTCCGCAGCCACGGCGGCCGCTTCTGCATATCAACGGAGATCTGTTTCCAAATCGTCAGGAAATAACCCCGAGGAGTTGGAACAAGAGCCAACCAGCAAAAGAAAACGCGGAAGTGCATTGAGTCAAACCCGCCAGGATCTACTTTTGGACGAAGAACAGCGATGGCGATCAGAGTCAGACAATTATCAAGGGGTAGGGGAAGACGAATCAATGGCCATCAAACGGAACGATTTTTCCAAGAGCTCCCTTGGAGATGCCCGCGAAACCACCGCAACCAAGAAAACTGCGCGAAAAAGCAGGAGAAGAAAACTGCTCGCCTCGGCCGAGGCAAAAACGGTGTACGAGCTGCAGTCCACCGATCACTTGCTGTCGCCACAGTTACTGCAGTTGCAAAAACAAGGGAGTATTACATTTTCCACCGCAGACTCGGCAACAGCGTTGGAGTTGACAGAGACCCACTTGCTATCCGCTGCCACGGCGAGCAATTCTTCCTTTTGGTCCTCGGACTCCACTGTTGGTGTTTTCGGAAGTGGCGACTTAGACCCTTTTTCCGCGTCGAGCTATGATTTAGAGGAGTTGAAATTTGAAAAGGAAGCGATTCTAAGACCAAGCAACTACGTCGAAGATGCGATCCAGCGACAGCAGAAGTGCATAACGGGACTGCTTTCGTCAACATCTACTTCGGCTCCTGCAACTACTGCAGGCGGTGGTCTGGCTTTGTCATCTACAAGAAACCACACAAGAACGACAACGACAAGAGCCCCGGGTGCTTTGTTCAGTAGAAACCTGAATAAGAAAATCTTCCAAATGAAGAGCATCATTCAGACCAGGCAGCAGGAGTCGCTCGGAAACAAGATCGCGGGGGTCAATGTCCAATTCCCGCTTTTCTCGGTCTCCTGGATTCACGATATGAAGGAGATGTTGGCTCTCCGCGTGAAGGAAATTACGTTGCAGTACACCCTGCCAAAACTGCTTTCGCGAGACCAAATCCGAGCAATGATCACGACCAATGCCGATGGTGCCGCCGACGTAAATTACAGCTATGGGGAGGGAGCTGGGATCATTTTCAACCCGTATGAGAAAATGCAAACCGGAAATGATACGGGATTGCTATCCGTAGAAGATCGGAGGCTGGCGAAGAGCAGCGAGGTCTGCAAAGTTGTGGAGAAGATCGACACGAGCCTGTTTGTCGCAGGAGGAGGCTCTAATCAGGCAGGAGGTGGACCAGAAGGCGTAACTAGCACTAGCGCGGAGAACAAAGAAAAAGTTTTCGATAAAAACACTCCATCGGATAATAATAATTCCCGTCTCTCCACGCTGTTGAGCCCCGCCGGCTTTTTTCTGAACCCGACCCGCCGGCGTGTTTCCACGAAGCTCCGCGAAGACTTCAAAACCTTCCACATCCGGAAATTGAAAACCGTTTGTACCTATTTGCTCGATTTCCGGATGGAATTAGAGCGCGAGGACGCAGCGTTGGAGCAACAGTTTTTGAGTTCTCAAGAGTCAAAAGCAACGGCGTCGTCCTCTAGAAATCCTATGCGGGGGTCATCGAGTATTCAAGCTGGCGGGAACGCGAGCTTTTACCACGCGAGCGAGAATCTGCGGCAGTCGTGGACTAGTAGAATCTGCAGCTGCCGGAGTAGAAGAAGAGGCACGGTGGCGGGAGCTGGGGACGTCAACACAGGTTCTTACGCAGCAGGAGGTGCCCACCAAGGACACAACAACTCTCGAGTGCTGCACTATCGAGGAAACAAGAGTAGAAACGGTCGTCGATCGAACAAAAACAAATTGGAACTTCATCTCGCGGAGAAGGCGGAGAGGGAGGCGAGACTCGCCACGGCGACCAGCACGTTAGAGGACCGCATCCAGGAGTACTGCCCTTCGATGCACTTCAAAATCCAGCACTTCCAAGTAGACCACTACGCGCCGGCGGACATTCCGGTGCTGATCAACCGGCGCTTCCTGCACCAGAACAGCCGGCACTTCGCCGACCACGCGTTGGATATCACCATGGTGTTTGCGCCGACGAAATTGCTGACTGCGACTGATGAGAAGGTGAACAGACAGCACGAGAAGGAATCTGATTTGTTCGATATCGACACGGGGGCTTTTAACATAGTGGGGCAAATCGGGGACCAGTCTGTGCTCCGACCTGGATTGAACAATCAGTATCACAACCACATCGAATCCTCGCATGAGGAACTCCAGCAAGACGAAGAAGCTGAGGTGCGATTCGTGCGGGTGAAACTTGTGCCGTTGTGGTTGAATCTGGAGTTATCGTCTTTCCTCAGATTATATGAACTGCAAAAGTATCCTATCGTAGTCGTATAAATGCATTACAAATTTCGTCAGCATGAGAAAGAAAATTTGTAATGCAGAATGGAAACAAGATTTCGATTTGTAATGCAAGACTTGCATTTGTACGAGTACGATACTTTTGCACAGGATAGATTGTATGAACAGGCGGGGTTGGGCGCGTTTTTGAACAACTTGATGACCGCAACTGGGGCAGGATCCGCAGTGATTGGAAGTCGCATGAGCACGGCGAACCAGAAAAACACCGACCTGTTAAAGCGGGAAGTCGCCCAGTGGGCCGCTTTGGTGAATGAACATAAACAGAGCACCAGTGCCGGGTCCTCTCGGAAAACAGCAGTAGAATCAACGGCTTCCGTCTCAACATCTCCGAAGGGAACGGGTCATATTAGACCTGCAAACTCGCCTAAAGGTGGGAACAAGGAGCACTTACGATTTTTGTCCGCTGAACTAGCGGAGCTTTTAGGTGCGTCTTCTTCTAGTGTGACTGCAGCTGGTGCGACGTATCAGGCAAGGCACCAGGAACATGCTGGTGCTGCAAATACAGCTGTGATTGACAAGGAAAATCGATATCACCTGTTCACGGCCCCGTCATTAGCGGATCACTATCGGGGGAGTGCCAGTTTGAACTCCACTGCAGGTGTTGGCAGTGCAACAGGCTCCGCAGGTGCGGGTGCAGTGCCTCATCTTCAGCAGAGCCACATCCCATCGGATATAGCGGACAGCCTGCGCCAATCCTACAATCCTAGCTTGCGTGACCGGATGAAACACGAATTCTACGTCCAATCGCTGGAGGAGGAGTTTTTAGGCGAGATAGGGAGTTCTTCGTCTCGTGGTCCTGATGGTAAAGATGGTAACATCAGACGGGGTCCTGCTCTTATTTCGCCGAGGACGGCAAGACAGAACACTATACGAGGACTCCATCCTACTGCTGCTGGTCCAGCTCCTTCCAGACAACTCCATCATCCCCTGCCAGCAAGACAAAACACGGCAGCTGCTGGGACGAGTTCCTCTTCAGGATTTGCGTCGAGTTTGTTGAGGCGAAGGCTTGTGCTCTTCGAGCACGATTACGATAGACACGACTACAACATCGCTGGTCAGCATCATGCTGGTGGAGGGTCTTCTCACAATCTAGTCCGGTCGGCAACCACATCCGCGTCCTCTGCCAGCTTGATGAGAATCGGGACTAACGCAAGTCTAGAACATGCCACAAGCAACTCATCGTCACTGAGTAGAAGTAAGACTGCGGGTGCGTTTGCTGGTGCATCCTTCAACACGATTGCGTCGGGCGCCGGTGTTAATACGTCAGGCCCACGAGGAACTGGCGCCATAGGTACACAACAACTACAGCAGATTCGTGCTCCCCCCGTGTTCTCGATCGCGAAACATCACCAGCCGAAGAAGAAGGCGAAATTATTTCGGATCCGGGAATTGATCGTGGATCAGATGCGCGGGACGATCAACATCAGGACTCCGGACGTCCAGGATATGATGATGAATCAGGACTACCGGAAGCTGGCGATTTTGGTCTACCTCCCGCTGGATATGCCGAACATCTCGCTACAGATCAACACGCAGAGGTTACTCAACAAATAAGGGGCTCTCAAACGTTACATTCTCAGCTGTTACATGAATTTGTCATGCAAAAGCACCATCATCATCCACACGATCAAGCTGCTTCGCATGACAAATTTGCGAAGGACTAAACAGCACCTAAATCTGCGTGGAGTTTGTGATGCTACAGGCAACCTCCCCCATTCCACTTTTCCCATTCTTGCATCACAAATCCATGTTGTAACACTTGAGAATGTAACGTTTGAGAACCCCATAACAAACTCGGAACGACGAAGGAGATTTTGACGATGCTGAAAAGATATCCCGTGCAAACGTATCGTACTCGTATTGCAATCCTGCATCACAAATTTTTTTCTTAATTTAGATCAGCATTACAAATTTCTCATGCTGAGGAAATTCAAATTTGTAATGCATTTATACGAGTGCGATACTTTTGCAATTCATAAAAGATCCTACTTGAAAAACATCCTCTACGAGACCGGCGTAGCCTTCGCGTCCTCCTACCTGTTAACCGCCTACAAGGGCGTTTACAACGGTCTGCAGTGGTTCTTCCGGGCGCCTTACGACCACATTGTGGTGGCGTACCGCAAGGAATTAGAAAGGAGAATTATGGAAAAACGGATAAAAACGCTGCAGGACAAGGAAAATGTAAACGCAGAACTGAAGGACTTTGAGCATTTATTGCAGCAGTTGGTGGAATTGTCCAAGCACGACCGTGATCTGCAGGAACAATTTATCACAGGAAAACGAAAAACTGTTAACGCTAACGGAATTTGTGATGCAGAAATGCATCCCAAAACATGCCAAAATTTGTCATGCAAAGAATGCATGCTAGCCAAAATTTGTCATGCATTTTAGCAATCTATGAAAACCGTTGACGTTACCACTTTTTCTTGTGATACAACTGTCGATAAAACGGAACTCCGTTGGTGGAACGCAAGCACTCCGGGTGTCTGGCTCGGCGGCGTCGCCGGTGCATGTCCAGCACCATCACAGCAGTAATAAGAGCAGCAGCTTCCGGGGTGTGGTCGAGCAGGCTTTGGATAAGAAAGAGCACGACAAGAATAAAGATTCAGCAACGGCGAAAAGCAAAACCATCAAAGAGCAGGAAAAGGAAGCAGCGCAGAAGCGGAAGGAATTAGAAAAACAACTCCAGCATGAGGAAAGGCTGCTGAAAAGGAAGTTAAGGAGAAAACGAGCACTGTTTAAACTGCCACAGATTGGAGGTATAGGAGCTTCTTCGGCTACTGCATCAAGTAACAACAACGCACCGACGAATAGCGACGCTGGTCATGATCCCGTTGAAACATCAAAAGCCCAGACGACAGCAGGAGGAGGAGCATTGGCGACAAGAGGCACGATTAGTAACGAGGAACTCCTCCAGCAAAACGACGACCAAGAGTCCGAAATCGTAATGAATCTGCAGAGAAAATTAAAGCGACGGCAACCAAAGCGTTGCTCGGCCTGCTCCACTAGGAATTTCATCTGTTCGAAAAGCTCACGGAGGACTTCTATCCAGGACAAAACACTCATCCCCATCCAATTTTAATTTGTCATGCAAAACATGCATAAACTCCACTCTTTGTCATGCTACCTAGCTGGAATGGATGCAGATGGTTGTTTTTTTGTGGATAACCCCTTGGTGGATCGTCCCCCTACAACACGGCCTTTCCGAGGGCGCTTACCGGGCGATGACGGAGATTAGCGGGAACATTTTGATCACGATCGTGTTCGTCGCAAACTTCTTGCACAAACTCTCCCTCGGGTCCTCCAGGCAGAAAGCGAACGGGATTTTACAAGGGATTGTCTTCGGCATCCGCGGGTTTTTCCTGGATTCGTTTCTCACCCCGACCATCCGGCTAATCTCTTGGACGCAGAACGCGTTGCACGATTACGGCCGTAGTGTGGCGTTTCTCTCCTTTTTGCTAGCTTTGTTGCGGATTCCGCTGGGGCCGGTGTTTGGGTTCTTGCACCTGATCGCGGCGGTGTGCGAGGGGCTGGCTTCGGCGTTGTTGCAAGAAGAAGCGCAATTTGCGCTGTTCGAACCGCAGAGGACGCTGATATGATTATTGTCGTGTGGAAATCATTTTAGACGTAGAGGAAAAGTAGAAAGTTGATTCTGATCATTCATGTGAAACAAAGCAGGTTGATCTTTAGCGTCGTTTCATCTTAAAAATTTTCAACCGGTCTTGCAAAGTGTAATTGGTCTCGGTGTAGCGCAGATCTGTTTAAGCAGTTTTTTTTTTAAATGTTTTTGCTTCTTGAGCTAGTACCCTTGCGACAGGTTTTGCTGGTTGTCTTTAACGTACACATTTATTTTTTTTTCGAAAGGATTTATTATAAGTCTTAATTGTTAATAGGAAAGGCCGGCGCCACGCTGCGTGACTGTTTACAAGTAGTTGCTCGGTGCATCATGTGAAAAATATTTCTTCGTGCAGTCAAGGGCTCGCGCAGCGAGCGTGTCCTTTTAGCAAAAAGCCAAATAAACCAGAACGAAGACCATTGCTACTATGGGCACTCACCTATATAATCTCACTGTCACTGCTACTTCTCTATCATTTTCAAACGGAGAACACTAGGGCATGGCCAGCATGTTGAAGCCCCCTCGTCTATATATGACGAGTTTCCATTTCATTTTTTTTCTCTGTATTTGCGTGTTATCGCATTGCGGCTAAGATGAAAGCAACGCTAATGCAAGCGAGGAGCAACAGAAAATAGAGAAGGAAAAAAGCCGCTGGGCAGATGTTTGACTTCGAAGTCGAGGACGACGGGACCGCTGGAGTTCGCTGTTCTTTTTCAATGAAGTAGAGGCTGCAAAAATTCGCGAGGGCAGCCAGGCTCCGTGGGCTACAAGACTCTGTTGCTGCGCTGAGGGACAGAGAGCGCGTCTCGATTTTTTTCGCGTTCATAGAGGGGGCCCACCGGTCCCGCGGTTTCCCTTGCTCACCGCGCGCCCCGCTGCCGCGTGCGCGAGGTTCTATCTGCCGGCTGGGCGACGGTCTCGGTTGTGCGCGTGGCGGGCGTGCTAGTTTGGAAGGTCCAGCGGCCGGCCGCGCTTTGTTGAGCGTCCTGGAAAGTGGGCAGCGGTGGGGCGGCTGAAGTATTTCGGTAGCCCCTTGCCGGGTGTGCCCTCGGTGTACTCCGGGCACGGTTACACCAAGGAAGGACTGGCCACGGGCGACCTGGATCCGGTTGCCCTTGCTTCCGACGTTGCCCCTCTTCTGGGACGATGCTGAAGAGAAGGGCGCGGCAAACGGCGCAGATTTGGAGCCTCCGCCCCAGGCCGCTGGCCCTTGGCCCAGTCGCTTGGGGTTGCGCGCAAAGTTGGCGCGCGCCACCCAATGCGCGCGGGCCGGCCGGCGTTGGATTGCATGGGCCGACCTTGGGCCACCAGGCCCCCCCCGGGAGCCAGCGGACGCCTTGCCGCCCTCGGAGGGAGCAGGCACCTCCCAAGGCGCGGCCCCCCCCCCCCCGACGGGGCCCCCGGCTTCGGCCCGGGGCTTCTGGTGTTGGTTGGGGGGTTATTTTAGCAGCGAAAACGCCCGCGCCCCCCGGCGAATCTGGCTGGGCAGAAGCAAAGGAAAGCAGCGCAGGCCGGGTTCTAGAGCTGCGCGCGCGTGAATACGCTGCCAAGCTGGCGCGGCAACGGCGCAGAGAGCCCGCGCCCGGTTATTCTATTTCCTCCCTAGCAGTTTCGGACCCCGCCCGGTTGTGGGTGTTGGCTCTTCTTCGGGGGCCCAGGGGATAGCATGCGCGCCACCGAGCCCGGCAGCGGGCGCCGTCGCCCTGCAAGCATGGCGCGCCGCAAGCATAGTGGGAGTTTCCTGGCGGAGGACCGGGCGGCCCTGTGACAGACAGGCGGCCAGTGGTCGGGTGGTGGCGACAAAGACGGCGACGAGTGGCGCCGCGTGGTTTGTTAGTACTAAGATAGATGCCGGGCATATCATGCGCCCGGGCGAGACCTAGGCAGGCGGGCCCTCTGTTGTTTGGTTGTGGCCCGTCGTTTTGTTGTATTTTGTTGCAGGCCGTCAGCGCCGGAAGGATGGATCGATGGCCGCGGCCGGGCTTCGTTCGGACAGCGCCGGTGCTGGGGGGGCGATGCCGATGTCTTTGGTTGCCACCTTCCCAGCCGTGCTTGCCTGCGCGCGCCTCCCCGCGTGGCGTGGGTGTTGCGCTAAGTAATGTTGCGCGTGGCCCGGCGGCGCCGGCACGGCCCGCGTGGTTGGCCTCCCGAAGGGTCTGTGTGCTATGGAGCAGCCTAGCTTTGTTGACGCTCCTTGCACTTGGCTCGTGCAAGGTGTCCTCAGCGGCCCCGTGTGGCTCGCGCCCGCTGGGCTTGGTCGTGAAGATCGACGTTCTTTCAGTTCCCGCACCGCCGGCAAGAATAAACTATGTCTGTGACTTGGAGTGTGTTCTGTCGCCCACCCTGGGCGGTATTAATTTTATTTCGTCGCACACGACTATGTCTATGGTGGTCTTTATTGATTACTTATTTGCATTCATATTGGTTGGTTGACTCTGCTTTGCTCCATAGTGTTAGTGCCACCCAGCAATCAATTTTAGCACAGGCGCAACGCCCTGTCAGCATCAAGAAAAGATGGCAAACATTGCTCCACGAATAGAAAATGACGAAGACCTCGAAGATGTCAAACCCACCACCGTTGCCTTCTCTTTCCACGAGCTCCCTGGCGAGCCCGAACCACCGCAACAACCGCAGCCCCCTCCTCGTCGTTCTCCCGAGATGAACTCAAAAATCCCACCTGAAGGTGCTCCGGACCACCACGAACCTCCCCCCGACGTCCATTACTCTCTGCTCGTCGGCCCGAAAACCTTTTTCGCCCAGGAGAGAACGTTTCTCCACTGGATGCACGTTTGTGTGCTAGTCGGAGGCTTGGTTTTGTTCAAGTTCGACAAGAAGAACGTGCTATCGATTTCTCCAGCAGCTCTACCACCAGAGGACTACAGTGTTGGAGATGACAAAATAAATGGGAGCAACGTCATCTTCAACGGCAGAAGTTCATCCAGTTCATCTTTCAGTTTTGTCGGCAGCAAAGTTTCTGCTTCTGCCGCGAATCTTTTCGCGTTTTGCCTTTTGCTCATCACCTTGTGCTTCACGGTTTGGATGTACGTGATGCACCGACGGCGAATGGCGGTGCTGCAGACAGCGAGTAGTAATACGGGCACGGAATTTCGGGAAATCAAATTTTTCCTCGGATTCGGTGTCTTCTTGACGGTGGTCATGGTGTATGCTGTTGTAAGAGCGTATTGACGATTTGAAATGCAGCGAATTTGTGTTGCTTATTCTTATTCAGATTTTGCAATCAGGATCATAATTATCAAGAAAGAACGAACGACAAAATGAATTTCGCAAGAGAAGTAGGTCCAGTGTTGGCGCAGAAAAATTTTGCTTTTGGTAGATTGGCATTGGGGTGTGCTGGAAACGGCACAAGCCAGCTCCTGTTTCTATGTTCTTCTACCCGGTGTTTCTTGACATGCCTGTACAATGTATGCAGCATTGTGTTATTAACCACGAGAACCACCTGCTGGTGAAGATCCGCTAATATCCATCGTACTACCTGAAAAAAAAGAGAGAAACATCTCAGACAGAATCAGGCCTAGAGATGATTGCGACGGTGTTGCCTGTGCCTCGGTGGCGAGCAGGTAGGTTCATTGAGCAAGGGAGCAGAAAACTGTGTGTGAGGACAGACGCACCTGCCAACGACTTCATCCTGTAGTACTTGAACAAACTACACGTACACCTGCAGTTGGTCGTCCCTTGATCAAATCTTATATTCGTTCGGCTTTAACATGAAACAATACCAATAGCCTGCACCTTTTATCGACGTGCAGATGAACAGCTGCACGCGCCGTCACCTAGTCTGCATTTCTGCAAAATTCAAAGTCAAAAGATGAGGAACTGCTACTGCCGCTCGACGAAGATGCCGTTTTCAACACCACCCAGAGCCTCCGCCTGCCGCACTGCTTTATTGCCAGATCCTTCATCACTTCTACCAGTACCAGCATCCCGAAGAAGATCCTCATGCCTCTACGTATACGTCGCCTACGCTCTATTGGTCCATTTATTTTCCGCGCAAGTAGATGAATACATGCTCGTTCGACCAACCAACGCTCTGTCTCTCGCACGACAGAAAACAAGTAGCGGGAAGAGCAGGTCGACAGTGTTAGTCCCAGCCGCTGCAGCAGGAGGAGGCTCCTCTTCTTCTTCCCGTAGCAGGGCGAACTCACGGCCGAGACGACTTTTCGCCTGTTGTACGACCGCGCCGTCGTCTGCGGAAGGGAAAAATGTGGTGCTAGTCGAGCAGGGGCAAAGGAGTTCAGGCTCTGCAGCTCCAGTTTGTCATGCGGGAGAACGGCAAGAGGGCGAGGCCCCGTTGCAAGGACAACAAACCACGAGCGTGACACTCCCTCTAGACCCCGACGCGAAAGTTCCACCGAAAACCGCCTCCGCTCACCTCAAACGGTCCCCGACCCCGAAGAGGGGCGCAGTTTTTGATGCAACAGTGAGTCCGGCTTCGGGTTCTACGACCACACCCTCCTCCAGCAGCTCACCTTCTTTCTCACCAGGTTCGGGAACAACAGGAGGTGAGAACACTTCGGACCTCAAGCCGGACCACGGTAGAAGTTCTCCCTCCAACTATCCCGAAGGACGATCTGCATCACCTTCACCTATTGAACAAGACCACGACCTCATCGACGCTGACCTGCTCATCTGCCCGGTGGCGGTTCGGTCCTGCGTGAAGCAAGCGAAGAACAGAGTTCAAGCGACGGGACATACAAGCTGCGGGGGAACGACAGGTGCTATTACATCAGCCACTTCTACAACTTCCAGATCAAATTCCAAAGCATCCTCCTCCTTCTGCGCCCCCGTTCTTTATTCGACGTCTACTTCGGATGCGCGAACGGTCCGGACTTTCAAGAAGAAGGTCCACTGGGCCCCAGAGGAAAAATTCGAGATTTTTTTCTACGACCAGCCCGAGAGGGAAGGGACGACTGGAGAGGAAGAGGATGACGAGGAAAGATGTTCTTGTCATGGCAAAAATTCTGCCAAAACAGGACCAGGAGGAGCGCCTCTGTCAGCAAAAGCCCGGATTGCTGGCGGTGCGGTGTCTACTATCAGGCAAATTATCATGCTGAACCAATACCACCGCAGAATCAGCAACCAGCAGAAAACAAAAATGCATCGGAAAGAGGGGCGGGACAACGACATCAAGTGTGGACGACGTAACACTGAAGCAGAAGAACTACAGGAAGGGCATGGAAGGGGAGTACAACATGGCCCTAACACAGGAGCAGGAGCAGTTCGCACATCCTCCAAAGACCGCGCCATCGCGAGACAGTGCGAAGAGTTGTGGGGAAATAACGGGCAAGGGCAAGGCAGTTCATCTCGTCATGGGTATAACTTCTCCTACACAAGTGAAGACGAGTCGGAAGACGGATTTTCATCGTCAAAACCGGTCCGCATGGTTTCCAAGCCGCGGATGTTAAGCAGGGCGAAAAGCAGCGGTGATTTGGACGTGGTCGGGGGAAATAATGAGTACAATGGAGTAGAAGTAGAACAACCTCAAGTAGAAGGAGCTTCTCTCACGACCGCAGATGTTGAAGTCGACACTGGCAGTGCCCCGGAGCATATGGCAGTCGTCCCGATCCAGCGGCGGAAGGGTCGAAAAGACAGTATGGACAAATACGACCAACTGCGAAAATCGAAAATTGCGGCGAAAAGGGCGAGAAGTAGGGAGAAGAGGGGGCAAGACACTGGTGACGCTGACGCACCAGCGCAGAATCCATTATCTCCCGATGGGTTTCAGTCTGCAGGGTCGGCGGGGACGGTGTCTTCGGTTGGTACCAGCAGCTCCTACAACTCTTTCTCTTCCTGTTCCGAGGGAGAATTATTGGCTTCTGAAGACCAGGAGGTTAGAGATGTCCGTGCTGGAATTGAAGACATTGATCTTGCAGGAGGAGTTGCCGCGGCCAGAGCTAGTTCTAGCTCTGCGACAGGTCGCTGTTCCTTGGCAACAACATCGGCAAGCAAACCGAAGATCCAACATCTGTGGCACCGGAGTCCGAGCAGCGGTAGTGTAGTGGCCAACACGAAAGGTGGTCCTTCTCCTTTGTGCAGCGACGACGTGCTGGTGCAGAGATGTGACGAAGGGGAAAGAGGAGACGGTGATACACAATTATCGGAAAACTCCAACGAGGACTGCAATTTCCACGTCGGCGACTCAGACTGCGATCTTCCCCCTGCAAAGCCAATACCTGCGTCCGAACCAGCAAATGCAGGAGCGGTGCCGGCGGCGTCGACTGCAGGAAGTACATCTAGCAGAGGTGTAGCGAGCGCGTGTTCAACAAGACTCAGCTTCGCGACGAAGATCAGTGATGACAGGAAAAAACCTGCATCCTCCTCCTCCTCTTGCTGCAACCCGGACGAGGATCGCCAGCTCCTATGCGACGACCGCACCGGTGTGGTCAACGAGATGAATCCCTCAGTTGCAACCACCCGAAATCGACCGCAACCCGGGAAACAGCTACAGCAGGCGCTGCGGGGCAGTACCGGTACTTCTAGTGGGAACAATGTAGCAGGAGTCGCTTCGAGGACATCTCTAGCAGGAACTACAAGCAGAGACTCTCACCAGCTGCCGTGGTGTGGAGGTTTATTTTTCGCCTCGTGCAGTGATATCGCGTTGGCCACGGCAGGCGGACGCTGCAGCGGTGCAACAGCTGCGGGCAATGCTAGTGTAATAACCCAGCGGAGTTGCAGTGGAAGCCGCAGTAGCACGAACTCCCCAACTCCCGGGACGCAATCGCATATGCGCGTGTGAAAATTTGCTTGCTCGTCCTTGCTGTGTGATTCAGGGCATCACTGCTACTGCAAAATCAAAATTTTGTATAAAAAATGCGATTTTTCTGCATTTCCATTCGCATTCCGAGTTGGAATAGCGATAGCCATATGACTGCAATATAGAAGGGCTGCAAGAAATAAATTGTTTACACTCGACAAACACGAAGTGGTGTGCGAAACATGGGTGCTACCACGGTGCTGGGACTCCAGGTGGCCGGCGAAGCCCGACGAAGTGAGAAGATGGGCTGGGAGGTCGAGTAGTTCTCTCTCCAATTATGGCGGTAATCGAGCTAGTAACATGTACGTATTCATTTACAAACGCCCGTTATTGAAGGCCGCTTTGGCCTTTTTTTTCAAAAAATGCACGTTGATTTCGATTCAGCTCCCTGGTGGAACCACCTCGTAGCGCTTCTGATATTGGACGCATCCCAAAGCTGGATAGTTTATCATCCCTTTTGCCTTTCGCATCAAGAAGTTAGAGTTACAGCCACGCTTTGTTCGCTTGGGTCATTTTGCATAGTAGATTTTGTTTTCACGACTAGCATGGCGCACACCAGCGATTTTCAGCATCTTCCCGTTGGCAGTAAGTACTAAAGGCTGATCTAGGAGTTCATGTCAGGGACACGAATTATAAACCAGACTTCGCTCACAACTATGTGCAAGCGGCGAAATTTTTATCCGGACCTTCCTTTGTGTGCATTTTCGAATATGAGGCTGCGCAACCTCGAATCTGATATTAGCACACGTGCGTGTCGCTTGTCGGAAGTTTCTTTGCGACGACAAGAAGTTTTCCACATGCTGCACGGCCCCAATCGTTTTTCACACACAATTTTTCGTTTTTTTTTTCTGTTGCTAATGAGTGAGAATGTTTGTCGTTCAAGAGGACGTCGTGGGGTACTGATGAAGTAGACGAGAAGGATTTGCGGCAAAGTGGTGCTTTCGACGAGTTGCGGTATTGGAGTGCTAGAATTGATTTTTTCATCGATAATGTAAAAAATGGTCGTGGAGTGGACGCATATACGCAAAGTTGCGAGGGAAAGAGAGATGTTTGGCTTTGTCGCGGCTCTTGTGTCAGAATCAGGATCTGGCAACTTCTTAACAGGGTGGGTACTAGCATCTTCGAGTATGAACAAGACGTGGCTGATGTCAACATAGTTCTTTTGAATCCGATTTGATGTTGAAACCAGTAGAGTAAAACTCGCTATTCCTGTGACCCGAAATAAATCCAGCAACACTATGTCTTCCGCCAGTTTGAATTACTACGACCTTCTCCAGGTCGGGCAAAACTGCACTCCGGACGAGCTGAAAAAAGCCTACAAAAAAGCCGCCCTCCGCCACCACCCCGATAAAGGCGGAAATGTGGAAATTTTCAAGAACGTTTCTCTCGCGTATGAAACCCTGTCCGACGAAGCCAAACGGACGGTGTACGACCGGAGCATCTTCTTCTCCTTCGGCTCGTTTTCTTCTACTATACCTGGCAGCGGGACTTCCGGCCCAACGGGACCGGGGTCCTACGGCTCAAACAGCAGCGGCGCACCTGCAGGATCGAGTTCTTCATCGGGTGGGAGCTCTGGTGCTTCGAAACCAGCGCCGCCAAAGAAACCGCCGCCAGGAGCCGCGAATGCCGGGGCGGGTGCTAGTACTGGGGTACAGTTTCACCCGCTTGCTTTTGTCATGTGCTTGTGCTTCTGATTTTCTCTACTGCGCATGAAGATGCGGTAGAGTTGGAGTGTTGAAGCTTTTGCATGTCACTGTCACACACTCAGTTTTCCATATTATTGCCAGGCGGAGCCTACTTCACTTGTTACACACATCAAAACAACCAATTCTCCCCAAAACTACAGAACGCTCGCAGTTCCAAGCCCCGCCCATCCGCCGCGCAACTAGAGGAGATGACGATCCGGGAGCTGAAATTACTCCTCACTGAAATGAACGTCCGATCGGATGATTGCTTCGAGCGCGCGGAACTGATCGCGAAGATAAAATCAGCGTACACGACGAACAATGCGAATTCTGCTGGTGGTGCAACATCAGGAGCAGGTCCCGGTGGCTCTAGTTCGTCATCAGGAGCAGCGAGTGGACATAACAATTACAACTCCTCTTCCGAAGACCACAGTACTTCCAGTGCCTCTACTTCTGCTCCCTTTCGCGGGGCAGCGTGGGACAGCGCAAAGTACGCCTCGATGACGCAGCAGCAGCAAAACCAAACCTCCGGCACAAACAATCCTGATAACGACAACAACACGAGTCGGGTGAAGGTGATTTCTATCGGCGCAAGCAATTCCGGCAAGTCGTGTTTGATAAAGCGGTTCTGCGAGGGCCGGTTTGTGCCGCGCTACATTTCGACGATTGGGGTGGATTACGGAGTGAAAACGGTTTTTGTCCAGCCCAGTGTGAAGCAGAAAAAGAACAAAGCAGCGGCGAGTCAACAACATTTTCCGGATCCGAAGCAAAAGATAAAAGTAAACTTCTTCGATCTCTCTGGCCACGAAGAGTTTCGGGAGATCCGGGTGGAGTTCTACGAAAACGCACAGGGCGTGCTGGTCTGCTACGATAGCACCAACGCGGAAACTTTTCGGAAGCTGGAAAGTACTTTCTACAAAAAAAACAGTTTCTAAATTTGGTACCTGGAAGAGTTTTATGAACTCTACTACGTATCATGTGCTTCATCTAAAGAACTTCTTGATACAACAAAAACACAGGATCGAAATCCTCCCTGATTTAAAAAAACCCGCCAGGTACCTGGCTTTGGGAAGCGCGGACGCATGGCCTCACTTTCGGAAACGCGGTCTGCTTGCTATGTGCGAACAAGTGCGATTTACCGAGCAGGCAAGTGACAAAGCAGGAGGGGCAGACGTTCGCGAAGGAGCATGGGTTTTACTACTTCGAGCTGTCTTCTCAGACGGGGGAAAACGTGATCCAGGCGTTTAACCTGCTGTTCGAAAAAATGTATCACTTGCAACAATATCGTACTCGCAATGAGTGTAGTCATGCATGACAGAGTGAATGACCTGACTCTGATTTTGCAATTAAGGTTCTTAGTTTGCAAAACACTTTTTCTTCACCACTACTTTGATAGCGATATTTTTGCAATGCATAAAAGCGCAGACAAGCTGATAGCAGAGGCGAACGATTTGGAAACCAGGATGTACGCCGGGGCGTAACTGTACGCAGACGGAACAGCATAAGAAAAGAACCGCGGGAGAACAGCAAGAGCAGAACTTCTTCCTCCTCTGCCGGTCTTGGTTTAGGTTCTGTGCTTGGCGGTGCGCACCACGAGAAGAGAGAAAAATGAGTGGAGGGGCGGACAAAAAACTACTGCTTGTCTTAGCACGGGAAGGGAAGTGAAAGTCTCAGCCTTTAGATTTTGGCGGAGATGTCGTATTTCCATTATCTCGCGACGGACAGGATGTCTGTGTTTTCGTTCTTTCTACTGCAGATTTCCTGCAGAAAAAGGCGTCGTAGTAACTTTTTAAGAATACAGATGGCTTGTTACAAAGAAAGAAATCCAATTTATCAAGCGTCCTCACGTTTTTGATTTGTGAGGCGTCTTCGTCCTTCTTGTTGGGTCCTCTAGTGTTTGTGTTTCCTGTTCTTCAAGTTCAGGCTCAGTTTCAGGATCATAAAACAGTCCGAGGTCGTTCTCCTTTGGTCCGTTTTTCGTTTTGGTTCTGTGATTTGCAGATTCTTTAGAAGGTACTGTGTCAAGTCCAAAAGATCGGTGGTTCTGTTCATCTTTTGCTTCTTTTCACATTTTTACCTGATGTCGGTCTCTCTCTGTCTCTCTTCACCGTGGTGCAAGCGGTACCGGGTAGTCGTAAGTACAAACCTCGTTTATCATTGGCCGATGTAAACACGCCACATATGTTATGTCCAAAACAAAACGACCATTGATACTAGCCAGAAATGCGCTGCGCCAAGGAGGAGCAAAAAATCTAAATTTCTACAGTTATCCTCTGATCTAAACTCGTCGAAAAAGATGCGGACGCTTACCTATCCGTCCTTGCTAGCCGCCTCCGAAGCCATCCGTGTCCTTCCCAAGCAGCCGCAAGAAGCACCGACAAAAGCCTTTCTCGCCTCCTCTAACAGCAAGGAAAGCCACATCCCGAAGAACGCGACGGACACCACGGGATTCCACTACACGGACTGCATCAACGATGAACTGCTTGTCAACGGGGACAAGACGGGGAATCCGCTCGCGTACTCCGAAGCCAGTCACCCGATCTCAGTTATCCGCTACGACAAGGAGGTTCCAAAACCCAAGCAGGAGGCGATGACGCACGACGTGTGCTTTAAGTTCTGCAAATATCCACAGGAAATTTCCCGTACACGTGCAAGAAATGCTGTCTCTGCATGACAAAAGTTGGCTTTTGTCCTAGTTTAGCATGACAGGTTTTACACTCAAGTAGTTGCTGAAGTTTGTGATGCATCTTGGACATGTACGGTGGAAATTTGTATTGCATAGGAAAGATCAGGAATACATGCAGTATTTCGGCTTGGTCCGCGGAAACGAGTGCTACTGCTCGCCCTACTTCGTGCAAGCCGCGGGGAGCAGTCAGGACTGCAACATGGCGTGCGAGGTAGTGGAGTTTGATGTTTTGGGACTCGTCAGCACCTTGTAACGACGTTTATTGCAAGATCGGGTCGTGGTGACAAATTTAGATTTTCTGAATTGTTCAGTAGAGTTGTCGTTTTAAAGATCCGTAAACCCAATGGAGACTTTATCTATGTTTGGTAAGGCAGTTGCATGGTAGATGCGGACGATCTAAAATACATTTTCCAATTTCAAAACTCCAGGGCAACGCCGGTGAGATGTGCGGTGGCCAGACCAAGGCGTCGGTGTTCGAAATGCACGGCTGCACGCCCCCGCCAGTCATGAGTGCGGACATCGTCCAGAGCTTTTTCGCCACGGCCGAAGATTTAAAGTCCGATTTAGACACGGCCCTCGACACCGCAAAGGACCTGATATGCACTGCAAAAGTATCGTACTACGTATAAACTGCATGACAAATCTCCTCAACATGAGAAACGAAATTTGTGATGCGGATTTAACTTGCCAAGAAAATTTGCAATGCATAAATGCGATAGTAATACTTTTTCAAGGCATAGCTGATCACCGCGGGCAAGAAGCTTGCGGACGCGCAGGGAAAGGTCGGCAACATATGACAATGCACAACGCCCCCTCCCCCTCATTTGTAATGCGAAATACCCAACTTACGCCGTGCGTCTAGGCACTGTTTGCATGAGAAGCTCTGGCACTGTTTGCGTGACCGCTTGTATAATTGCTGTTCATGCAATACAAATGAGGAAGTAGAGTTCATCTTGCGCACTGTCATACAAAAAGATTGCGGTCCAGCACCACCAGGAAACCATGGCCTCGCAGAACTTTATATGCGTTGCAAATATGTCTGGGTCTGGAAGGATGGAACTTGTGATGCTGTGTTTGGATTCTAAAAAAGATTTGCATTGCATGACAAGGACAAGCAAGGGGAGTCCAGTTTGTGCTACGCGGGGAGGGCATTTGTCATGCGGAATAGGCATCAGGAAGCCTGCCAAAAATCTGCGATGCTAGCTCATGCATTACTACAAGCATCGTGGGTCATGCAAAACATGCATGACAAACCTTGCACTTTTCCAGAGCCAGATATTTTTGCATTTCATACTTTATCGCGGGGAAGATTAAGAACATGCCGTTCGACAGTCTGAAGGACTACGATTTGCTGAAGGTGAAGACGTACGCAATGCAAATATGTCTAGGTCTGGAAATATCAGTCATGCTTGTCAGGCATGACTGAAAAGTCTGTCATGCTTGGTACACTACAGTGCCACTTGTTTGTCATGCAAAAAACCATTTGTGATGCGATTCACGCTAGACATAGGCGCTCAGAAACTTGTCATGCGCAGCCCCCTGATACAGATTGCGTATCATCCGGGCATTAGCATTACAACTTTCCAGACCAAGACATATTTTTTTGCGCTGCATAAAACCGGAAAGTACCAACAGTCCGCGGCGAAGGCGGGCGCCCAAGAGCTCGTGGAGATGACTCGGGGGTTGAACGCCACGGCGCAGAAGGTGCTCTTCGACACGTGGAGCATCGAAAAGGTCGCGGAATCTGTGTTCCCGAAAGAAAAGAGCTTGGCGAAGGGACTGGGGGCTTTGACGTACAGATTTAGATCTTTTTTGATAGTTCCTCCCCTCTGTACAGCTACATCGTACTACCTCCTGATTAAGATTTGCTAACCTGTTATAAACCAATGTTCATGAACAAATGTGAATTTAGAAGATCTCGCACCATGCATTACTTAACATACTTCCAGCCACTACACTTCCGCCGCTGTGGTCGAGGGCACGGAGGATCCCGCTGACGCCTCCTGCGACGGCACGGTCATCATGCCAATCTCCGCTGTGGTCGACGGCGCGGAGGGGTGTGCCGCACTCTGCCGAAAGACGCTGGCGCCGAACACGTGTGTGGGCTTCCAGACCTACAACGGGTACCTGGACGCGAAGGCGGGCGAGGTACAGCACAGCATCCGTTGTATCTTCATTCGTGATCGTGTTTTGCAATACAAATACCACCTATTATCGTGTTTTGCAATACAAACCAATCAGGTTATGTGCTTGCTGTTCAGCGAAATCAAGTCCGCAGTCAAGTACACCGGCACCGACTGTGGCACCGCCGCCTCCGCCAGGTGTGTATCATGAGCGAGACGTGTCGTGGTTTGAAATTTGTCATGCGGCTTCGGAGAGAGACCAAAGATTTGTCATGCTAGAATCGACATCACACTGTTTTCTGCCGTATCGAAGTTGGTTTGTTTCCGATTGAGTATACTTTCTTGTCCCAGACCACCTCGACTGGTCGATCTGTCGCTGCTGGATTAGTTTAAGTTTTTCGACGTAAGCCGCATGACAGATTTTTGAAAAAGTACATGTTTTTCCATTCCATACTTGATGATCCCGATTTCGTCCGAACCGCTGCGCAAGAGCTTGACGGATTCCATGGACACCATCTCTGCTTTATCCGCAGTAAATTTCCCGTACACGTACAAATGCAGTCTCTGCATGACAACCCTGGGCTTCGATCCTAGTTTAGCATGACAAGCGCTACACTCCAAATTGGTGAAATTTGTGATGCATCTCGTACATGTACGGGAAATTTGTATTGCATATGATTGTATGGCCAAGAAGGAAGAGCCCACGACCACCACTACTACCACCACCACGACGACTATGGAGAGAAAAAAGTTTGTCACAGTCACTAACTTGCAGGTTTTGCATTACAAATTTTCTCAGCACCTCAAACTTTCCTTGTATTGCAGAAACACTAGGGAAATCCCTAATGAAGTTTGTCTGTGATGCATTTTTACGCAAGACAAGCAATTTTGTATTGCAAGAATGCGCATGAGTGATCGTGACGAATTTTTTTTCTTTGATAACGACCACCACCTCTACCACCATGCCCGAGAAACTCCGCCTGAAACAGTGCGTCCCGATATTCAGTGCAACTTTGCGGCTTCGGTATCGGTGCACCTACCCGATGTTGAATTTGTCATGCATGTCCAGGAAAAAATCTGTTCTGGGACGCTGCAGTCTCGATCACTGAGGGAGAAGAGCAAGATGTTGACCTAGAAGTTGCATTGCATACCCTACCAAACCCACCGCGGGCGCGTTCACCGACAACCGGTACAACTACTTCGTCCAGGACAATGTGCTCACCCAGAAGGCCAAGCGCGGCCCCTTCCAGGTCCACGTGGGCACGTGGGATGAGGAATCCCAGAGCTTTCCCAACGGCTCCAAGCTGTGGTGCCCGGGCGGCCGGAAGCGGTCCGCAACGATCAAGAAGGGCCCGGACGTATCAAATGCAGAAATGTCTGGGTCTGGAATGTTGCCGGGTTTGTCATGCATATTTTGCATGACTCCTGACGTCTGTGATGGATGCCCTAGCTTCACAGATTTTGTGAGGGCTTTCTGATGCCTATGCCGCATGAGAAATGCCCTCTCGCCGGGGCAAAAGCTGGACCGCTTCTGCTGTTCATGCAATACAGTAGCATTCAAATGCAGCATCACAAGTTCGCATCCTTCCAGACCCAGACATTTTTGCAGTTCATAGGACGGCTGCAAGCAGAGCTTCTTCTCGGAGCCCAGCCCCTGCAAGTACGTGATGCATGTGTGCTGCTAATGCTAAAAATGGAAGTGCACATCTTCACCTACAGCAAAAAACGTACGTACGATCTGTTTTTCTCTCCTTGCGCACCAGCTTTTACAACATTTTTCATCTTGTACGATGTTCAGACACGATTTAGATTTTTCCAGAGCCGTAAAATGCACGTCAGTTTCATGGAAGAGTTTTAACTTTTCAAGAAAAGAACAAGCTTCATCATCTCATGAAGGGGCAATGACGCAGTAGCTTTATTCGATTCATCTTTTTAGCAAACCAAGAGCGTGCTTCTCTCTTGTTCCTCACATTCAGATAATATTTTCAAACAATGGCAGGTCGTAACGACAAATTCTTTTACTGATATTTTCAAACATTGGCAACTCAGTTTCAAACTAATATTTTCAAACAATGGCACATTTCTTGGGTATTTGGGTATGGTGGGTTTCACAACTCCTTTTTTTGTAGATCTTGACTTATCATGGCTACATCGCTAAACCAGGTAGAGATATTTTCAAACAATCGGCAACATCATTTTGTTCTGAGGTAACAAGATTTGCTCGTCGGATGGAAGCGTCTATGTCTGCTGGAAGATGAAGAGGTTCTCTGATTTTGGAGCGTCGGTTTTTAACATGCTGGCGGGAAAAGCAAGTAACGAAAAAAAAATCAAGAAGGAAGTGCAAGACGTATATGATATCGTGCATTCATCGCAAAGGTCAAGGTGCCTAGTACACCAACAGCTCTGATGTCTCACAACCCGTGCGTTGCGGTGCGATGATCAGACCGTGCAGCGAGAATCACTGTTGCCACTGCTTCTGGCTCAAGATTGTGAAGAAGATCAGAAATAAAGGCGCATGTGAAGTCAGTTTTGGTTTTTGCAACAGGAGCAGATCTTTCTACGTAAAACTAGAAAAGTTGTCTGCGGAAGGTGAAGGGTGCAGTTGGTAGAAAGACGGCCCTTACATCTAGTGGTGTCATCAGTGCACATGGTAGGATCACAGTTTCCTCTCTTCCTTGATCTTCTAACCTGTAAACTTACGTTCATGGAGCTGCTCAACGCGATCATATTTTTGGGCACGTACTGTGTCGCGATCTTTTTACCTGACCGGATCCGAGCAATCACATTGGTCTTGGAAGTTTCACCTAGACTCTAGACACCGGTTTGGTGCTTGCATGGGATCTGTAGCACTACTCGGTACTCCCGACCCGACTGAAGAATTCACAATATGACGTGGCGTTTTTTGTTCATATTAATCTAGAGCGGAAGTAGATTCGTTTCATATTCATTTTTCATCGACCTTGCACCAAGAGCCTGAGCCGGTCCCTCGACGGACGAAATGCAGGGGTGAGAGGATGTAGATGTGCTAGTGGAGTGGAAATAGCGGAGCTCATCTTCCGCTCCCACCGACTCGAGCTGAAAGTGTGGCTTTCGGACGCGCTCAGCACTAAGCAATCCTCGCGACGCTGGTAAGAAGGCGCCCGCGTGAGCGTGGAAACGGACTGGAGGTCAACATCGCGGCGGAAAATTTGCTGTATCCCGACCGACGTCGCAATGGCCGCGTCGTACCGGGTTCGCTTTTGCGCCGTCCGCACTGGACGAGGTGGGCCGCAGAACTTTTCTGGATCTTCATCTTCCAGATCCAGTTCATTCCACAAGCGCTGCAGACGGGTCATTTCATCAAACCTCGAAGGTAGAACTTCGTTATGGTCCCCGGTGACGGGCAACTCTGGTTATCGCCTGCCGTTTCCGGCTACCAGTCGTGGTTTTCCCGCGGCCGGGGAGGCATTCCTACCGCCTTCCACGAAGGCACAGACACGACGACAAAGCGTTTTGAGGAAAGCACCAAGAGCCGCGCCGTCTACCTCTTCGTGTTCCCTCTATTCCGACTGGTGCACTTCGTTCGAGCAAATGGAACTCCACCCGGAGCTGCTACACTCGCTGAACTACCTATCCAGGAAAAAAACGCCTATCCCTTTTTTGCATGGCAAACACTGCAACTTATGCACGTTTTGCATGACAGATTGGGTGGGGGTGGGTGGTTTTGCTTTGATACTACCGGAAAAAGATTTTCCACCCGACGAAAATCCAGGCGGACAGCTGGCGGCCCCAATCGCTCGGGAAAGATACCGTCATTCAAAGCGAAACCGGGTCGGGGAAGACGCTGGCGTACTTACTACCAATTTTAAATCGCGTGTTCTACCGAGCTGCGGGCATATCACACAGCGGGGACGAACAATCAATCGGGGGCAGTCGGGGTCTTCAGGAAGGAGCGCACAGGACGAGCTTTTCATCTCCTGCAAGAACGTCTAGCACTTACAATCAGCATCGCCGCCCCTGCGTAATTCTGACTGCGAACGCGGATCTGTGCGTGCAACTTATTCACGACATCGAGCAGATTGATCCGCACAACGTCGTCGTGTTGCAGTCCCTGGGGACAACTTGGTGTCGCAGTTTCTTAGCGACGGCAGCTTCTGACGAGGATATTACCACGACAGGAGGACGTGGTGGCTCGTCTTCGGGCGGAATATCTTCAACGGACTGCCAAACGTCGACCCGCGGGGATACCAGTGGCAGTGCTCCGACAAGCCGGACGGTGATAACTTCTCCCCGTATACGCTTTCACGCCGTGGATGTCGTCGTTTCTACGGTGCAGAAATTCGCCGAGGATCTGCCGCAGCTCTGCAAGGATGGCTTTTATCCGGAAACCGTCGTGTTCGACGAGGCTGATTTACTCTTCCACGGTATGATCCCGGAAAAATGAAGCGCCTGTCTCCAGCGACCCAACGTAGTGGAGAGTGAAGTCGTCCTTTGTGGCAATCGACGATGTAAATTCAACGGAGTGGATCTCTTCTAAAATTCCGCCCTGCGCTGGAGTGAGGACGGGATTCAAAATGAAGATGAAGATGAACAGCACAGCCATGCCTTGAATAGCCACACTTTTACTGAGCCGCACAGTATTTCTTTTGACATGAGCAGATAGTGGCTGGCAAGGCCGATGATATCGGCCCGCGAAAAAATCAAGCATGTACTTTTCACACTTTTTCTGCTACGAAGAGTCCGTTTTTTCGGTTCCATTTCCCGCGCCACCAGAACCTACGTGTACGACATTTTCAGCTACCTTCGGCCCCGCCTGAAAATTCGCCAACCTGGAGAGGAAAATTTCGTCAAAATGACCCGCTTGCCGCTCATCCCAACGCAGTTTGTCTAGGGAAATTGCAAAAGCATGTATTTCGATCATCGAGAAGTAGACAACATAGCATTTCAACCCTTTGTTCCAAAAGGAATAAAAATATGGAATTTGTCTTTGTCATGCCGATTTACATTATATATACTGCTTTTGCGCAGGATATTGTCTTTTCCACGGCAACAGTAACGCACATCGGGCCCTTGTCCATCGGCAACATGCTGATTGAGCGGTTTTGTACCGCCGAGACCGTTCATGGACGCGGAGGTAGTGGAGCTGCTGATGGCAGAGCACCGACGGTGGAGCAGGGTCTTCTCGAAGCTGACGAAAATGGAAATTATCTACCTGCTTCGGGTACCGTGGCGGAGTCCTCTCTCCTAGGAGTTTTCCCAGCCGGCGGTGGTGGTCCTGCGACGACCTCGCACACGCTGCCGGAGTCAATACAGATATGGGAAGAAAAAAGTGTTACAGTTACACATTGTGTTCTTGCAAGACCGGCAACACAGACAGCCTTTCTCATGCAGATCTCCTTCCTGTTTTCCTTCCTGTTTTCCCTTATGTTTTCTGCATTACGCAGAGAACATTTGTGTTGCGGAATTGACAACGAATGTGTAACTGTAACACTTTTTTCGTGGGATAACAGACGGAGTGGATCTATCACGCCTCGGAAGATTGGAACACCCGCGTCGAGGACCTAATTCGCCTGCTGCAGGAGATATCCTGTGCAAAAGTACCGTACTTGTATTGCAATCATGCATTACAAATTTCTTTCTTAAGTCAAATCCCCATTACAAATTTTATTTTTCATGCTGAGGAAGCTTGTAATGCAAAGTGCAGCGATGCTTTTGCATTTCATAGGAGAAGCAGCGCGGCGGTTGTTCTGGCGGTGTGGTACGGAGCGGGCGATTTTCGCAACCCGTACAGCGCACGTTGATCTTCACGAACAAGGCTTCGAACGCGGAAATTCTGACCGACCACCTGCGTCGCCTCAAATGGCCTGTGGTGCTGTACGCGAAAGGGAAAAAGGGAAAGATGGGACCCCGCATGCGCGAAGTCGCGGAAAATTTTCTCGGCGGAAGTTGTACGAGTGCTGCAGCTCATCTGGGGGCAACGCCATCTTCAACATCGGCTCCTTCGAATGGTTCTATGGATGATGGGCATCATCAAGTACAACTACAAGTACATCAGCCGACCTTCTGCGTTTCCACGGACCTGGGCGGGCGGGGAATCGACTGGCCTGATATCGACCATGTGGTGAATTTCGAATTCCCGCGCGATGCCATCACGTTCCTGCACCGGGCCGGCCGCACGGGGCGCATGGGAAGACCGGGCTTGGTTACCAGCTTCATCGCGGAAAAAGACCAACGTATGGCAGAAGAAAAATCAACGCCGACCTAGTTCTCGTCGGAGCTATTCATCGAGTTTAAGTAGCATGACATGCGCAAAGATGAAAAATGAAATGATGCATTCATTTTGCACCACGACCGATTTATTTTTGTCTTGTCTCGCAGAGTCTATCAATCAGCACACACAAAGTTTTGTACATTCAGAAATGCGAAGACGAAGTGCTCGTGCAGCAGTACCGACCTTGTACAGTGGTGGCGATATTATCGGTTTCTTCTGGATACCGTAGCTGGCGGAAAGCATTGTGGAAAATTTCGACAGCTTGGAAAAAAGCTTCAGCCTGAAAAGAAGCTTGCGGAAGAGGAGACGGCGGCAAGCGGCTGCGGAAGACGCCGAGGAGCAGCAGAACAAGGGGCTCCACAGCGGAACAACTGCACCAGGAACAAGTAGTGCTGCCGCAGCAAGGACTTCCTCTGCCGATAGTGCTACGAGCAGAAAAATATAAACAAAAATGTCAATAAAATCAGCTCCTTTAATAGAAAGATTTAGAGCATCCATTCGGATTTTTTGGGATGAAGACGTTTGCCACCTTTATTGCTTCTCTTGCATCAACAGTTGAACATGAGGCAACTTGTACGTCTTTCCAATGTCATCCATTCGAACAGCAGAAATTCAAATTTCAATTTCGTTCGCGTCTGTATGGGTCTGTGAATTAGGATCACTCATGATGCAATGTTTTTCTGGCGATAGAACACGGGAGGTACTTCTACGTAAATCACACTGATAGCGCGGACCACCGTGACGGCCGCGAAGAGCAACCACCTTCTAAGTCCGCGGTCGCAGGAGGAAGTGCAGCGACGACTCCCCTCGCCGCAACCGGGGTTATTCGGTGGAGTAGGAGGGGAAGCACAAGGACCGGGCGGGACGCGGAAGAAGTGGAGGAGACGCTGCCTGGAACAGGAGGTATGCACCCAAGCTATTCCAGGACAAGTGCCGCAGCAGAGGAAGGAAAAGGAGCTCCTGCGGCGGCAAGTAGAACTTCTTCTACTAGTGCTAGTCCAACTGGACGTCCTCGGACAAGTGGAGGTGGACCAGCAGGTCCAGAAGTGCGGCCTCCCCCGCCTTTCGGCGAGGTAATTGGGTGGACGGAGGACTGCTTTTCCGATGAGGAAGATCAATTTCAATCAACACCTGGAAATATTTCTGCCTTCTCAGAGGAAGAATCCCACCTACAGCAGCAGGGGCAGGTTCCAAGGCAGGACGGCCAAGATGAAATGCTGGATGACGATCAGCATCTTCACGGTGGTTTGGTAGAGCATCATCATAATCATCACATTGTCGGCAGAAAATCATACCCATACGACAACTCGACCACTGCTACTGCCCAGGAGGGACAAGAAAAGACCAGCTTTGCTTCCGCAGGACTAACGAGCGGGTCGTCACCGCCCTCACGACCAGGTGGAGCAGAGGAGGTGCTGGAGCAACCTGCTGTTTCATTTTTATCCCAACAATGCGGTGGTCACAAAAATGCCTTTCACGGAGAACACGCACAGGAGACGACGGCCGGAGTAGTGCATGGAAGACACAAACCCGGGAGGACTAGATCTGGAATGCCAGCATATTCAACCGTAGATGAAGTCCATCCCTCCTCCGAATATCCTACGCCCAAAACCGCCTCGCCCACCGAGTCCGCGTTTGATCGGTTGCAGAAGAAGCTGCTTGGGGGCGGGGGGAAAAATGACGCGGCGAGAATGAAGACTTCTGGCGCGGCGCCGGCAAAGTCGATGGGCAGCTATAATTCGAGCCGCAGCGCAGTTCGGGCAGCTGACGGCGAGATGAAACTACCCCCGAGCAACGTCTTTAGTCCAGCAGAGGAAGTTGTAGACGAGGCACCAGGAGGTAAGCATCGCCGCAACCAGCTGCACCCGGGTGAAGTGCAGCATCATCTTCGCGGGCAAGTGTATCAAATGGCAGAAATAAAAATGTCCGGTAGTTTGATGCAACTAGATCTAGATGTGAGTCAGACAAGAAACTGGAGATGAAGGGGATCACATTCCTCCTCTAAATTCGGCTTTCCGCGACCATTCGAGGACGATATGACTTCGCATATTGGGCGGGACAAAGTAAGTAAGGCTTATTTCAGCACGAGGAGGTGGGCCTCAAGCAGCTTTTGCTTCATCATCGTGTTCACGACAAGAAAGATGCATGACACGAGGATTTGGTTATATTTGTGATTATCCACAATGTCGCTCACCACCGACACTAAAAAAGAGCTGAGAACCAGATCACGTAGCAGAACTACAATTACTGGAGTTGCATTTTTGCATACGCGACTCACACCGCGGACCAGCTTGTTTATCCTGTGTAAAATCGACGTTATCTTCGCTCTCTCACAATTTTTGTGGTATAATGCTTGAGGTGCAGCAATGTACTTTATCTTTATGCGCGTATTAGCATGACAGATTGGGGTTCTAGGAGGTCTCCTGCGTCCGACACCACTTGCGGCGACGGTGCAAAGGTTTCTTTTCAATGAGGTGAAGGCGCGGGTGCGCATGACAAATTGAGACGTACGAAGATGACGTTGCACATGGATGTTGTGGAACCGATCTGCAGATGGTTTTGAGGCTCCTCGAAAGCCGTATGGTGCTGTTCCGCGCAGGTGTTACATTCCTTGCATTACAAATTATTTATGTGTGAGTTCTTCGATGCTGTTTGCCACCAAGAAGTGGGTGAAAATTATTTGCATTAATCTCAGTATGATCTATGGAGATACAAAAGTCCTCAAATGAGATTGTAACAGCACGATGTGAACGGGCCATAAGCTGGAGAGATTGCGGCGGCAGGGACAGAAGTTACTCACGGCAAAGATGTCTGGGGCTGGTGGAAAGAGGGTGCACATAATTCGAGGAATGCAGCATGACAAACTTCAACACCGAATGTAGCAGGACAAATTTTCCGAACTACAACCTTGTACGTACCTGTTTTCGAAAAATACGCATGACAAATCCTGTCATCTTCTCCGAACCCCCGCATCAAGCACAAAAGCGTCGCTCCCATTGTTCCGTAGTAGGCATGAAAGACCTCCTCGCAGTCGCAAAAATTTCCTTAGGAGCTGCCACGCTACTTACACGAAATTGCAGTTCTCTACCCCAGGTCCTCCAGCCCCAGAAGACACTTTTCTTTGCAATGCATAAAGACACGCGCTTCGCAACTTCGACGAGGATGTGCCACCACTCTGAGTAGATAACTCGACGAGGAGCTGAGAAGAAGTTCTTCATCACTGCCAAATGATCTTCTGTCTTGGGAGCTACACGAATGATGTGCTGATCGTGGAGGTGATAATCCGCATGACAGTGACAATTTTGGGACTGTGGGTAGGTATTTCTTGCCACAGGATCTGAAGATACTTGAAAAAGAGCCAGCTTATGTCTACTTCCCCGGCATGCAGAGCCAGAGGAGGCTGCAAGAGTGAGTATTTCTTGACTTACTCTCCCACTCACTCCCACGACGTGTCTGCCATGCACATGAAGATGAGGAGTTGGGACGGAACCACTTAAAGTTGGTTGTGCACGACGCTCATAGTATATTTCTGAGCTTTATAAAACTGAAGAATAAAAACAGCACAGCGCTACTCCTGTTTATCATTTCCGAAATATCCGTCATGATGATTACTTACGTTTACGCGCATAGCAAACTATAACTATGCGCGCTGTCAGCACATTTTTCGTCCTGCTCGTGTGTTTCGTTGCTAGAGCGGTATTTTCATTTATTTTAACGACTAATCTAATACTATACTCGCATTGGCGAACGGGAACGCGAACCCGAAAGAAGTTTTTTCGGTGGTGCGTTTCAACAAGAAATGCTGTTTGAAACCCTTTTGTTGTCGGTTTTGAGACTTCTTGTTGTCGGTTTCGAGCTTTTCCACATTCGGGAATTCGGTCGAGTTGTTGTTACATTGTCCGCACGAAGCGTTGTGGCCAAGAATAGCTGTGTCGTCCATTGGTGTCGTGAGAATAAAGATTAAGATGAACAAAGCTCGTCCTTGCTCGGTCTTGCTCGTCCTGGTTTGATGAATTCGTTCTCGTAGTCTCGGTCTTACTCGTCCTGGTTTGCTACTAGCGCTGCACTTGCAGAGCAAAACCAAAATACCTCGGTGTCGGAGTTTGTGCAGGAACATCCTAGTGCTCGTCTCGTCCCCTTGTCGTCCAAAGAACAAAGAGAAACGCAAGTATACTTCTACGCGTGTTGGCTTCATCACAAAAACGAGCAACCTTGCTAGAAACAAAGGCGTAGGTGAAACAGGAATAGGTTTTTCGTTTCGATATCGGTCGTCCTGCTCGTGAAACGGAAGACGTCCTCTTTATGCGCACATCAGAAATCAGAATCGTCGGTAGCAGCTGCGTACGTCCTCCTTTATTTTCTGTTGGCTGATCATGTATGCATTTGTACTATTGTTTCTCTTCAGATTGCACGTGGCTCTGGCTACGATCATTTCTATTCGACGTATGTATTGTTTCTCGCAATTTGTTCTCGTCCCGTCTTCTCTTCCTCGACAGGTAAAAAGAAGTTTTCCACGAACTTTCTTTCTTGCCCCAACGCGCATTCCTTTTCTCTCGAAAAATTTTGATTTTTAAAACACCTTGCTTTCTAAAGTACTTTTTACACGACCTGGCTGAGAACAGCTCCGATCTTTACATTTTGACGCCTTCTTTTTTACGAACACAACGACCAAAACCGAACTTGCTCTAGTCTCCTTCTTTTTATTGCAACAAGCAACAGCATCGACCTTTTTTTTTTAATTCTTTTATTCTTGACTTTTTTTTTGCAGCACCCCTGCGCCTTTTTTTTCATTTTTTTCGAAAGAAGTATCTATAGCGCACGTGTAACTTAAAGAACAGCAACAGCTGCTGGCATCCTGACACATTAATAACGACGAACTTTTTTTGAAAATTTTGCAACATAGAGCTAAACTGAAGCACTCAGAGAACGTTTTCAACTTTTTTCTTTTTCACAAATCGAATATACTTCTATTTTACAGTAGCACCAGCAAGCAAAAACTTCTCTTTTCAAGCCCAAACGCCGAAGCACGCCACTACTTACTACGATAAAGATTTTCATAAACAAAGATCATTTTTTTTTTTTTGTATCACTCAGATTTTCACTCATTTTTTTTATTTTTTTTTTTAATTTTCTCACAAGAACATCAACAAAACAATCATGCCAATCAGCAGACAAGTGAAGAGTGTGGCTGGAGCGGTAAAGGTTTTGTAGTTTTTCTGGTTTGATGTCATGCACGCAAGGCTTTTGCGCTTTCTGGTCAGAGTTGATGTCTCTCTTGTAATGGAAATGGATTATGACGAGTTGTGTCGACGCGTTTTATTTTGTGTTGCGTGCTGCGTGTGCTCCTGGCTGCTATTCTTCTAGCTTCTCAAAAAATCCCACAAACTTAGCTCATCTTAGCAGCATCCACGGAAGTAGCCCAAGCTTACACATTCGGAAGAAAGTTCTCTGCTGCCTTCTTTGAGATTGATTCTTCATGGAAACAGTGCAAGAAAAATCGTCTTGAAGCGTGTTGCAGAAAGACTGGAGATTGTGTGCGGGAGCATTCCTCCCAGAATTTGAATTTTGTTGCCAAAAGTTGCTGCTGCAGATGAATGAACTATACCAGCTCCGTGCTGCTTGTCATGACTGTTTAGGGAAAAATATCTTATCCTGCAGCTCCCGATGTTGTTTAAACTAAAACTCAGGTGGTCAGAGCTGTTACGCAGGGTCCAGGTGGGGGCTATTCAGAGATGAAGTGCAGGAGCCCATTATTCTTTTTGTGTACCCTACCCCTCGTGCGGCATAATTGAGTCTACATGGGCGGCAGCGAGGTCATGAACGATATGGGATTTTTCATTTTCCAGCGAGTTGTATTCGAATTTCTATCTCAACTTGAAGAACTAGGGCTTGGATGTTCTGTCGATCCGCGTCCACCGTCCGAGGTGGGCGCAGCTGCAGGACCATGATTGATGAGAAAAACCACGCCTTTTTCATCTCATTGTGTATCTTCAGATATTACCTCCAAAAGGGCTCGTTTTTTCGACCTCTGAAAGTAGTTCCCCACCTGACGCTGGCATACCTGCGACCGTGCTCACCTTGCAGATTGAGGAACGGCGGGGGGTTATCGAACAGGAAAAAAAAGAATATTGCTATCACCTTTTTCGCCGTGCAGATTGTAGTTCTGCCACAGAACATCAATAATAATGCAGAAATAGGCGGCGTGCGCGTGCTGCATGTGGCTTGGCGTATTGGTTTGGCCTTGAGGAGTCACGTGCAGATCTTCACCGAGCGCAGCTTTCAATCCGAGTCCGAAGGCTTTTCTCATCTGCCACGCATCTACATCAGGAGAAATGTCTCATGCTAATTATATGTATGAAATTTGTACTTGAAGTGCATTTCTGGTTTCATGCAACGCACATAATTTTCCAGCGTGTGATGATTTGAATTTGATGGATGAAAAAGAAAGAGACCGGTACGCCCTGAGACCTAAAACGCGAAACACGACGGAACTACGAAGGTCGCTTGTTATTTTTCGGGAAATTAAATACCGCGGAGCACGTATATCGCCCGTGAAACAGATTGCCCGTTCTCCGGGGAATCCGCCCTCGCCAACGGGGGTCCGCCCGCTCCCCGGGGGATCCGCCCTCGCCCCCGGGGATCCGCCCTCGACCGGGGGATCCGCCCTCGCCCCCGGGGATCCGGCCTCATCCCGGGGGTCCGCCAACTTCCCCGGGGATCCGCCCTCTTCCCGGGGACCCGCCCGTTCCCCGGGGATCCGCCCGTTGCCCGGGGATCCGCCCGCTCCCCGGGGATCCGCCTTCGCCCAGGGGATCCGCCCGCTTCCCGGGGATCCGCCCTCGCCCCGGGGATCCGCCCGTTACTCGGGGATCCGCCTTCGCCCCGGAGCGCGCCCATTTCCCGGGGATCCGGCTTCGCGCAGGGGATCCGCCCGCTCCCCGAGGATCCGCCCGCTTCCCGGGGATCCGCCTTGGCCCAGGGGATCCGCCTTCGCCCAGGGGATCCGCCCGTTACTCGGGGATCCGCCCGTTCCCCGGGGATCCGCCCGCGCCCCCGAGTGCGTTGCAAAATGTGCGCCGGTTTGCCGCAATGTCCGTGGTGCCGCATCAGAGGGCTGCGGAGCCCTTCGACGGCCCATGTGCACAGCCCTCTGGCCTCTGGCCAAATCGGGACCATACCACCGGGGGAGGCCCTTCCGAAGCGGCCCAAATTGGGCCAGAGGACCCGACAGAGGATCTTCGGACCCTTGGACGGGTCCTCTGTAAAGTCCTCTGGTCAAATCGAGGCCATACCACCGGGGGAAGGTCGCTCCAGGCGGTCCAAATTGGGCCAGAGGACCCGACTGAGGGCCTTCGGGTCCTCTGACGGGTCCTCTGTAAAGTCCCCGGGTCAAATCGAGGCCGTGCCATCGGGGAAAGGCCGCCCGAGGCGGTCCAAATTTTGCCAGAGGACCCGACCGAGGATCTTCGGGTCCTCTGACGGGTCCTCTGCAAAGTCCTCTGGTCAAATCGAGGCCGTACCACCGGGGGAAGGTCGCTCCAGGCGGTCCAAATTGGGCCAGAGGACCCGACAGAGGATCCTCGGGTCCTCTGACGGGTCCTCCGTAAAGTCCTCTGGTCAAATCGAGGCCATACCACCGGGGGAAGGTCGCTCCCTCCAGGCGGTCCAAATTGTGCCAGAGGACCCGACAGAGGATCTTCGGGTCCTCTGACGGGTCCTCTGTAAAATCCTCTGGTCAAATCAAGGCCGTGCCGTCGGGGAAAGGCCGCCCGAGGCGGTCCAAATTGCGCCAGAGGACCCGACAGAGGATCTTCGGTTCCTCTGAGGGGTCCTCTGTAAAGTCCTCGGGTCAAATCGAGGCCGTACCACCGGGGGAAGGTCGCTCCAGGCGGTCCAAATTGGGCCAGAGCACCCGACAGAGGAGCTTCGGGTCCCCTGGCGGGTCCTCTGTAAAGTCCTCTGGTCAAATCGAGGCCGTGCCATCGGGGAAAGGCCGCCCGAGGCGGTCCAAATTGGGCCAGAGGACCCGACAGAGGATCCTCGGGGCCTCTGCCGGGTCCCCTGTGAAGTCCTCTGGTCAAATCGAGGCCGTGCCTACCATCGGGGAAAGGCCGCCCGAAGCGGTCCAAATTGGGCCAGGGGACCCGTCAGAGGATCTTCGGGTCCTCTGACGGGTCCTCTGTAGAGTCCTCTGGTCAAATCGAGGCCGTGCCTACCATCGGGGAGAGGCCGCCCGAAGCGGCCCAATCAGCAGGAGTGCGCCGGTTTGCCGCGCCTCCCAATCCGGCGGCAAACAGCACGGGACTCTGCCACTTGGGTCGTTTTCTGTGTTGTTTTGAAACGTTTCGCCAAAGCAAGCACAATCACGGGCGGGCTGCGTCGCCACAAGAGGCAAATCGCGTGACATTTACAAGGCCAATCACGACGGGAGTACTCTCCGGCGGCCGCGCTGGTTTTTGAGGCTACAGGAGCGGAGGCCGTTGCTTTTTAGGTCCCACAGCGTACCCTTCTCTTTCATGGTGCTAGCTGTGTTCTTTTACTTTTTTCCTTCCATACCAATGGCGTTTGCCCTGCGAGCGGAAGCTTTCAAGAATGACACTTCGCCAGTTCTTATCCATTGCAAAAGAAAAGATAAAGAATAGATCATGTGTAGTTTTTGTTTGCGCGGTATTCTGCAACGAAAGGCTCCTAGTCGTGGCGCAGCTGAAGTGGATTCGCTGCAATTTGGTCATTTTGCACGCGACGCCATTCTATTTGTGCAAGAATGCACGTTTCACAAGCACCTGAGCAAGTGCGTGATGCATCTTATGTGAGGCGTCCTGATGAAGATTTTCATCCAACAGCGGCTACTTAAGAAATTATCACTAAGCAGCTTTTTGGACAGGTCGCAGCTGAGTACGTAAAGAGCGTTGCGGACTAATACTAAAAACTTGTTTGTTACGCAAAAGGAGCCTCTACTGAGGTTAGTCGTGAAGATCATACGGAGACTACTTTATTGATTTGTGCAATGGATATTGCTCGTTCTCCGGGATACCGACGTCGACAAGGTACGAGCCTATCAACATCATCATGTAGCAGAAAAGCACATTGTCCACACGATATAGATATAGATATTCCTTTTCATCATGTGAAGCATATTTTAATTTTTCTCCTGCCGACCCTAAGTTCTACTACTAGCAAGCTGAAGTTACCTGCAGTCTTTTTATTTGTCATACGATCAGGTGCAGGGCGACGACCGCGAGCAATCGGAAGTTTTATCCCTCCATAAATATGTGTTGCAACGTGTCTGGGTCTGGGTCTGGAAGAGTTGTAGCTTGTGATGCCACCTGTGAAGCAGTAAGTAGCAGAATCGCGCGAAAACATGTTGCACGAACGTGCCTGCATTCCCGTTTCTTACTACGCAGGGAGTGAACACTTGCAATGCTTCGTCGTACGGGACATTACGCTAGGCATTACGAGGCCTTCGCAATAGCTGTATTGTGGTGCATTGGCTTGCAACACACCATGCAGCCGTTTGCCTGGTCCTGGTCCAAAAATAAATGCATATGCAAAAAAAGGCGCAGCCCTTCCAGATGCACCAGACTGACTTGCGCTTGATACTCGATTTGCGGTTACATTTTCACATGATGCGTTGCTGCTTCATTATCAAGCAAAAAAGTGTATAACGTTAATGGCTTTGAGGCATTGCAGTCATGCATGAAACAAGACTTTCGCTATCATGCATGCTGTGCAATACAAATTTAGGCATCAGCTCTCGTGCATTCCTGCATGCCAAATTCTGTTAACGTTAACACTTTTTCCTGTGATATTCATTATCCAATTTCTATTTACTTTAATAGTTGTCCTCATCAAGCATGCTGGGGGGCCCTGTTTGCATCAGAAATAAAGAAATCGGAAAAAAAATTGGAGCAGGAACCGCAAGTGTAAATGTAGCACGACTTTGAGGGGGTTATAGGCAGCGAAGCAAGATGGCTTTTCTTCGGCGGCGTCGTGGTCGTGGTGGTGGCCTTTTTCTTGTATCCAGTGAAAATAGAATGTCGGGAATGTCTCGAGAATTTGGCGTGCAAACTCGTGGAAGCAGATTGCTAGTAGTGCGAGTGCCACTGCCAGCAGGTTTTCTAATGCACACTGACCCACAAAAGCAAAAGTTTTTGCTTTGCAATATAGTGCACACAAGACTTAGATTGATAAAAAGGACGATAGTTTAATTGGGAAACTATTAACATGGTTATTTATTCGGCTCCGCAAGACAAACTAACAAAAGGCCGCAGCCTAAGCACAGAATAATAAACAAGCGACGCCGCGCTTCTGATTCAGCTTCTCACGGAACTTGCATGGAAGCGGCGGAGCCGAACACCATACATGTTGACAAACGTCATTTATTCAAAATTGCGCTTAATGCCCGAGACCCGGACATATTCATGCGATGCATATTTGCAGCCCAGACGCGATCTTCCCCTGTTGAAATGCCATCAGCTTCGACCGCCAAACCCGATGCCAGTGATTTCCTGCAGAAAACGGTCCGTGTTGGCGAAGATCGGCTTGGACGCGAAGTCAGCCAGGACGACACCCACGCAGACCGCCAGCTGCCAGTGTATCGGCTACGCGGGACACGTGCCAAAATTCTCGAAGCACGCGCCGAGCATCAGGGAGCCCAATCCGCTGCCGCCAATGCCGGAATCCATGGCACGCATGGGGAACAACGGCTAGGGCTCGCCCCTCCGATTCTTCTCGGTCCAGAAGAACAGCCCGGAGGCGCCCGCAACAAAGTTGGGTCCTGGCAGGAAGGAGGAGCAGATGAAGCAGAAGCTGCGCAGGAGCAGAACGCCGAAGGGCCAGGAAGCAGTGCGCCAACCGCGGGTTTGGAGCTGTCTGAAAGTGTCTCTTCGGTCGCTCCTGGCGACGAGCCGCAGGCAGTGTTTTATCTGCGGACGCCTCCCCCAGGGCCCCACGACCTCCACTGGTGGGTTGCTGTCCCGCCGCCGCCCCTCAGTCAGTTTTTGCGTCCCGGCAGCGCACCAAGCCCTCGGTGGTTTCCCGGCAGGGGCCAAGAATTTGATTTAACGTTTAACTTCGAGCCTGGCCTTGCCACCAGGAGTCTCGTCATGGGCTATGAGAGAAAATATGACAGCATGTTGTACGAGCAACTTCGTAATGTTGTGTTGTTTCGCTATTTTTCGTGGTTGCGGTCGCCCAACAAGAAGCCCGGGATGGAGATTTTGGTGCACTATTGCTCGATACGAGTACAAGAAGGTAGCTGGGTGAGCCGCATCGTCAAAACCGTTAAACACTATTTCGTGTCGGTTCATGACACTTTGCAGGACGTATATTACACGCTGGAGTATGAGGCGGACTACGGAGCCATGATTTACGGCCCAATACACGGCCAGCCCGGGACCAATTTCCCCTGCCATGAGGAACCCGTCCTGGATACAAGCGGTAACGTCCCCAATTCCATGTGGTTACCGGGGCCCCACAACGGTTCCGGGGGCTTGGTTGGTCTCGTCGAGACCTTTGCTGCGCTTGTGGACGCGCGCCAGTATTATGCGGCGCACTATCTGCCCGGGGTGCACGATATCGAAAGAAAAAGCGTTTGCGTTTACGGTCTTTGGTTTTTTTAAATAAAAACTTTTTCCGCGGCGTGCATTGGAGTTCGCTCGTTGACTCTGTTAGCTACTGAGGGCAGGGTATGGCGATACGGATTTCCGCCCACCGGAATCGCCTTGCGTTATGCCTTCTCGCCCCTCAATGTCGGCTCTCGGGACCCGGGCCAGGGCGGTCCAGCCTCGAGGAGTGGTTGGCGCTCAGACTTGTGGGTCTAAGTAGAGCTGGCATCTGGTTGGCGTCACCACCAGTTCATCGCTGTGTCCCTTTTCCCATTTCCATATCGTCACTTCGAGCCAGATTTTCTCCATGATTGGAGGAAAAGTTGCATTTTCGAGGGCGTGGGAAATTGGCGAGCTTTGGGCACCAAAATGCCCAAAATATGCCGGCACCCAAAAAACCGCAGACACCTTAACTAGGAGGTGCGACGGCATGATCGCCAAAAATGGTAAAATGGCCAAAAAAACCGTAAGTGGCTTAACTAGACAGAGCGGCGCTTTGCCCGATTGACCTTCTCAGAACACGTGCTCCGATGCTTGCAGCTGTTTGAGTGAAGGAAAATAGACCATACTAGCATGCCGTCTAGGTCTAGGTACGGCGTTTACGGTTTCTTTTCGGGACATGCCATTTTTCTTGGCCTCGAAATAGTAGCAAGCCGTTGACCTTTTCCTCGGATTCTTCAAATACTTAGATAAACCGCAAGTAGCGCCATATCTAAAAAGGACGCCATGGCCCATTTTGCCTGACCCAAGCGCAAGCAGAGCAGCGTCCTGCGTCGATGGTTGTGGCGCCTTCGGGGGCGCGTCTCACCATCTACGCCTGGGGCCCTGAGCCACCGGCTTGAGGTCATCATTGCCCTGGAGCCCGGACAGCAGGGCTTGGGAAACTCTTTCAAAGCTTTACGGGGCGCAGCATTGTGGATCGCATCTTGCTCGCTAGCTGCCCGCCCCAACAGTTTTATTACTTCAGAACCCCGAAGGGGCAAAGGGGATGGCCCAAGGCTGCGAGAAAAAAGAATCAAAATTGGTCGCACCGTGTAGCCACAAAAGCTTTTTTCTGCCAAGAAACTGATAGAGAAACCGTAGACGCGCACGCCTTTTCTTGTGATGCGCGATTGCCAGACGTTCGTGGCTGATTTCGTTAACCTTGTCCGCACGCAAGACGACTGGGCGCTCACCGTTTCGGAGCTCCAGGAATGGATTCCGCCGCTGCCGGGGTTTGAATTTCGCGATGCGATCAGCAGGGTGCGCGCGCGACATTTTCAGTCTACCGACCTTCCCGTGGTGTGGCGTCAGATGCAAGCGCAGGAGCAAAAGTATTCGCAGACGAGCCCGAACGTGTACTATTGGCTACATGGCATGTCGGCTCTTGCCAATGGAGGTTTTTTGTCGCCAGATACCCCACGAACGCACGCCCCCACCCTCGCGGCGCGCGCCGCCTGCCCACGCAGCGAGCATGAGAACAAAAGACGAAGGTCAGAAAGCCCGGTGGGCCGGCCCCCGCTTCTTTTCTGGCCAGTCGGCCCTTTGGACAGCAAGCCCGCCGCGACCTCTGAGCGCAGCCCCAGGGCGGGCAGGTCTTTGGGCCCGCAATGGCACCCAGGCGGGCCAAAAAACAAAGCGGGGGCCCGCCGCACTCAATTCAGGCGCGGCGCCTGCCCGATGGTAGTGCTTCGTCACAATCGGAAGGGGTTCTTGGGCGGGGGGCAGGTTCCAATATGATTTCGGCGGGGCGGCCGGTCGCCCCATGAATGGTATGGCCCGAAGCTTGGGGGCTTGGCCTGGGCCCCCGGGCAGGGAGGGCGCGCGGACTTTCCTGCGGCCGTGTGAGGCTCATTGGCTCGGATAGAAGGAGAAGGCAGGCGGCCCACTTCTCAGGCAGCCGGCCCCTGGGGCGCCGGCCCCACGTCAGGTTGCCGGCCCCTGCTGGTTTGGGCGGGAAAAAACGCCGCAGAGACCCCTAATAGCAAAATTGGTCGCGCTGGCCTTGGCGCGTTTTCATTCGCTCCACTGTCCCGATCAAGCGGCCGCCGCCGGCCTTCCCAGCCACCCCGCCCGCAGCCCTTTTCTCTTTTAAGAAAGCCCAAAACAGGGCCCGGCCCAAGTTTCCTTGGGGTGCTTCTATCTCCGATCGCCCTTTTCGCTTTTGGCGTGCGAGCCCCCGAGCCGGCCCCTGGCGTGGGTGTCCGTCCCCTGTTGGCTTCCCCGGACGGCGCGTCGGCCTTTTCGCTGCCTGACAGGCCCACCGATGGGAAGATGGAAGCCTGGGCGTGGTGGCATTGTTCCCTCCCAAGGCGGTGGGCGGGTGGGCGGTTGCCGCTCCGAGGGGCTGCGAGCGACTGTGCGCGCCGGCTTTTCTTGGTGTCCGGCTGGTGGGCGCTTGGGCAAGTTGCCTGCCGCCCGGCTAGCTTGCCGCCGGCGTGTGGCTTTTTTGGGTTCGTCTTAGTTTTGGCGCCCGGCCGGGTTGGGACTTCGCATCCATGTTCCGCCGGCCCCCGCCCTCAGTCGGTCCGGGCGCCGCCCTCCGCCCGGGGCCGTGTGTTCCTTTGCGCCCCCCCCCCCCCCGGCCGGGTCGCGTTAGTCTACTTACTTTCTTAGCCGCTATTATGTTTTTGGGCGGTGGCGTGTTATTGTTTTTCTTCTCGCGGCTTGAACGGCTAAAAAAAAAAACTGCGCTATGGCTTTCGCGAATTTGTTAGCAGGCGTCTTCGGGGAAAAACGCGAAAAAGAAGCAAAAACTGTCAGAGGCCTTAGGAAGGTAGCTAGGTAGCCAACAAACTAGCACGAAACCAAACGAAGCGCCGCGCGCATATATAGGCGGCCGGCGCAACCCCCAATGGGATTGGCCCGGGGGGGGCGCCGGTTTTTCAAGAAGCCCGCAGCACAGCTTGGCTCTGTTTGGAAGAAGCGCAAGCGATGGCCCGGCTGCCCCGCCGCCTATTTGCCGGGGGCTCGATGGCCCGGCCGCCCCGGGGGTTGGAGGCGGGGGCCGTGTGTTTCGCGGCCGTGCTTGTGGTCCCAGCGAGCCCCGCCTTCCGTTTGGTATATAACTAAAGGGCGCATGCCTGTGGCCCCAGCTGCCTGCACAGCCGCCCCGGGCCGTGGGCTGTCATTCAGTAGGGGGTGCGCCTAGAGGCCTCTTGCCTGGCAGGCTGGCTCGCTTCGCTTGGTGTCCTGCCGATGGCTTCTGCGGCGGGCATCGATCACTATTGAACGGCCCCGGCGGTGGCCCTGTGCCATTGTTGCCGCGCGGGCGGGCCAGGCAGTCAATGAAAGCCTTTGCGCCTAGTCTGTGTTTGTGTTGATGGCACGCGCGCCAAAGGCTGAAGGGCGCGGGCGCGCCCGCGCAGTCTTCCCGAAGGCGATGGCTTTCTTATTCTTTTTTTGAAAATAAAGCGCAGGAGGCCGCGCGCGTGCGCGCGTCAGCCTTTCGCCCTTCTTCTCCCTCGCACGCCCCCGGGGCGGCCGTCCGCCTTTGTTTTCCGCAGGCCCGGCGGGCCACCGGGGCCCGCCCGGCCCGCGGGCCGCGCGTCCCTCCTGCCTTGCTTCTTTGCTGGGCCTTGGCGGCTGCAGAAGTGGAGCCACCGTCGGGGGCCTGATCGGTTTTGGCCACATTCATACCCGAGGGCCCTCCCTTCGCCTCCCTATCTGCTTCCCACCCGCACCAAGGAAGCAAGGAGCGGGGCCGGCGTTTGCACTTGCGCTCGCCGGCCGCCTCGTCTGGCCGGCGAAGCGAAGGAGCCAAGCAAGCTAGCCGGGGCCTACTTACTATCTATATTCTCCGGGCCTAGTCTCGCAAAAAGGTTGGTAAGCGACCCCCCGCGCGTCTTGGTTATTGCAGACGTTAGAAGCTGTCTCGGGCGTGGGCCTCGAAGGGTTTTGGGGGTGACCAAAAGACTCGCCTGGACTGCTGCGTGTCCGTCGCGAAAAGTGGGTGCGCCCGGGGGACGCAAGCAAGCGCGCCCAGGCTGCGCGCCGCCGCCGTTTCTGCCACTCCGCTATTGCCCTTCCCCGGCCATTTATGGGCCCCCCGCCAACCCGCCGCCCCCACGCACCCGGCGGCCCAGCAAGAGAAAGCCGGGCATGGTGGTGTCAGTCTCCTTTTCCTGGCGGGTTTTACCCAGTTGCGCTGGCAGTGGGTCGCGCAGCCGGTGTAGCCTAGGGCAGGGGTCGCGGCCAACCACGCCCCCCCCCCGCCGGTAGCCTGGGAAATTTGCGGTGTGAGGGTGGGTGCCTGCCTGGGCGCCTGCGGGGCCAATTGAAAGCGAACGCACGCAGGCGTGTGTTGTTAAGCCGCGTGACCGGGGGTGTCTGCGTTGGGGGGTATTCTCTTGGCGTGGCTCTCCGGCGTCCATGGGGAGGCTTTGGAGCTAAAAAAAAGGCGCGTCGCGTATGAGATCAACAACCCGACGCTCGGGTGGAACAATTATTTCGACCCTAGGCCAGGCATCGGCATGGAATTGCGGATGCACGAGTTAGCGACACATCGCATGGCGCCCGTCCACTGGCAAGCGGTCCCTCATCTGCATGCCGCCCCGAAGAAGAGAGAACGAAACACCCAATTTTCGCCACCATCCCGCTGGCGGGCGACCCCGCAGCTGTTGCGCGAAGTCGCGGAGAACCGGAGCCCCAGCGCCAGCCAGATGTCACACCAGCAAAGCTCCTCCCGGTCCTGGTGGAGGCGCGGCAACCCGTGAATAAAATTTGCTGCCAAAGAACAAGCCGGGCACAGGTTCTTCGAGCGCTCCACGGGAGTGTTGGTGTCCGGTTCCGTACCGGAAGAAGCAGCACGACTCCCATTCGTGTGGGTGTGTGCTTGACAGCGAGCTAGCAGGTGGAGCGCATATCTGTTCCGGGCCCCCCACTCGTGGCGCTTTTTTATTTTTTTCTGCCATCGCCCCCGATCCCGTTTTCAGTTTTCAGGAGCGCCCCGCGGTCGGAATACTTCTGGCGGTAGACGTGGGCCAGGGATTTTGCGGCTTCGCGCCGCGACGACCAAATGGGGCGGGGCCCCATCACCCCCCCAAGTACAAAAGTGAAGCGGGGCCCACAGGTCCCACAACAAGTACAAAAGTGAAGCGGGGCCCACTTTATTTGTTGCACCAACAGACAGGAGCTAGTCTTGTGCCGCTCTTCCGCAACGAGCTTTTTTGCTGTTTTCGATCGACCCTGAGCTTGAAACTGAGTTCCGTACTAGTTGTGTCATGTCTTTGCCGTCGTTCTCGTTGTGCCAACAAAAAGAAAACAGACAGTCGAAGCGCCATTTTATTGCCTTGACGTACGGCCCTGTCGGCTTCTGTTCGTTTCATTGATTGAGAAAGAAACCGACAGAGGGTGGCACAGCATTGCCAGCTGCCCCCGCGCTTGCTTCTGCTTGCGTGTTATGGGCCGCCACAAGAGGTCCCGCCTAGATCTCCATACCGCTGGCCCCCCCTGCGTGCGACCCTGTTCACCGAGCCAGCATGCCCTGTGTTATGTGGGCTGGAGTGTGCCCTCGCCTGTTCTGCCGCCGCTCATTTTGGTCCCCGCGCGCCCTGCGAGCCGGCGTTGGGCTGTGTGAGCGTGTGCGAATCTTGTACGTTGTGTGCCCCGTCCCCGAAGACGAAGGGGAAAGCAAGAAAGCATGGCCCAGAGGCCGGGTTATTAGTATTATCAGTGGCGCAGCGCCTTGCTGCCCGGTCGTCCCGCGTCGGTTCATTCTAGCAGCGCCCGCCCTGCAGTTTTGTTTGCAAACCACGGGTCGGTGGAGTGGGTGATACAGAGAGCGCCATCTCCTTCATCTTCACGCGCCCCACACTCTGGGCCTAGTATCATTCACAGTCTAGTTCGACGCTAAGTGTACCGTGGTAGCGAGAAGTGACTTCTCGCTACGTAGGATCGGGCATGGCCCCGTGGTGCCAGCCGGCCGCGCGTTTCGTCATCGCTGTTGGCTTCGTCGTCCTATGAAAGTCGTCTCCAGTGCCCGTCCCGGCAATGGTGTTTTTCGTTCCCCGCCAAATTGGTGGCTTTTTGTAGAAGCCGACCAAGATCTCTGCGTCGTTCAGGTTTCGGTCTCATCAATGTGGCCCGCGTAGTAGTCGTAGTCGTCAACGCCATGAACATGAGGCTAAGAGCGCTCATCTTCCTTGTTGCAGCTGCCTCGCGACGTCTGATACAGCGAGGCCTCGTGGCGACTGTCCTTGTTCGTCATTCTTGTCGGAAACAATTTTACTGATTTTTGCGACAGTGCTTCTAAAGCGCTGTCTATCTTATACCCACAGCAGGCTCAGCCTCAGTGCCCACTGGATTTGTGTCGATTTTGATGCCCTCGCTGTTAAAAATATAAATTGATAAAAGTATCTTGTGTAAGTAAAAGTATGGCCACTTTAGCTCTGCCTGCGTCAGAAATTATGCTCCATCCCCGCCAAGGAGGCTCCAGCACTAAAGCCCATCGATAGCTGCTACGTAGCCACCTGCTATTGATGATCATGATTAATATACATTTTATTTAGAACAAGGCTTACCGATACCGCCACCCAGCGCCAACAAGCCAAAAGCCTCACGTACACTCTAAGCGCCGCGACTTCATATCGTATTTATCTTCTAGCAGCGCGAATGGATGTGCGTGAGATGCAAATGTATTGACATCCTCGAAGCCATAAGTCATCAAGTTGGCCTTGTCATTTTTGAAGCCCCAGTTTATTGAATTGTCTTTGTCTCGAGGAAATGAAGACGCATAAGAGTAAATAAATAAGAAAAACAAAAACAACATGCTGTCGTCAGCAGTAATGTTGCCTCCTTCTGGCGGCAAGATTCAAACAGCGGCTGCAAACAGCGGTCGTCTTGCCATTCAGGAGGCGTTGGCGAAGCGGGAACAGAAGAAGTTGAAGTCGCTGAAAAAAGTTTTGGCCAACAAACTCCTCATCCAGCAGTCGCGGAAGCAGGTTTTGGAAGCTGGATCTTCAACCCGAATTCCAGCTTCCGTCGGAAGCGCAATGTTGGCAAAAGCAAATGGCGTGGAAGTACAGACTCAACCTGCTGCTGTGATGTCCGATCACGGTAAGCCGCAACACGTGGAAGAACAGCAGGCGCAAATCTTCGGAGCAGCAGCTTTGCGCACTGGTAGGGACGATCGTGACCGGCAAGTACAAGAAGTACAAGAGGGCGAAGAACTCAAACCTACGGATGGTGGCGGACAAAGCGCAGCTGTGGAAACAGATACTGCGCAGAAGGCCGTGCTGCACCGGAAAGGGGGAGCGGAGGAATTCAAAAATGGAAAGACCGCTAGTACACAGAACACGCACGCGTCGATGACACGACCTGGTGGTGTTTGTCCGACCGGTGTCGTCCTGTCGCGCACTGCCGTCGACTTTCGTCAGGCCGTTTCTTCTGTGATGGTTGCAGGCCTCGCCGGTGCCACGACTCGCAAAAGAAAGCTCGACGACGAGTGCAGCAGCTTGAAATTGCTGCTCTCCCAAACCTATCAAATGCAAAAATGTCTGGGTCTGGAAGGATGCAATTTGTGATGCTAACTCTGGACGCTAAAAAAATCTGTATTGCATGACCAGCAAGAAGAGTCTAGCTTGTGCTACGCGGGGAGGGCATTTGTCATGCGGAGGAGGCACCACGAAGCCCTCTAAAAATCTGTGATGCTAGACCGTGCACTACAGACGTCCTGGGTCAAGCAAAATGTGCATGACAAACCCGCTAACATTCCAGACCCAGAAATTTTTGCATTTGATAAAACCGAGGCCCGCACGCAACAGGCCACATCCGAAATCGGGCAGTTGTTACTTGCTTCGAAAGCCGAGCGGGCAGCGGGGTTCTTCACCAAAACTGGACTCTTACGGAAAATTATGGTATCCGGTGGTCAGAATCAGAACAACAAAAACTCGGGTGGTGAAAGCCTCAGCCCCAAACTCCCGTGTGGGACGATGAATAGAAATTATTCCGCGGACACAGACACTACGAGGTCTGGTTCTACTCTTGAAAGCGACGGCGCGACAACGCCAGGGACGGCTGGTGCCGCATCGAGCGGGTCGGAGACATCACCCAGCGCAGGAGGCGGGGGGACAAAATCTCCTGCAACTACTTCCGCCTCTGGACGAGGAGCTCCTGCGGCTGATGTTGACACAGGCTCAACTACCGAAGGTAGGAAGACCGCAGCGAAGATTTCAGCATCCTCCGGAAGAACACGCGTGGGATCCACCACCACCACCACCCGGACGACGTTCGCACAGACCTGGTCTTCCTCCTCAGGCCCGTCTTTTCAACATCGACATGAGGGTAAGCCAGAGTCGAATTATCCTGCTGTCGAGGATCCTGTTGTGGTAAAAGCTGCTCCTTCTCCCTCAAACCTTGCTTCTAAGCTCCGTCGAGCGGTGTTTGAGTACCCGAAACGCCGGCGCGTGTCTTTTTTCCACCAGTACCGGGATGCGCAAGAGGGCCTGCGGCAGCTGATTTTGCTTGCGACGAAGAATGGCTGCACGATGAAAAAAATTATTGGTCCAGAGCAGTCATTGTTGAGCACCTTCAAAGATGTTGAGGTAGGAGACGAGGCAGAGGATATTGTACAGAGGGAAAAGCTTGTCGAGGCTCAAATGATGCGGGAAAAGTGGGGCAGTTGTACTACAGCAGCTTCTGCGGGCTACGCTGGGAACGACTTCCCAAATGAAAATGATCGGAACCAGAGGCCGATGAACGATCGCTCGGCCAAAACTACAAGCTCTTCGTCCCAGCAGCCCAAGAAATTCTTCGTGCTCCACACGATCGAATGCAACCCCGCATGGAACCCAGACAGCAAGCGGCTGTGCAAACAGCGAGACGTATCCCAGTGGAACAATGATTCAACGCTCTACAACTCTTGTTCAGCAAGAACTGATAAATCAATGATATACCGTGCTGGCACCATGATGAGAGTGCTACTTCTACTACACAGACGCATGACAAATCACGATGCAGCTTCTCTAAAGTCGCCGAACGGAAGATGAGAGGCTTAGACTGTCAACTGCGTCATACATCATGGGACATCTTTTATTTTGTTTTTCATGTGATGATCTTGTGTTGCAGTTGCAGCAGCGTTGCTATCTTTCCACTGAATACAAAGCTGAAAGGCCTACTCTCCAAATATTGAAGAAAGCTTTGGAGGCGACGGGGGCCTGGGAAGGAAGAATCGTCAGCTCGAAGAAGGACGCACTTCTGCTGGACAAAGCGAATAATTCATCGTCCTCCTCTGTTGATTACAGCAACTATTTTCAGACCTCGCAACACCAAGATCGTGATGGAAATGAAAATCATTCTTTCGCCTGTTCCCCTCCCCCGCCTGGAGTGATTCACTTCCGCTGCGCCCTGCGACGGACGGACATCCCGACACTGCCGATTGATTTGCCGTTTTACGCTGGCGGTGGAACGTCATCAACAACTACGGGGAGTAGGAGAACAGCGGGAGCGAGTATTACAACTACAGGGGCAGGAGCAAAAGTTATCGGAAGTAATAGTAACAGAGGGCTAGGGTATAGAACAATGTTACAACATGAATACGACGATAACGGAAGCTGCAGGAACAATGCAGACGGAACTGATTTGGGCGACACTCTGCCGTTTTTTCAAGTTTTAAACTACATGCCCTTCACCTGTTCGCAGCTCACGACGAAATCCGGCTTGACCAGAAATCTGATGCAGTTCTTGCAAGACCAGGCTAAGCTACAAGTCCACGGAAAGATGAAACTGGCCACTTCTACCGGCGCTGCAGCTGCAGGTGCATCTACAACTCCAACTTCATCCAGTGGTCTCAGTACAACAACACTCAGGCTCCGCCACGACCCCTTCTCACTGCCGCCAGCCGGGCTGTTTTTTGACAAAAACAGCGCTTGTGTCGAAGGGGACGAAAGTGGCACGGCGGTGGAACAAGCGGAGCACAGGTTCTTCGACCGGCATGATGATAGACCAGCAGGAGGAGCAGGAACAAAGCAGCAGCATCAAGGTGATGTTCAGAAACTAACGAGACCGCAGGACGAAAATGTAGCAAAACATTGTCCACCTGCTCCGGGCGAGGACCAACAGCAAAAATGCGGAGATGATGTTGAAGACCCTGAGCACGACCACTCCTTGATTGGTTTTCCCACCAGCTTCGACCTGTCGCACAACGACGCGCGGGACCGGTTTATGCGCGCGTTCCAGCGGCAACAAGTGCGAGCCGTGGTGTATCAGGTGGTTGAGTGGTTGGAAGGCTGTGTGTTGACGGAAGTGGTGGGGGTGGAGGAGGAGGAAGATGACACCACGACAGCTGGTATTACAACTTTGGGAGAACGTTCTACAGGTGGGCGAGGAGCATCTACTGCTGCAAAAACTTCTTCCTCTTGGGACGGAACTTCTTCTGACCACAACAGGCTGCCAGCATCAGCAAGTAAAACTGAAGGCGTACTGCAGTGGCTCGGCAGGGGCCCTTACACAATGCAAGAGGTGGAAGCGGTTGTGAGTCAAGATGCGGCTGCAGCTTTTCTTGCTGCATCTTCCTCATCTGCAGATGTTGATGCTGCTCGTCCTGGAGAACAACCTGTGATCATGCGGTCAACAACAACATCATTCAACCCGGCCGTCATTTCCAGTCGATCAACGAGTAATGGCAGTACAACCGCGACAAGCGTGCCAACGACCAGAATAACTCCTTCTACCTCTACCGGTAGAAATACGAATATTCAGCAGATGATGTCTTCGACCTGTCCCAACATCAAACTGTCAAACAAGATGACCACTAGTTCTAGCGATTCGGTTTTGAAAGCTACGGCGCTGTTCTCCACCTCCTCCTCTTCGTTCTCGTCGATAAAGAACAAAGAGAAGCCACTGTTTAATATTGTAGCCACCTACTCCCACCTCCCCAGACTCACGTATCCGAAGCTGAAGCTCGCCCTTCGGCTCTTTTTCAAGCTTTTCGACAGTCTAAAACTCGACCAGGACATCGTTGAGCAGAAGAAGATGAGCCGGCGGTGGGCGAACTTGAACAGCGATCTGGTGAACGCCCGCGACTGGCAGATTCTCACCGAGGATGTGCTCGCCCCGGCACGACCGAATGTCACATTTTCCCAGCTCGTGAAGGAGGTGAGGACCTACTTGATCGAGCCCTTTTGCCAGTTTTATGAGGAACTACCGGAGGTTTTGCGGAAGTTGAAACATACCTTTTTCACGGGCCTTGACGGATCCGACAATTTTTGGATTTTGAAGCCCGCCAACGCCGGCCGGGGCGAGGGGATTTTATCCTGTGCAAAAGAATCGTACTCGTACGAATTGCAAATATGCATGACAAATGTTTTCCTCAAGGTAAAACAGCATTACAAATTGCATTTGTCTTGCTGAGCTCGTTTGTCATGCAATTTATACTAGTACGATACTTTTGCAGTTCATAGATTTGCGTGAAGAACAATCTGCAAGAGATTTTAAAACTCACCGGAAACGGCTTCAACTGGATTGTGCAGAAATACATTGAGCAACCCATGATTCTGAATAAGCGGAAATTCGACATGCGCCAGTGGGTCGTGTTGACAAAGTTGGGAGGTCACTGGAGAAGTGGTTGTGCTGGAAGTTCTTCTTCTTCTTCTTCTTCTTCTTCTTCTTCTTCTTCTTCTTCTTCTTCCACAATTTCGGCGAATGATACCACGGCGCACGAAAAAACTGCGGGAAAACAAAAGGTTGAGGACCACGACGAAAAAAATTGCTCCTCGTCACTGGGACTTGTTGGCGACAAGACTCAGAACAGCGGAAGCTCTGCTGGCCGCGTGGTCGGTGGAAATGAGAAGATGGCATCAAGTAGATCAAGAACAGAAGTGGACAAGAACGATGATTCTTCCGCGGGCGTCTCTCCTGCTGCTACCGCCTGGTTTTACAACCAATGCTACCTGCGGTTAGCCGGGAAGGAGTACAACGTGGTACGAGAAGGAGCATTATCAAATGTAAAAATGTCTGGGTCTGGAAGAATGCCACTTGTCATGCTAAATCTGAAGCATGCAAAAATCTGTGTTGCATGATTACCAAAAGTCGTCCAGTTTTGACCAAGTCGGGAGGGAGTTTCTCATGCAGGGTAGGCATGATAGAACTCTCACGCAATCTGTCATGCTATGTCCTACATACTAGACCTCATGGGTCATACAAAACCTGCATGACAAGTCTGGCATTTTTCCAGGCCCAGACATTTTTACATGTGATAAGCATTTTTTACGGGAGTGATCTCGCCGGTCGTGGAACATCAAGTGCAAAACAATGATGAGGGGCTGCAGCAGCAATCAGCACAACAACCGGAGCAGGAACATCAGAGGACGACTAGCAATCAATCTACAAGTTCTTGTACACCGGGACCAGTTGTGGCTAATACATCGCCCACACCTGCTGTGACTGCGCCAGTAGGTGGAGCAGCGCCAGTTCTTTCTCATAAATTATCCCGAAGGAAATCTAGTACTTCCAGCATAATTACCAGCCGGACCACAACTCAAAATCGCAAACAGCAAGACAATATGAACTGCAAAAGCATCGTACTCGTATAAATGCATGGCAAATTTCCTCAGCATGAGAGAGAAAATTTGTAATGCGGATTTCCCTTGAGATAAAGATTTGTAATGCAAGACTTGCATCTATACGAGTACGATACTTTTGCACAGGATAGACAACTTTGTGCACCTGACCAATAATTGCGTGGTGAGGAACACATATGACAATGCACAACTCCCCATCCCCCTCATTTGTATTGCATGAACAACAATACAACCGTCAGCAAGAGTACAGGTTTTGCATGACAAATTTTGACAGGAAGGCAGTCCTATTTGGGCTTCGAGAACTTGTCATGCAAACAGTGCCAAGAGCCAAGGCGTAAATTAGGTATTTTGCATGAAAAATGAGGGGGAGGGGGAGTGGTGCACTCGCATAACACACCAGGGATGCGGGCAGAAGAATACGACGAGACAATGTGGACTTCCCGCAAATTCGACGACTTTTTAAATAACAGGGGAACAGCGGCTATTAAAAATGATGCAGCAGCAGCTACTGCTGCTTTCAGTGCGTTGCCGTCGGCGTCAACATCAGGGGAACAACATATGCTGACAACTACAGCACCATCTTTCGGAGGTCCGACGTTCTCAAAAAATTCGATATCGTTTTCCTCCATCCAAAAGCAGATGCAGGCGCTTGTGCAACTGACCCTGCGGGCCACTGGGCCGAAAATCCCGGACCGGCTGAATTCGTACGAGGTGTTCGGGTACGACTTCATGGTAGACCGGTTCGGGAAGGTTTGGCTGTTGGAGTGCAACAGCAGTCCAGATTTGAGTTTTTCCACGAAGATTACCAGCGAGTTGGTCGGAGATTTTATGAAGGACCTGGTCGGGTTATTGTTTACGACGGATAATACGGGAGAGGATCGCTCCACGAAAATATTAAACAGTGTCGGCGAGGACAAGAAAAACTCCGCGGGGGCACGGGCGGGTTCATTTTCTGCCACTACTCCTGGAACTGAAGAGTGGCTAGAGAACTACTACAGCTGTGCTTCTAGCAAGAGCTCCTCGTGGTCCTCGGCTGGCGGAGATGCACGGGCTGGGATGGCATCTTCGTCTCTCTCGTCGATAGGTTCGACGCACCGGGGCTTCACAAAACTTTTGTGCTGAAAATGACTTACTTAACATGATCCACTTCTACATGATCTTCATCAGTGGCTGTTTTATGCAGGAGGATAGCTACGTAGTACATGTCGAGTTCGTATAGAAACAGCTCGTATTGTTCATGCAGTACGGTAATAACACAAGTACAGTATCAGTAATAAACACAAATACAGAAAGAACACTAGAGCATCTTCAACTACATCGCATAGCTCTCAGAAGCTCGGAAAAACTATACGTAAGAGATACCAGGATCATTTTTCCACCAGGGTAGCATCACATTTGGCACCACCACATACTAGTACCGCAAAGTGGTCATACATGAGAGCACCAGAAGATGGCACGTACATGAGGACGTTGGACGTCCTCGAACGCCGCGTCTTTCAGTAGAGTTTGATTCTCTACTCAGCGTATCAGTTTCTCCTGCAACGGGCAGTACCGAACACACATACAGTGCCTTCAATGGAAAAGCCAAAGCGCTAGCGTATAGTGCAACTATTCAATGCAAAAGGAGCACAGCAAGGATCGCAAAAAACCACACAAAACGACAGCACTTCTTCCGCAGCGTCTTTCCAATCCCAACATCTTCCTATTCAGGCGATAATGAGAATCCAGGGACGTAAACGAATAGGGGTCGAACAGGGACAATCTAAGGCTTAGAGTCGAACAGATTTCAATCATCACGTAAGCTTTCTGTAATTTCCAAGAAAAAGAGAAGTTCGTCTTCATCAGACAGTTTCCAGCGAAAAAAATAAGAACGTTTTTTTGACGGTTAGGGTCTTTTTAGGCCTGAAAAGTTGTATGATACATAGTCAATAAAGTAAAGTTTCATCTTCCTGAGGAAGAGAATGAAGCGGTTCAAGAAGAAATTGCGAGTAGCAGCGTCACACCTACTACTGCTTCAGTCCTGCTGAACGACCGCCGTGAAGTAAAGTCAAACTGTCAGCAGCTGACTTTGAGAAGCTTGTGAAACAGGCTGTAGTGTTCTTTGATTGATTCTCCACAAAAACGATAACAAAGCGCGTTTCACAACAAGCGAGCGATATCCATAGGAATAGCAGCGCAACATGGAAGTCAATAGAGATCACTTGGGGTACTAAGGACGTCTAGTTTCGCCTGACGTGAGCGAAGTAGAGCTGAGGAGCGAGCGAGGGAAACTGCGTGGAACGGCAAAAAAAAGCAAACACCAGAATAATAGATAGTGATGTTGTGTATTACTAGGCGGCGCAACATGGGCACCATAAGTACTTCAATTCGAATTCTATTTCCATCCCCCCCGCTCCATTCCGACCCGTAGAAAACCCATAGCAGCCAGCCGGTTGTTGGAAATAACCAAAACGGCCTTTTTAAGGTTTCGACTTTACTGTTCATCTTTTTGGAAAAGCGTTAACCCCCAAAATCCGAACTCGTCAAGTAGAGGAGAGCGAAAGCAGCGTGAATGCAATACACAAGTAGAAGTAGAGCAGCTTCAGCCTGCAGATGAGCGCCTTCTATTTGGCTTGAGTCTTTTTTGATAGAAAAAGCTTTTATTCTTCCTTGCATACAAATAGCACTACCGAGACTGACGAATCAAGATTTTCTACATCGCACTGGTTTTGGTTAAGATCCGACCGTCTACTCTTTCGGTTACCTCGTTTTTTTTTTTTGAAAATCACTATCCGAACCTTTTTGCTCGTAGTTTAGATTTGATATTCTTCTCACCAAAGCAGAAGTTTTGCCCTGAAGAAAAAACAAAACGAACCCATCGCAAGAACTACCGTATCAACACTGAAGCGAAACAAGAACCACGCGTTTACTACTGAACTGGCAAAGTAGAAGCTTTACTGCGCGAGAATACGCTTATCGTAACCCCGTCAGTTGGGTAAATCATTCATTCATTCAACGGCACAAATAAGATTAGACAAACTGTCCAGCACCACGGCGCACAAATAATTTGAGTGAAGATTTGCTGATGAGCTGCAAGTACAAAAGAGTCAAATAAAAAAATCCCTAGGCGACCTGTCGAGAACTATAGAAAGACAAACACAAGTTTTACCCGGTATTCGGTGTAAAGAAGGCACTAGACCAGCACACTGGTTTCATTCCTTTTGTCCACAACACTCTCTGCAAAATGTCGGAAACTCTCTCCGCCTGGGGCACTACCGCCACCTTCGCCCGTCCGGCCGTCGGGAAGGACGGCGGCGGTTCGGAGCTCGGACCGAAAAACACCTACAGCGACTGCGTTTATGCAAAGGATGAAGGTCGTTGATTCTTTTTTGCTAACGTCCGCGTTGTTCAGGAAGTTGCATGACGAAATCGACCACGTACTACATGTGGATGCCGTGTATGCTCTTGTGATTCCGTGTCGTGTGTGGTTAAGTACGCGTACGCAAAATAGAGAGAATCAAACTCTACTTCCTGTGAATACCCCCGTCGCGGAATACATCTGGCTGGATGCGGCTGGCGTGACGCGCTCCAAAACGAAGACGCTGTCCAAGAAGCCCGTGTCGGTACTGTTTAAAAATGTTGATCGGAAATTAAGTGTATTGCAGTATACTTGTCTGTCATGCACAGGGGAAGTGGAAGTAGATGATGACGTCAATAAATGGAACTTGTTGATGCGACTGCGAGCTTATGTTTACCTCTGTCATCTTCTGTTGACATTTTTCATGAAAAAAAAATCTAAATCAAGCCCGACGATTGCCCAATGTGGAACTTCGATGGATCCTCTACCGAGCAAGCCCCGGGCTCTTATGGGGCTCTCAAACGTCACATTCTCAACTGTTACATGAATTTGTCATGCAAAAACAACATCATCATCCTCTCGATCAAGCTGCTCCGCATTACAAATTTGCGGAGAGCTAAAAAGCACTATAATCCGTCCCAAATCTGTAATGCAAAAGGCGCAATCCTCCTCCTTTCACTGTTGCCCTTCTTGCATTGCAAATTCATATAGCAGCTGAGAATGTAACATTTGAGAACTCCATAGCTCCGACTCCGAAATTCTGCTGATTCCCCGGGCTCTGTTCAAGGACCCCTTCTTATGCAGATTGCAAAAGTAGTTCATATCATATCGACGTACTCCTCCGCATGAACAATTTCACCAGGGTTTATAAATGCTGAATTCTTAACAAAAGAAACTACATCTCAGTGTGTTTATGTCGAAAAAGTTGACCATGACGCCAGATGTAGTTTGTCATGCTGTATTGCGATTTGCTCCAGTACGATACCGATAGTGTGCTTTTGCGCTGCATACATTCGTGGCGGCGACAATGTGATGGTGATGGCGGAGTGTGTTACCCCGGACATGAAGCCGGCCATCGGTACTACTTCTATCTAAACGCTTTATTCTTGGAAAACAACCTGTGATACCCCGCTTGGAGATGAAAGCAGCGGGTTTGTCATGCTACTAAAAATAAAATCAGACTGACTGTGATTTGCATTTGTGATGCAAAATAAAACAGAATGAACGCAAAATAACATTGTAGGTAACCACCGTGCGGCGTGCGCTGCTGTGATGGAGAAATACGGTGCTCTGGACCCGTGGTTATCCACTGTGAAGAAATTCCTGTACACGTCGTACAAATGCTGCTTCTGCATGGCAAAACCTGTCTTCAGCATGACAAGTCGTGGCTGCATATGTTGTTCCAACGTCGTGGCGAACAGCAAATTTGTGATGCATTTTATTGTACAACATGTGCAAATGGTGGAAATTTGTATTGCATACTTGTTTGGTATCGAGCAGGAGTACACCCTGATGAAACCGGCCAAGTATGGCGAGCTCTCCACTGTGCCGCTGGGGTTCAACGAGGACGGGTCCGAACCGGCCGCGCAGGGTCCCTACTACTGCGGCGCGGGCTGCGGATTCGGGATTGGCCGCTCGATCGCGGATGTGCACTACGCCAAGTGCCTGCTATCCTGTGCAAAAGTATCGTACTCGTATTGCAATCATGCATTACAAATTTTTTTCTTGAGGTAAATCAGCATTACAAATTTAATTTCTCATGCTGAGGGAATTTGTAATGCATTTATGCGAGTGCGATGCTTTTGCATTGCATACCTGCTCGCCGGCGTCAAAATTGCGGGCATGAACGCCGAAGTGATGCCGGGTAAGAAGAAATTTACATATACATAGTATAAGAAATGTAAATGATTGTTCCCGAAAGTTTGTGATGCGCAAGAACAGCTCGGCTCTACTTTGTCTTTGTCGGACTAGCAATACAAATATTGACATCTTCCAAAAAATCAAAACAGGTCAGTGGGAGTTCCAGGTCGGACCGTGCAAGGGAATCGAGATGGGCGACCATTTGCATGTGGTATCCTCGGTGATAAAAACTCCGCGTCAGTGTCAGTCTTCTTGTGCATATCATGCCGCGTCGTGGCTTTTTCAATCCTATTTTGTCATGTTCTAATGTGGACGACTATAATGCACAAGGACGAGTTGAATTTAAATTTTTGAAACAAGACTTTGTACATCACAGTTGCTTGAAGGAAATGCATTTGTGATTGTCGGGATTTTTGTCACATTGGATACCCGGCCCGCTACATCATGAACCGCGTCACGGAAGACATGGGCGTCCAGGTAAGTAAAAAACCTTCTGCTGCTATTGCCATTAAATCATGTAGACGTGCAAGACAAATTCAAATGCTTCTGCAATAGGAACAACAACAGTTGAGATTTCAAGTCTCCTTTTATCATCTGTGAACAAGGTTACCTACTCCCCGAAGCCGATGGAGGGTGACTGGAACGGTGCTGGGTGCCACACCAACTTTTCGATCAAGCAGATGCGCGCGGAGGGCGGCTACGAGGTCATCGAGCACGTGTGCAAGGCCTTCGGTGCGGTGGCCAAGGAGCACATCGCGGAGTACGGTGAGGGCAACGAGAAGCGGTTGACCGGACTGCACGAGACCTGCTCCATCAACGAGTTCAAGTATGGCGTCGCGGACCGCGGGGCTTCCATCCGCATCCCGCGCGAGGCCTGGCTGAACAAGAAGGGGTATTAAAGAGACTTGTGGTTTTCCTCCTGTTGAGGTGTGTGCATGAGAAGAAAGTTTCCTTTTCTGGGTGCTGCATGACAGATTTCCGCAATTATCGTAGAGTTGAAGTTAGAAGTGGAATCAAGTACTGTAACTGTTGCAGCATCACAGCTTCTTGATCTCGAAGCTTTGCTGTGTGGTGCGCTCTATGCATCACAAATTGATCAAACAAAACTGCTTCATCTTCACAGGTACATGGAGGACCGGCGCCCGGCCGCGAACTGCGACCCCTACCGCGTCACCAGCCGCATGTTGAAGACCTTACGGAAATGAGGAAAAAAGTCGCTTGTCATGCACAGACAGGACGAATCTATGCAGAAGTTTGTCATGCATACTCGCACTACAGCAGCCAGCAGCTGCAACTACGATGGCATGAAAGTTTTTTTTGTTCTTGCCGACTTGGTTCTTTCTCTTGGAATTCTAAAAGTTTTCGAAGACGCACGAAACCCGCATGATCTTCACACAGCTCCGATATGATTATGAAGCAAGCATCGTCTCGTCCTGTGCATCACAAACGAAAAATTTCTTCCCCCGCATACCCCACCGGCGAGTGCATGTCCAAGCCGTTGGACATTTAAGTCGTGGCCACCATTCGACGACGAAAATTGATGTTTTTCGAAAAATGAAGCAGGAAAAATTTGTTCTAAATTTTGGGCTAAAAGAATGATATCGCCTTCTTTATCGAGCATCAATAGAAAAGATGGACAAGAAAACTACAACGGTTTTGAGATTGAGTTGTCACAACTGATATGTAAGACTTCTGATGTGCTCAGCCTATGCTAGTTCGAAGAAAGTCGTTGTGATAAAAAGCTTCTCCTCGTCGAAATAAGAACGATTTTTTACATAAGGGACGACCAGTGTCTGCTACAAATTATACCTACAAAAGCCGAAACACTGTATAGTGTAAACAAAACCATGCGCGATTTGTTTCGGCAGGAGGCGGCGATAGGGCAGCAGTTAACTAAAAATATTTTTCTGTTGGGTAGGAATAAGATCTAAAACTGGATGAGTTTGACGTTTTGACTAGCAGCACATCAGAATCAAGCATCTAAATGCTGGTCCTTGTGCACTTATATCTACCTTTCGTGCGGTTTATAGCAGCTAAAGGAACGGACAGATTGATTTTTCTTCATGACAACTTCTAAAAGATAGGGCGAATACTATGAGCGTGAAGGTTTTTGGTACGGATAACGAACGTGAATCACTAGAAAAAATCCTGCAGATAAAGAAATCAAACGTTTGAGTTTCTGATATTTTTACCTTAACAATCAAATCAAAATTCACGAAGAAATATTCATTTTCTCTTTCTCGTTTATTGTGCCACGCGTCGTGGGGAGCAGAAGAGGCGCCCGCTCGCGTCCCCGACCATCGGTGGCAGTAGATAGCAGCATAATTGCTTTCTACAACCTTTTCATCTGTACCACCAAATCTTAAAAGCAGCTATGTGTAGTAACCGGTGGGGGTGGTAACGGCAAGCAGAAGTTTGGTTCACTTGACACTTGAGTAAGCCAATTTCTGCTGCGTCTTTATCATCTTTTGTACAGCCAGCTGCAAAACTGAAAAATAAAGACCTTCTATTGGTGGCCGAGGCGCTAAATAGCAAGCATCTTCAATTCGTCGTGCTAATATAATTTCAGGTGCTCAGGACTGCAACAAATGACACATAGTGGAATCTTCTTACAGCTGCTTATTGTTGTGCTTGTACTTCAGGAGTTACGGGGAACTATAAATTTCTGACCCTTGACCCAAAAGAGTCAATGTCGAAAGTTTGTAATTTTCGTTTCTTTAGCTTTACTAGCCTCATCACGAAGCAGCTTCTTCGAACGAAGAAGGAGAAGAAGACGCACGGAATTATGGCACTGTTTTGATATAATTACTCACGGCAGCTCCCTGTAATTTTTTCCCCTCGGCTCCAACATTCTGTTATTTTCAACAACCTACTACTTCACAGCAAACAGTTTTTACCATCATGATACCTTCTGCGGATGTATTGACCCAGAGTGGTGAGGAGGAAATCGTCGTTCTGGTTGTTTTCAACGTCCAGAAAGATGAACATCATCACCTTCTACTGCACTACCAGCGTCAAAATTTTCACAGTAAAGGCTGCATAGGGTATACGCTGTAGCTGTTGATAGGTCGGCGCTCCACCTCCGTTTCGAGCACTTTTATTTTTTTGGGAATATGAAACGAATTATTCTAAAATTGTTTCTAAGATAGACTCTAGATCTACCAGAATTAAATGTTTTATCGCATCGCTAATTTTCCTACTCCATATCGCTTGTTCCGACGAACCGACAATAACCTAGTACCGGGGGGTATCAATCCGGTGCATATAGGAGAGCATCTGCATCAACCTCCTCGTCCCATCTATAAAGACGAACAGAGGAAAGAAAAACTGGAGAAAGAACGCGGTATGTCGAGTAGAGATGATCTACGCTCAAAAACAAAACAAAGTTTTGGAGGCGCTGTTAACTTCTAAAACGGAAGAAAAGAAGATGCAGAAGCTCCTGCTTAGCAGGTTTTTCCAATGCGCCACAGAGCAGTCTTTACGAAGATGAAGAAGAAGATCACGTCCACTGTTACTTTCGTATTTTGGTTTCTCTTTTCATGATCTTCTCGTGTGAAGAATTCTGAATTTCGCGACCCCGGGCTCTGTCACTGAACAGCGAAAAGATCATATTTTTTGCTTGCATGTCTTGGATCATGCCAGCTTTCTTTTTTCACGACTGGAATCCAAAGCGCGTACGATCAGATCGATCAGAAAAGCAGATCTTCAAACGCTGGACGGTCTTACACTTCTTTCTGAGGAAATAGTGTACCGAGGTGGGGAACAAGACGAAGATCTTTCTTAGCCCAGCTACCTCGTCTCCATGTTGGCGCAGCCGTGAATGTCAAAGTGCGTCTAGCAGTATCTAGTGCCAGACGCAGTTTTCTTGGCAAAATCTCTTCGTAGGTCCGATGATATCATCTGCGTCCTCCTCTATCATTTCTTCGAAAAAAGCAAAATTCCAGCTCACCCACCTGATCACTTCGCCGAAGCTCCGGGTCGGTCTGGAGTCCACGCTGGGGGTGAAAAGACTGCTTCCGCTACAGGAAAAGATCTTTTTCCGGCTGTGTCGCGGGAAAAGCCTACTACTCGCCAGTCCGGCGAACAGTGGCAAAACTCTGGGGTGTTTACTGCCCGTCTTGGAGCGCCTGCGGCTGCAGAACAAGGGCGGTGGTGGTAGTAGTTTTTTGACAAACAATAACAAAGGGAATATACGAGGAGGTGCACCTCCTCCTGATGTAGTTGTAGCCGGCAATACGAGTCGGCCTTGTTTCCTCGACCCGGCGCCGCAAGTTCTCGTTTTAGTGCCTTCAAGGCAGGTGGCGAAGGAGATTCATTCGTTGATTAGTGGACTGACTGGAGTCGCGAAGGTTGGGCAGAGTGCGGCTTCTTCAAGTGCGATTGGCGCTGGTGGAGCGTGCACGTCGAGCAGGGGACCCTACAAGACAGCTGTTTTGCACGAAGGGCAGGAGGAAGAAGTGCCTCAGAGACCATCATCAAACCGCAGGGGAGGTCATGGTACAGCGTCAGCGCTACTTAATATCGACGAGGTGAATGGCGCCAACATTCTGATCACCACTCTGGGCCGAGCACAGTGGCTGTTTCGGAGAATCGCGCACGACAATTATGCTCTGGCGCGCAGCAGGGCGAGCGCGAGATCAAGACATGACTATCAGAAACGGGGCAAGAAGAGTGCCAGCGCGAGTGAATATTGTGCGGGAGGAGACCACGAGTGGGACACGACGTCGCCACAGGCAGCCCGAGCCCCCGGTAGTGCTGCTTCCACCTCCTTAGCCTCCTTCACGAGAAACCTGCAAACCGTCTTTATCGATGACTGCGACTACAGCGAAACTAGCTTGGCGTACGTGAAGAGTCTGCAGTTTGTGCTGGAGAGACTGTTTGTTCACCAAGGAGGAGGCAGAAGGACTCAGACGGCGGGTTCATCTCAACTGATTTTCGCCTCATCCACCCTGCAGGTCCCGCAGGCGATCCAGGAAATGGTTTTCCAAATGTTCCAGACCCAGTTTTATTGTGCGGCCACGGGCGAAGTGCATCATGCACGTGGAACATGTGCAGATGCTGGGGCGCGGCCTGGGTTTAAGACCGTAAGAGGTGGCTCGTTTGTCGAGGTTGAAGAAGAAGATCACTTGGTTCTGAACGAGGAAAGTGTGGTGGAGCATAAGGACGTCGTGCTTTCCTCTACATCAGCTCGGAATAAGGCTACTGCGGGCCGCTGCTCGGCGGCGACACCTGCATCGTTCGGGGAGCGGAAGATCACAGGAGCTGCTTCTGTTTTCGGACCAGGATCGACAGCCTATAGTGCGGGAGGAGCAGGATCCCCTGATTTGGAGAGTGCAGATTCTCCTCTACATTCCGAGGCGGGCCGCGATGAGAACTGGTCCCAGGGACAGGAACGGTATTTGGATGTCGAAGACACATCTGATGCGAGTACAGCATCTTCATTTGGCGAGCATGACGAACAAAGCAGCCTCGTTTCCGCCGCGAACTGCACTTTGGAGGATTTTCGCACGAGGATAGACCACCGGTTTCTCATGCTGCCTCACACAACATCTTGTTCCAACTCCGGAGCTACGAATGGATCACTTACTTCCGACAAGAACAAAAAGAAAGCGAGGGCGATTTCCTCCCAATGCGACTACGCAGAGCGGGCTCAAGTGCTCGCCAGGCTGCTCGAGGTGGTGTTGCAGCATCAGAGTGGCGCTTGGGGAGATGAAGGCGCAGGAGCGTCAGCTGATGGCGCAAAAGGTGATGAGGTTGACGCGTATGATTACCACACCAAAAACAACTTTGGCAAATCAAAAAAATGCTTGGTCTTCGCCCGAACGCCGGAGGAGTGCGAAACGCTGTGCAGCCACCCTCTGTTACAGCAGCAGCGGCAACATGGAGGATCGAAAAATTATGCTCCGAAACTTCGCGTGAAGGCTTTGCTTCCGATGAAAGAGCTTGCGGGTAATCAAGATCATGGGGAACACGTGTCATTCTTCGGGGAGCAAAACAGGAAGGCATCCTCCAGCTTACTGCACCACTCGCTGGCGAGGCGACAACAGATTTTGTCGCAGTTTTTTCATTTGAGAGCGAACGAATTGGATCATGCTGCTGGTGGTGAGGACCTAATCATGAGCTCGAGCGAAGATGATGATGGTTTGACTTCGACGACAACCAAGCCGGGATCAGTGGGCTTGGCCATACAACGACCACGCTACAACAATATGAACAACCGGATTCAGGTGCTGATAACGACCGAAGCTGTGATGCGTACGGTGAAGCTGGCGCCAGAGGAGATTTTAGGACCACATGGTAGTTCATCGGAAGAGCTGACCCTCATCTCCTTTCAGCCACCCAGGGATCTGAACGTCTACGCCAATCGGTGTCAGTATTTGCTGGCGGCGGGGAGTTGTTTATCCAGTAGTGCTGCTGGGACGATGAACGGTGGCGGCGTTCTTGAAACTGTTCCTGCTGATGTACTAGGAGCTACACAACTACCACCACCCGCCGGAGCAGGTGGAGCACCAAGCTCTCCTCTTTTCTCAGCTGGTCGCTCGATCGTCCTGTGTACCACCGACCAACGACGGGCAATTTTGAAGTCTTTTGATCTGCCCACCTCGAAATCCGGGGCGTGGTCAAAAACGTCTCCTCCTGGGACGTCTGACAACGACAGCACGCGAGGCGGCCAACAGTTCGCATTGTGCACGAACCCCTGGGAAGCGGCTTTTCGGGAGTTTAAATTACCAGTGATCTCCAACAGCGGTGGTTGGAGTGAAAGAGCAGAAATGGGCACTGGAAATCGAAATGGAACCAACTCCAACGATTTTTCGCAGCATAGTGGCTGCTCTGGCTTCCTGGAGCTGCCCGCGACGTCTGCAGCCCCTGCGACGCTAACGCAGTCCGATATTTTGTTGGGCGCAACACTGAAAAACATTTTCGACGAAATGGCGGCAGTTCCCGAGGAGAGGGTGGTGCCTGTAGTTGCCGAGATCAGGAGGCTACTGGCAGCCGCGGTGAACCCGGATGTGGATGATGTCGATGTGAATCAGGAAGCCGCTGACTCATCCCTGTCCTTGGACCAGATCGAATCTGTGTTGCACGGTGCGCTAGCCTTGCTTTCCGGATCTACCGTCCGGATGATGGGAGAAGGAGAGCAGGACAATGGAAGATTCCCATCCCCGTTAGACCTGTTCACGGATGGAAGGGGCGAGCAGCCAGGAGATCAGCAATCGTTGCTTTCGATGGGTCGTAGCACGATATCAAACACGACTTCCAACTACAGCCTGCTGCAGCGGAAGAAGCACTTTCAAACCCTTCACATCCACGATCCGTCGTGCCAAAATCTGAACACGATGGACCTTGTGAAAAAGTGGATTTTGATGCATTTGAAAAACGAGTGGCTCGGGTTCGTCAAGGAGAGACGGAAAAAACAAGCCTATATGGTTGCGGCCAAGAACTACCACGCCTCCAGCAGGTACAAAAATAAGCTGCTGGGTCACAACAATCTTCTCGACAAGCAAAAGATGCGGAGTGATTTCTTGGAGAAGCACGTCGGTATGATGATGAAAGCGAGCCGCCAAACGGGTTGGATTCTGGACGTCAGCGATTTGTGCGCCAAACGGTTGTTGACGAGCTGCAGCACAAGCGCAACATCCGGCGTACCCTCGTTTGCGCAAAGAACCACATCATCTGCAAGAAGCTTTAGTACCCCAACATCACTCCTCGTTACCCGCATTTACAAACTTCCCCGGCTGACCATCACGAGGAGTGGCAGGAGCAGATCTTCATCTTTGACGGGATCATGCAATCGCTCATTATCGTCATCCGGGAGAGCAGGTGCTTTATCCGCTCTTCACCGCGGGCGGGCAAACTCTCGCAAAAGCCGCGGCACTACAGATCATGGAGATCAGGCTGTAGAGAGACTCTTGCTGCGAAAACGGCTGAAGCGCATCCTGCCGTGGACCAACTGGCGGGCAAACAAGCTGAAAGCCGCGGACAAGCGAAGGGAGAAAAAGGCACGGAGGGTCAGGCACGATGAGAGGCTGAAACGGGCGGCGGTGTCACGCTGAAAATACCTCGTTCTTCGGCGAGCAGGACCACTTTTGGTGATCATGTTTAATATTAATTGTGAGTGCAATAAAACGCACAACGAGAATTAAAAAAGCAGAAGCACGACGACGACCCTCGTCTGTGCAAAGACACAGTTTCAGTTTTCAATATCCGGTCAATAGTTCCTTCTCCTACACTCTTTCTCAGTTCCCGTTCTTCATGAGAGGACATTCAACATTTCGGAGAAGATGTTGGCTGCTTATTCGAGAGAACGATGAGTGCTGCGTGGGTCCCTCCAGATGAAGGTGGACGGCGGGTGAGTGCATCAATCTACGAGAACATCATACATTTACATATAAGCACGAGCGCAATATCGTTTGTCGCGCTCAGGACGATGTCTAGAGGGCCCGTTGTACAACAACTCAAGAGAAACAGGAGCAGTTGGAAGGTGAGCAAGATGAACTAGGCCTAGTACTACGGCGGGAGAGAGCTAGGTCAACTACACCAACAGCTGTTGCTGCACCGGCACCCGTGGTTGTGCACAGTTTTCGCTCCAGGGCGCCCCTCATCTGCCCACCGGTCACTCCTCTGCGACAGTCAACACTACTGCGTATTGCGGGCCCTGCAGCAGGAGCACGGTGAAGCCGTTATTTCCGTCATCCGGCCGTGACTACAACAGTGCCTCCCTGTTGATATTCCAAGAGCCTGCCAAAAAAAACCCGTCTGAGCCAACGGTGCGTGCACGAACTACGACACCGAAAGCATCATGTCGACCGAAAACAAGGTCGTGCTGCGATCATCCGCTGCAGGTCCAGGGAGCACCCCGAGCTCCGCCACCCCGACGCCCACCTCTGCAACAGCACACCAACAGCTGGGGCGAAGCACGTTTCTGACCGACGAGCGGATTGGGAGACTCGTTGCGAGCGAACAACAGTTGCGGGAAGAAAATCGGAAGCTGGTATATTTTACCAGTTTCGCGAAGATGATTCGGTCAGTAGATTTGTTTGCATGTCGTGGTCGTTCTTTCCGGCGCGCATGACAAATTAGTACTAGACGACAAGGAAATGAAATACTAGGTAGTCTGTGATGCTGCATTTTTAGAAATTCATGAGTTCCACGTATTGAAAAACTCCAGTATGCCGTCTGCGACCAGCTGCAAGCTGAGCATGAGTGGATCGTGCGGAAATTGGATGCGGAGTGTGCTTATCACAGCGTTAGATTTACCCGTTACAGCCACTTCAATTCAGCCGAAGTTGTGATGCTAGTTGCTACAATCAGTGACGATCTTAGCTGCGCAGAGGAAGACTTAGCAGCAGAAGCAGCAGCAGGTTTTGCATGACAAGTTGCGGAGCTGCTTCCGGCGGCTTCGTTTTTGTTCCCGTAGTGAATATGAAAACAAAACATCATTTGTATAGTGGCAGGCTGGGACGGTGACGGAAGAATAAGAGATAGAGAGTCGTTCTTGTAGATAAAGGTTTTCCTGTGATACCCTGAAGGTGCAGCATGTTGAGGAGCTCTACGAGGAGGTGGAACGGCTGCACAAGAAGATTGACATTGTATATGTATAAATTTTTGTTTTCTTCATTCGTGTTTATGCATCACAGATTTGCTTTTCATAGGTGGGTCACGCATCACAAATTTCATCGTGAAGTCTTTCTTCTTCTTCAGATCAAGGCGAGCACTAGCAGCAGCTCTTCTACGAGTAATGCGAACAACATCAAGCCAAATCGAGAACGAGACACCTCGTCAGGACACGAGAGGGAGGATAACCAGCAGAAGTCTTATCACGATGACGAAAGGGACGCACGATTGGAAGAATTGGAGCGCGAGGTGACCACGCTACGGGAGCAATACATGCCGGCCTCGAAGGTAGAAGAAGAAGCTTTCTGCTTTTCCGATTTTTTTGCGTCCTCCTGTCATGCATAGAGATGTAACATGAAACGCACATCTGGTTCTACAAGCTGTTTTTATTGTTTCTGGGATATTAACATCGTGCTAAGTAGCAGGAGCAAGAAATACAAATTCACAGGAAATCCTTCTCGTGGCGGAGCACATGGAGCGGGCAAACTCGATATCGAAGGAAAATAAAGAGATTGTGTCAAGTGTGCATGACTAAAGAGGACTAGGAAGCAGCATGTCGTGTTCTTGCTGGGCGTGCGCGTGAAGCACGAGCAGCGCTTGGCTATGTTGATGGACAGAAAAAAAAAACTACGCATGCGATTGACACAACAAAATTTTCCCTTGTGATTTCTGAAACTGAACGATTACTCACTGCAACTCGAGTCACGGCTGCAGTTTCTGGAACAGAAGCTGCAAAAGTTGGAAAACAAATACGAGGACGAACCGCTTGTGCAACTGAGGAAAATTATCCGGAGCATTACTTCTTTTCTCTCCCGCTGCGTGCCGTGTGGTGAAAAGCATTTGCAAAAACGACGATCACACCGGATTAGAATAACAAGCACGATGATCTACTTCACGAGATCGATCATTATTACATAAGCTGCTCTTGTTTATCACAAACTTTATTCCTGCGACCAACTCCAGCATGTTGACAGCACAACGGAATTCACAACGGGCTTCACCTCCAAGTGAATTGATGGCAAGTAGACGAAGCTTTTTATGTCGTGTATGTAAAAATAGCTTTCGAGTTGTTCTTGCAAGGCCATACATCACCGGCGGATTCGGATAAAAGTTTTTGAAGTGCATAAGTAACTCCGCTGAACAGCTGCAGGATCTAGCAAGTAACGGAGCTGCATCTGCATCGTCTTCTTCCACTTCCTCCAGCAGTGGCCAGCAACCCGGAGGTGGAGGTGGTCACAATCCCACTACCATGATCCCTGCCGACAGCATGTTCAATAAGCTTGTGGCCATGCTGGACACGAAATACAGCCGACGGATCGCCAATATTCCCTGAAAATTGATGACCATCCCCATGCAGTTTGTCATGCAAAACACGGGGGAGGGGATAATTGAATTCCAATTCTGCTTTTGTCATGCAAAAAATGGATGTTGAGGGTGGCAAATTTTCGAGGAATAGCAAAACTCGAGGACGCAGTAGCATTGGCAGCTCCTACAGCTGCTGGTGGTTCCTCCTCCTCGTCATCTTCAGCTAGCGCGACGACATTCGCTCCACCCTCTGGTGCACCACGACCGGCCACAACTTCATCTACTCCAGCGGTCCGTCCTTCCGAACAGGAGGACGACTTCATCTGCACCAAGGCAGCATTGGCGCAGTTCCAGGCTTCCGTCGAGCAGAAAACGCAGCTGCGGATAAAACAGACCGAGGACTCGTTTAATGAAAAGTTAGCGGAGTTGCTGCGACGGGTGAATTATCCTGTGCAAAAATATCGTACTCGAATTGCAATCATGCATTACAAATCCCTGTGTTAAGGTAAATCCGCATTACACATTTTATTTCTCATGCTGAGGAAATTTGTAATGCATTTATACGAGTACGATACTTTTGCAGTTCATATGAGCCACTCGCTGCTACAAATGATCAATCGGGACGAGGAGGTCGCTTTTGCGAAAATCAAGGAGTTGTTGGATTGCCTGGACGTGAAGTTTTTCACGCTTTGCAACTTCAATAGTGAAGATTTCGTGGGTCCAGCAGCGTCTAGTCATCTCATTGTCGGTGATGCAGCAACGCGCGCAGGTGCAGCTAGTGGTGGAGCACAGGAGGCTGCTGGGAGGTCGGAGGGGGAAGAAGAGAAGGGTGAAGAGCCGGTCGATGCGAAGAACAGAAGAGGAGCAATGTCAAAGAGGAATGGCGAGCAAGTCGTTCTTGGAGATCAAAAATCCGCTGCGACTTCAACTCGGAATAGGCCCCAGGAGCTCATGCCACCTGCGGCAGTAACTACAACCTCGAGCATTCAGATCCGGAGTGTGTCTATGACGTCCTCCTCCAGCAGCCAAAAAACCCCAGCTGGCGGTGGAGAAGCCGAGGCTTTGTTTCCGCAGCACGCCATAGCGCCTTTACTCGAGGATGAGGAATTGTTGTCAACAGTACATGTAGGAGTACAGGAACAAGAACAGCAGCTTCAACAGGACGGCCACTTACTTCAAGAATTCGGCGGCTCTTCTGCTGCGCCTCCAAAGATTAAATGGCCGCTGCTCCTGGTTACCCAGCACCAACAACTGTCCAGCCAGGTGGAGGGCTGTAGATCCGAAATCGAGAAGTGTGTGAAAAAAATTGAAATCGCGGAGACCAACATCAGCCGCGCGCTGATGAATTTCAACCGGTCCCTCGCGCTGAACAACCAGCAACTGAAGAACTCGGCGAGGAGCTACACTGCAGCCGCGAACGCGACCTCCAATGGCAATGCAGCTCTAACTTCATCTTCCGCGCGGAGGTCTAGCGACGGTGTTGGCGGCAATTTCTACGAAGAAAGAGGTTCTTCATCATCGCGACAGGAACTACACGTCGATATTGAGCCGCATCAAGCGCTACGAATGACGCCAACCCTCCCTCCGCCCCTTCCAGCGGCAGCGGGATCTGCAAATAAATTGAGTACGACCTCCGCGGACTACATCAACTACGCAAATCTGAACCCAAGTCTAACCATGACGCCACCACTGCCTCCCTCAAATCTTTACCAGGCGGGTGGTGGAAGTACTAGAGCATCGGGAGGACTAGGAGGTTCTTCTTCCTCCTCCGCCCGGACTGTGGGAGCGAAAAATCCGGGACTTCCGACGAGAAACCTCTACACGGGGGAAAAATTGCAGCAACACCACCCGAATTATCCGGCGCAAACGTCGCAATACAACCAGTTAAACAACCAGGCCGGCACCCTGGTCAACATGAATGACTTTTCCACCCCGACAATGAACCAAAATCACGTCAGCGGGCGGGGACGCTACTAGCGGTGGATCATGAAAAGTCGGAAGAGCAGGAGGACGACTTCTGGGTGCTGGGATGACGCTCGCGCTCGTAGGCGTTGCGTCGGCGGGAAGAGCTAGTTCCTTATTCACAATCATTATTGCGACCAGTAGCTTGTTGTTGACTAGACGCATTTGTAAGGATGAGAATCGCTTCAATTCAGTGGTTAATTATGTGGCTGAGCCCCGTTGTGAAGATGCGCATCTGATCGAAGGTCTTCTTCTCATTCATGCTGAAGTTGCGTCATGATCTTTTTCCTACAGGCCAGCAGCTCTTTGTTTTTAGTCTTCACGTCGCAGGACTACTACGAGTTACAAGAACCCGGACGGGCGGCGGGCGAGTAACCCAGATAGCTGGACTCGGATTCCACCGTCATTTCCCTCCGAAGGACATCTGAGCTATCGCCCCGGGTTTGTTTTGAACATTTCATGTGACATTTCCCCGTAATAAAAATAAAAATTTGAAATTCCGCGGTTTGTGGTTGATTTTGAGATTTCGCTTTGTTGCTTTGGAACATTATGCATCAAATTCCCGAGTCACTAAATCTGCGGGTGTGTGGGTTCTCTTCTCCACGCCAGTGTCGCGCGCCTTTGATGTGCGGGGTGGCCGATAAAAAACAAAATTTTGAATTTTCGCGGATCCGCGGTTTCAATAAAAATAAAAATTTGAAATTTCGCGGCTTCTCTCGTTTGGCTGACGTTGTGCGCTGACTGTTTCTCGCTTACTTGTTTTCATCGGGCGGAGGGCACGGTATGGGGCGGTGGTGGAACAATCTTTGTGGTTACCGCGCAAGAGGTGGCGATCGGTGGTTGCCGCGGCGGCTTGCTTTTTACTTGCTGACCCTTTTACTTTTTGAAAAGAAATCATCCGGCTCGTCCAGGAGGGAATGCAGAATGGAAAATGTCAGACGAGCATCAACAACAGCTGAAGAAGAGTAAAGTAGTTGTAGTAGAAGTAGGAGCCGAGGAAGAACAAGGTGCTAGCAGCTATAGCTTAGAGATGAAACGGATCAACATAGTGATAGTGACCATCAGACCATATGGTAATGATTTTTTGTAAAATGATCGATCAATGTGACTTTTAAGACTTATTTTAACCAGAAATAGCGATTCATGCAAACGCAATATGTCTACTTTAGTCTGAGCCAGAGTTTCAATTTCGTGTCATCTACTTCAGGGCAAGTCTGCGCCCATTGCTTGGACGGGCTCATAGGGTCAAAATGACACTACGAAGTTTCGCAAAGGTAGTTTCTCAAATGTTTTCACAGATGAAAAAAGGACACCTTCTTCTTCTTCTTTCACAGGAGAGGATAAAAAGAGAACATAGAAAAATGCGTTGTCTGGGATTCTTTTTTTATCTGGCACCAAGCAGTTTTTTTCTCGGTTTCGGTTTAGGTAGGCCGCCACCGCCGCCGGCACGGGATGACTGTCGTCGCGACCGTCTCACCTTCGATCTACGCCTTCTCCTGCTGCACAAGTTCGATCCGGAAAGGGTTTAGGTTAGGTTTCAGGGCTTGGGATATCCACTTTTATCTGGCACGTCTTCTATGCTCCTAAAGAGCTTGTAGTTTGCTCCGTCGGTCTCGGTTGGAGGTAGTTTTGCAATGATGTATGTGCTTTCGCTTTCGGTCTGACGAGAGGATGTTCGTACAGCAAGTCATTCTGGCTTGCGTGACGAGCATTATAAGAGTTTTTGTACTTCTGCTTCTCTAGTTCTCGTTTCGGTCGTTGACATCTACCTCCCATGTGGTCGGTGGTATTCGTGCAATTTCTGCGTTTTCGTCCAGCTACAGTTACTGGACCGGTAGCGAATAAAAGTAGCTCAGCTAGAAGTCGTGCGGCCAGTTGAAAATCAATGTCGGTTGTTGGTTCCTGGCTCTTCGTCCTCATCGTGGTAAGTAATGTCGTACAACAAGGATTGGCAACGTTGAGCCACGTGGAGGCCTTCATCCTTTTTACGATTACTTGCAAGACTAATTTATTGAACTCTTCATGTTCATACGACCTTTTGTTGTCTGTGTAGTCGAATCTTCACCAGAGTAGAAGAACACCCTGCTAAGTGTCCCTGAAGACCCGCTATTAATTCCTAAATCCTGATATCCACAATACTTGTACTTGCGCAACATTCTGATTCAATGTTGCCATCTCGTCCCTCTTGCAAATCCTTCGTAAGCTTTTCAAGCAGGATCACACCGGAGACCGCAAATAAAAACGGCAACTAGTCGTGTCTAGAGCTAGAAGTAGCTACCCCTCAACAAACAAATTATTCGCCAGAAGTCGACCTCGACGAGGGCCCGCGACCTTCCTCGTCCTGTCTTGCGAGTCATCCACAACTCCGACGGTTGCAGCGAGTAACGACTTCGGTGTACTAGCAGCTGGTGATAGAAGTTGCAAAACGACCAGAGCCTGTTCCAGGCCCAGGAGCTCCAAGCAAGAAGAAGACCGCCGGTAGTTTCACAAGAGAGGAATAAATCTAAAAATCTTGACCAAGTGCAAGCAAAAGAGGCGTCGAACAACGCAGGCTCAGTTGTAGAAGAACAAGGGGGAAAGCAAATCCGCCGGAGTCAGGAACAACGATCGGCGTTGGTCCTGCTCCCCAAGAAGAAAAGCAATATGTTGTCGCGTAACAAACCGTTCAAACTGGTCGCCACCGTGGCTTTGGCCACGACGAGGGAAGCAGCGGCAATTGCGGCCTGGATTCTCGGAGACGGCTCGTCTACTGCTGCGGGAGGGGATGACAGCAAAAACGAGCAGAACTCATGGGTGGATTGGGAGCACCTGAGGAAGCTTTTCTCCCTACCCCGGCCCCCGCAAGGCCGGCGTGCAAAATCGGCGAAATTTCTGGCTCGTCGGGACGAAATGTGGGAGGACGAAGGAGAAGGCGACTCGCTTCCTGCCACCGCTGCTGTCCCCGAAGATCTTCTTGCCGGCATCGGAATCGCCGATACGGGAGAAGTGGATGCGCGTCCTGGGATCACCGGAGCAGGAGTCGAGGGCGTGGGCACCGGCGTGGAGGGGCAGGGGCCTCAAAGCTCTTTTCTGCAGGTGGATGAAGGGGAAGCCGCGACTGTCCCTGCGCCCGCCGATCAAAGTCCTAGCTCTCCGGTTGGGGCGGGGGTGGGCGCTTCTGCGGCGAATACGCATTGCAATGCAAATATGATACCTGGGTCTTCCCATTGGGTCTAAGGCACACGAAATTCTGTCATGTTCGTGCGTGAAAAGCATATTGAAAGGTAAGTTGCGATACCTCTGCCAAGCAAAAAGTTGATTCCTCATTCAAAGTCGGCATTAAGTTTAGTGTACACCCTTCTCAAAGTAAGTAACTCAATCTGCTTTGGCAAGCAACCTAGACCTTCTTCATGCTCCAGACAGAGGTCGCACTCGCATGATACACATTTGCGATGCTAGTAAGTACGTTTTTCTTCGGACCCAGACAACAAATTTGCACTGGATAGCAAAGCCGTCTCTGCAATTTCCGACGCCGCACAACATGCTGAAGTTGATCCCGACGCAAGAAAGCCACGCGGGAGCGCAAGAGCAAGACGGGCAGGCTGGCTCTGCTGACCACTCTGCTCTGCAAGTGCAACAAGCAGACAATGTTGCGGTCGCCGGGGGTACACGTGAAGTTGGGGCGAATCTGAATATCCACTGCAAACCTGTTGTAGTCTTTTTGTTTTTCTAAGGTGCAGATCTTATTCACACCCGTGCCCGAAGATGCTTAGCCTGCATGACAGATGGTGATACCCGTTTCCCGGGGCAAAACATGAAGAGCCTTCGTTCCTCCTTTTGAGGGATGACAAGTAGAAGTCTTCGCGGACAACTCATGGCTAAAAATGTCAAGACAAACACTAGCATCTTCACGAGCTTGCAATGTCAGCGAGCAGTTCGTCGGGACCCCGAAGACGTTGACATGTTTGCAGTTGATAGGAAAAGAAGTGCCGTCACTGCAATTTCCCACGCCGCACAACATGATGAAGTTGATCCCGGACGGAGTGGAAGCCCCTACTGTGGTGCAACTACCGGCGGATGACAAAAAGGATGACTCTCACCAGTCTTTTCTCAAGCTCGAAGAAACCTCCGACAGGAGAACAGTTCCTGTTGTTGAAAGGGTGGGTGGAGGTGAGGCTCTATCACTTCTACAAGGGCAAGAAGAACGCCGCGTCGGAGGAAAGCAGGAGCATATAAAACAAGCAGAAGGTGGGCATGACGAAGTGCCCGAAGTACACGAGCGAAAAGGAAAAACCCAAAACCGATTGACCGAGAACGCCTCTCCAGGGATTTCTGGTAGTCTGGGGGACCTCCACACTAGCGAGAGAGATGATCTTCAGATTGCCAATCACCTCCAATCGTCGCAGACGACAACGAGCGGTCCTTCTTTCACGCAGACGGGCTCGACGGGTTTCAGGCAGCACAGGCTTCGTAGAGCAAATTCGGACGTGGGACCGTGGACCGAGGCTATGAAGGTGAACGAGCAAGAAGCAGAGGAGATGAGGCGCGACGCTCTACACGATTATGTTCTTGACAAATACCCGCCCCCGGATGTCGAAGTGGTAGCACAGACATCCACCTTTGCGCTGTGGTCAATCTTCAATAGGAATAGTGTGCAGGAACCGAAACAAATCATCTATCGCACACAAGAGGGAGACGAGATTTCCGCCGACAAGGTCACGATCATCAGCATCAGAAAATGCTATATCGTCGATTTCCGCATTGGAGCCGGGATCGAACATCTCTACGTGACATTCACCCCAGCTGCCGCTGTCACCGAAGGCCGATCTCTTCTCGCGGAAGACAAAGTGCGCAAGGTTGTTGTCGCCGAGTTCGAGGGGGGCGGATGGAGCGTGCACAACCCGGACTCTTTTCCTCAGTCCTGGCCGGTTGTCTATGAGTCTCCTATTTGTCTACAGAGTGGTATGCTAGACTCGGCAACGGAAGAGTTCGAGAAGTTGCTCGAAGAAACAAGGAAGGATGACCTGCGCAACTTGGGTCTGACCGCTTTTCAGAAACGGATGCTTCGTGTCCAGATCGACGAATATAACAGAAAAAATGAAGAGCTGAGAGCTCTCGAAAAGAAGAAGGAACCGACGATCTCAAGCTGGCTGCCTGAGTGGGTGAAAACAAGCCCGGAAATAAGCGACCAGATGCTGAACAAGGCTCGACAAGCAAGGGACAAGGCAAAATGGAGTGTGTGGTGGTTCTTGAACAAGGGGAGCGACTCTTTCAACAAGAAGCTGCACGAGATAGTTGACCGTGACGAGGTCGATTGGGACTCGTCAAGGTTGCTGCTCGCCACGAACCTGAACGAAGACAATGGCAGCGGCCGTGTAAACCCTGACAAGGTAACGGATGTGGTGCAGCAACTGGGTGAGAAGCTCGAATATGGGAAATCCCGTCGAGATTCTGAGTCACACTACGGCATTTTTTCAAAAAATTGCCAGCATTTCGTCAACGAACTATTGAAAGTTTGGCGGACGGGCGACGAAATGTTGAATGTGGACCAGCAGACGAGACATTTTACCCAGCTGCGTGGCCCACTCCACCTCTGGCCGCAGCTGTCCGGAGGTGGACAGACATCAGCTGATTCGTCTGGAGTGCATTCGCTTGATGAACAATTTGCTTCGCGCGTCTGGAACAAAGGTGGCGAAAAATTGAAGTACCATAGGTGTGCTCTGAAGACCAAAAGGCTGCCCGTGGTGCAGCGACAAATTGCCGTGGCGTTGCAGAAGCTGAAAGATGGGTCCGAATCGCTATCGCTCGCGCTAAATATTGATGAAGAAAGAACAAAAAATGCATCCTGGCTCAGAGATCAAGAGGTGAAAAATCAAGAGGCAGAGGCTGCCGCTGAACCGCAACAGGCACAGGCATGGTCGTCTAGTTTCTCGCGCAGCTGGTCTTTGCTTTCCCCGACGTCCTCGGAGATGCAGGACGACTGCGGAACGAAAGGCCACATAGAAAAAGATCCCGGCGATGCGGAGGTATTAAATTCGCTTCCACCTTCGCGAATATACCTGGCGCGCGATTCCTTCGACCGGGTTCTGGAAGCACGAAGACATGTCAAATGCTTGAAAATGGAACGCAAGAGGCTACACGAGTACATAGAAAGCTCCTGCAAACAAGAGCACCAGGCCTCGAAGAAACAAGCTACGCCCTAGCTCCAACATAGTAAGCCGGAAATTGAAAAAGACATAATTTTCTGTGATTTCATGTGGAACTTCAACTTTTTACACTCAACCTGCACGAGAAAACGAACAGCTTGCAACTTTCAACTTATTTTCAAATCTCTCTTCGTAAACTTTGCATTTACAACAAACTTCTATCTTGTACGACAGAAACACCTCAGCCAGACTTCTTAACTTTTCAGTACGAGTCGTATCTTTCGACGCCAGCTGGTTATCTTTTCAGCTTTCTTTTTCGTTTTCTTTTGTCAACAGGGCGATAAGCGGCTCTGGCGCACTGGCTTTTTCTTCAAGTTGTAGCGCTAGAACCACACGAGAGAAGAAACTTCACCCGGATTCCGTGTATCCAAAGGCAATAAACAAGCAAACGAGTTGTAATCAGTAAAGTATCTACCCGTTATTTTTGTCTTCTGCGAAACCTCCATCGGTCTGAATTAAACTAAAACTTTGCATTTTGCATTTCCCCCTTCGAACGTGAAGTAAGTGTCTAATAATTTAACAGTAACACGAAGGCCCACTGACCTGTATTGAAGGGAAAGAAAGGACAAGCATCTCAGTCTCAGCGCGAGTTTTTGCATTATACAGGTCCGGATCGGTTTAGGTGGTGGTAATCTAAAATGGGTACCAGCGTCTAACGATGGCGCCCTGACATTCACACAACAAAATTGCCCCCCAGACGTGCAAGCTTTACACCATTTCGATTTTCCTTAAGTCACGCCCCTCCCTTCGCCATTTTTCTAGTTTTTTATGCCGTTTTTTTCCCTTGAGCGCCGCTTTTTTTCTAATTTGTTGTGCCGCTCAGCACTCCTTCCTACTGCCCCCTGAGCAAGTGTATTGTCTGCGTTTGTACTAGATGCAAAAGAGTAAAGGCGTCACGCTCGTCATGTTCTCTCGCAGACCAGAGGTAGTTTTCCAAGTATATGAAAGATAACAAAAGCACTATACCGCTACCTTCGCAGCAAGATTAAATAATGCGGACGAACAAGAATGCGCTGTTGGTGGGCTCTGCTTCTATCCTCATGCCCAATGACAAGGCTACAGCCCTACTTGCGTGGTCCTCGGCCCCGTTTCGCTCCTATTTTTGCAATGGTCGGCGCTTGGGGTGGGTTTGCACTTGTGTATGTGATTTTGGTGATTTTTCGTGCTGGCCACCCTCGGCTTGCTTATTTCTTTTTATCTGCCCTGGCACCTCGTCGAAACAATCGAATCTTGTGTAGCAGGCGTTATATTAGTACTCATGTCGGCGCAATCCAGCTCGAGCATGGTCGGAGTTTTCGCAGTCAGTCTATTTCGTTTCAACATCGGTTGGCGCCTTCGCTTCGCTCTATCTATCTTCGTGTAATTTCTGCGATTTCGTCAAGCTATTAGCTACACAGCAAACTCAAAATAAAAGTTGGTGCTAGAATTCGTGCGGTGCTTTCGTTAAAATCAATATCGGTCGTTCCTGACTCTTCGTCCTCATAGTGGTGATGTCGTGCAAGGTTGAGTCACGTGAAGGTCTTCATCTTTTCCAGTCCTTGTAAGATGACTTTATTCATTCTAAATCTCCAACATGAAAATACGACCTTGTGCTGCGTAGTCAAATCTTCACCAGAGAAGCAGAGCAAGACCTTGTTTGTTGTCCCTGACCTCCCCGTTATCAAAAATTTGTAAATCCACACTAGTACGCATCAACATCCTGATTCTATTTTGCCATCTCGTTCCCCCTTGTAAATCTAAATCCTGAAAACTAGCTTTTCAAACTGAACCTCACCAAAGAACGCAAGCCCCAAGCCGCGTCTAGAGCTAGAAGTAGCTTCTCCTCAACAAAAAAATTACTCGCTAGCAGTCGACCTCGACGACCCGGACCCTCACTCGTCCCGCCTGGCGAGTCATATACATTACAACGACGACGGTTGCAGCGAGCAACGACTTCGGTGTACTAGAAGCAGGGGTGGTAGAAGTTGCGTAACGACCAGAGCCTGTTCCAGGCCCAGGAGCTCCAAGCAAGAAGAAGACCGCCGGTAGTTTCACAAGAGAGGAATGAATCTAAAAGTCTTGATCAAGAGCAAGCAAAAGAGGCGTCGAACAACGCGGGCTCATTTGTAGAAGTAGAACAAGGTGGAGGAAAGCAAATCCGTCGCAGTCAAGAACAACGATCGGTGCTGGTCCCGCTCCCCAAGTAGAAGAAAAGCAACATGTTGTCTCGCAACAAACCATTAAAACTGGTCGCCGCCGTCGCTCTGGCCACGACGAGGGAGACAGCGGCAATTGCGGCCTGGATTCTCGGAGACGGCTCGTCTTCCACTGCTGGTGCGGGAGGGGATGAAGACAGCAAAAACGAGCAGAACTCGTGGGTGGATTGGGAGCACCTGAGGAAGCTTTTCTCCCTACCCCGGCCCCCGCAAGGCCACCGTCCAAAATCGGCGAAATTTCTCGCATACCGAATGCAAAAAATAAAGTGATGTGTCATCTTGGTCTGGAAACAAGCAAGGTCTGACCTGAAATGCCCTGTCTTGTGTAGTCCGTTTTCCTGTAGGAGCCGTAGAATCTGTATTGCTATTGCATAAAATAAATTGACATCAAGAACAAAGACGAACAACACAGTTATGCAGCACCACCGTAGGTTCTTTCACCAGTGTAAAAAGTATGCTAATGCGAAAGTGACAGCACGGCAGCTTGTCTTTGTCATGCGCACGAGGGACGACGAAGACCCTGAGAAAGCGGAAAAACTGTGTCAACAATCCTTCACCCGCACGTGGACAAATTCAGCATGAAAAGAACAAGCACCCTGCTTCTTGTAGTCCAGACCCAGACAACATGTACATCGTGTTTGCAATGCATATCGTGCCCCGCGGCGAAATGTGGGAGGAGGATGATGGAGAGGATCTGGTGGTATCCCTGCACGACGCAAACGAAGCCGCAAACCACGCTGGAACGACACATGGCGCTCCCGACTCCTTTCTGGAAAAAGAAGAGGAGGAACAAGACACGTCTTCGGATGGAGCAACGGGAACGGCAGCTACCGGAGGGCCGCGTCAAGATCAACATGACATCTTCGCAGCTCCTGCAGCAAAGGAAACAGCAGCGCCCGCCCCTTTGCAATTGCAATTTCCGACACTGAAAAACATGCTGAAGCTGGTTCCGCCACCGGTACCAAGAGAACTGAGCCCTGCTGCTGGGAGTTCAACAGATGTTGGGGCGCCGCAAGAAGAAGAAGAGCCATCTGGTGCAGCAGCTCCTTCCTCGTCGGGAAGCACTGCTGGTGGTGACTCCTTGCTTCAAACGCATGAAAGAATTGCGGGAACAAGTACTTCTGAAAATCCCGGGGTTCCGGTGTCCGTTCCTCGTCCGGCAGATGCAGATGCTCCTGCTCCTGCATTATCGATGCCCGGCCCTGGTCGTGACGAGCTGCCTTTTGAATTTCCGACGCGAGAAGCAGGAAACAAATTGGAGTTGAATCGTCCACCACCTCCGCCGCAGGAAAGCGAAAGCACCAGTGCTGGATCAACATCTTCCTCGCCACAAAACGAGTACCCAGCCGGCCCTTCTCGGTCTGCCGTCGAGGAGGACTCTACCTTGCTACAAAAACAGGAAGATAACACCAAGGCGCTTCATGATCATCATGATCAACCTCCTGTGGTCGAGAGTGGCGCGGAGGTGGGCCCTGCATCATCGCCGCCCGCGCTCCTGCAATTTCCGACCCCGGAAAGCATGTTGAAGGTGATGCCACCGCAAAATGAAGAGAAAGGGGAACAACAAAACGACGATCCACTACTTCACAGCACTTCTACAACAGCGGAAAAAAACGACTCCGCAGCTTCCGGATCTTCTCCCAAAGACGCTGGAGGTGTGCAGTTGACGGGAGAGCAAGAGGACCACTTTCACGACTCTGGATCACCAGCAACGAGGACGCCGCCATCTTTATTGCAGTTGCCTCCAGCTGCACCAGTTGTGGGGGCAGGCAAGTTGGGTCAGATGCTCCACCCGGAGCAAGAGGTGGGGCGGGAAGCAGAGCATCTTCAAAGCCCCCGTGCTCCACCCGGGGCGTCAACGCCGAGCGACCTTCGTTTTCCCGACGGCAGCGGATCGCAAGATGATCAGGCCAGCATTGACGAGGAGCTGGAAAACAAGGCAAAAAACTTTTCTAGGGAACTGCATGGCGACCAGGAGGAACAATTATCGCAGCCGGAGCTCGCGCAATCACCTGCTTCAGCTTCGTTCGCACAGCGAGCACCCTACGGCTCCGTCTCTTTCTTCGGCCGGCAGCCTGCCAGAAGCCAGAGCGCCCCGCCTCCGTCACGAAATCCGCATCCACATGCACATCCTCAGCATGCTGGTCACGTTCTTGCCGCCGAGCATGGTGGTTACTTTCTGGGCCATCCTGCTCAGCAGGGTCAAGCTCTTGCTCAGCCCACCCTTCCCAGAGCTCAGTCCTCGCCGGGCGGAGCCACGTATCAAGAAGAAAAATCCCCTCTCCCCATATTAAGAAAACGGAAATCTGTGACGCAGATTTGTTGCCACGAATCAACTTTATCGCGCAGAAACGAAGCGGAGGCGCATGCCAGGCCTGTTCAGGTTTCTAGCAGTCTAGTTCTTCAGCGTGATAGATGTTGCTGCTGATGTAGACTAAAACGCATCGCAGATGGCCTGCGCAGTGTGTCGCTTCGCTCTTGCTTCCCAAGGACGTATGCAACACAGCAGCACGGCTCGTGCACTACACAAATCAGCAGCACAAGTTCCCTTGTGGTGTGTTTTCGATATGGGGGGGGGGCTTTTTTCACTTTGATGCCACATCCTCGAACATAGTGCCATATCGCAGTGCCAGGCAGGAGCTTTTCTATGTGGAATTGGTGTAGTCATGCGATTATATCTACTGTGGACTACAGAAGCTGTCTCTACCATTTCATTGCCCGGCCGAGGCCTCCATCTTCCTAGATATAATTGCTACCAGAAGAGGACGTCTAGGGGCGTCGCTTTTCCTTTTTGCGATCGCACAGGCCTGAAGATGAATAGCGTGCGCGACTAGATGCACAGGGAGAGCAGACAGGCAAGGTGTCCACATTTGGCCATTATGAACAAATCTGCGTCTCTTGCTGTCGTTGTTTAGTGAAAGTGAAACTTTGCGGCCACGTCGCATGTCGGAGGTGCCGGCTTTCATGAAATGTCGAATATGCTGCGTCGACATATCATCTGCGTCTGCCAAAAAAAAAAAGGCTCCGGCCGGCGCTTTTAAGAAGTTTGCGGCTTCGGTCGCTGAAAAAGCTAAAACACCAGAGCAAGAGCTACAATTCCACTCTGAGAGGTTCTGGTGATCTGGGCTGTCTATATTAAAAGTTGGATGAGCAACGTTGGCACCAACATAGGGAGTGCCGTGACCAGTGTGCAAGCGGCAGTTACATGTGCGGCAGAGTCTGTGAAGGCCGATTTCATGGAGTTCAAGGGTTTCGTGCTCAGAAACGAAGCAAAGTGGGAAGATCAGGACGCGCATGATAACCTACATGATTGGGCCCTTACACGCTATCCACCGCCGAGTAAGGAAGAAGTTGAGCGCTTTTCCTCGGCCGGCGTGTCGCCGCATGGGCTCACGGAGATCCGCGTCAAGCGTTGTGCGCTTAGTGGTGATGCGGCGACGAGGCTCCTCGAGCATTTTTATGTCACCTTCACTCCAGTAGGCGGCGCCTTCGAGGACACGGGGAATGCGAATGGACAGAATGGGAAGCGACGCGTCGTCGTCGCCGAGTTTGAGGCAGGGGGGTGGCATGTGCATGAGCCCGTGTCTTTGCTTAAAGCTGGGGACAGTCACCTAGAACCGTTCCCACAGCTTGCTATCCCGAATCTCATTGCTCACGACCCAGAGCGCGTGGTCATCTCCGAGTCGCCTATATGTAACATCAAAGCTCGGGCATTGGCGGAAAAACATGTGGAACAAGAGTTCGATTCCTACCTGGAACGCATCAAGGTTTCGCCACCTGCCTCCTTTCCGTCAGGGTTTGTCCAACGCCTGACCGCTCACAACCAAAAAAAGTTTGATTGCGAGAGCCTTGAGACGCAACTTGCCGAGCTCCAGACAAGGCTTCACAAACCAGAAAACTGGGTCTCTGTCGCGAATATTCACCTGCAGAAGCAGCTTGGACCAGAGAACTCTCACCGTCTTGCACCCGTGGATCAGAATGTAGTGGAAATGCAAAACGGCGTTGCCAGGATCAGTGCCGCCCTGGAACGCTGTCAGAATGAAGTGAAGCAATCCCGTTACGTCCTGCAGCAGCTTTGGACTTTCACGGACGATTTCAAGTCCACGGCGTACAAAAAAATACAAGATGCGGTAGACGAGGCCGCAGAAGAGTTTACCACGGACTATCTGCTGCTCGCAAAAGGCTTGCACAACGGGAATATTGATAGCCTTGAGACCAATCTCCGCGACGTAGTGACACAGCTCGGACGGGCGCGCGGCTTTAACGAGGGACTCGATAGGCGCATAAAAAATCATGGACGCGGGGAGGAGTCACAGTACCACTTGTTGAAGCACAACTGTCAGCACTTTACTAACGACTTGATAAATCTTTGGCGGACGTCAGAGCTGATGTGGAACATCAGCGTGCAATCACGGGGTCTGAGCACCTTTGTGAGCCCCGCTTTGATGCACGACATGGGCGGGCGAGAAAGAGTTATTTATCAGCGGGGCGTATCGGTCCTCAGAAGGTTGCATCCAGATACAAAACCCCTTGTCTGGAACATCGGCGGCGAGAATTTGCAGCTCTACCAGTGTGATATCGCGAGGAAAAACTGTTTCGCTGTGAACTTGTGATGCAGAGCCAGAGCGTGCCAAACGACGCGAGTGTTTGTCTGCGGTAGAAATGCATCAGGACATTTGATTTTGTTTACGGTCACCTTAGGCCGTGGAGCCGCGTTTTTCCATGGAAAGCATGCATGGCAGATTTTCTTCGCCATGTGGAGCAAAATTGTTGTTGTGAAGATGCTCGCCTTGCAAAATCGTCACAGGGAAGCAGTTTTTGCGTGCGATATGTGCTCTAAAGAAGAAAATATGGCCAAGGGTCGAGCAGATCCATTCGGAATTCCAAAAAGTTCGTGACCGTCTACAAAGGAAGGCTGAGCAGTATTGGCAAATTGCACATGCACTGCATGAGCTACACGACTTAGAGAATGAAGGGCTGAAGCAAGCCGCAGACGCCCCTCCTGTGCAAGGTAGCGAACTCGATTTTTGGCTCGGTGCGGCTACAGGTAGGACGGGTAACCGCCTGGACACAGAAGCCAGAACGACGATGACCGAGCTCCAGAGTACAGACGAAACTGCGCGCTTGGCTGAGCGGAGCTATCAGTCTCTTATGGTGTTTTTCAACGGTCACCCCGGCGATTGCCCCCGTCCTGCACCTACCGCCCTTTCCAAGGCGGACGGCCGCCCAAGTGTCGAAAGCCACTTCAACTCGCCCAAAGGAAATGCGGACGTCGTTGTGGGGTTGCATGAACGCGAACATTATGACAGCAGCAGGCACGACTCCGGAATCCCTCACCATGGATCGGGGGATGGGCGGCGGGGCCGCACTTCTGCAGCCGGCTCCGGTGCTGATGTCGCTTCGCGCCACCAGTGGGTTCCGCGCGTCAAAGGGGATGCGGGCTATCTCGATCGCGATGGTCGCCCCGCATCTGGCAGAACACCGCGTCCTCCTGGAACCCGCGCACAGCATCCTTGGGAGGAGGCTTCTACTAGCGCGCAAGCAACGATCCACCCGCGGCACGTCGAACAAGGCCGCGGCCAGCACGAGTTGTACCATCACCACCTGCATCCCGTTTCCGCAGGCGCGGAGCGAGGAACAACTGTTCGCCCTCCTGCCACGGCAAGGCCGCGTTCTCGTGGGCCAGCTCCTTCATCAGTTGTTGGTGCGCCGCAGTTGAGCAGCCGCGCAGCTCAGCAGACGGTAAGGCCTCGCAGCCAACCGTCGGCAGTCCGTGCGGGGGGCGCTGGCACCCCGGCGCCGGACGGCTACCTGGCGCAGGTCCCCTCACGTGGGCGCGACCCCTCTGATCAGGGCCCTCGCGGGGGCGCCAGCCGAAGAGACCCCGCTCAGCCACCCGGGTACCGGCGGCGGGGTCCTGTCCCTGTGTCGGCGCCAGAAGTTCCAGTCCCGCGCAGCAACGATCAACGAACCCCTTCCGGTGGGCGCGATGCATTGCAAAAAGCAGAGCAAACAGAGCAACGGTTGCGCTCTTTCAAAGCTGGTCGTGGAGGAGGTTGAACCTCCTCCACGACCATGACCGATCGCAGAACGGCAAAAGGAGCGTGAATGCTACTAGTTCCGCCCGCCTGGTGGGCGCACGCATCAGATGAAACCCACCCTCTTCGGCCCAACGAAAGTGTGCGCTGCACTGTCATTTTCCAGGTCTCCGTTTCTACAAATTGTATGAGTTTGAGTTTCATGTTTATCGACTTTGAACATTACGACCTTTCCGATATACAGCCGTTTACTTCTACAGCCTACTCTTCTCAATCTAGCTTTGTGTTATTCTGAAAAATACATTTATTATTTTCATAAAGTAATACCCTTTTTTGTCTTTTACTTTTGCGAAACCATCGGACTGAATAGATTTTTGCAGATGCATTTCCCGCTTCGAACGTGAAGTAAGTGTCTCATGATTTCACAGTAATACAAAAGCCCACTGAACTGTATTGGATAGAAAGAAAGGACAAGCATTTCTCTTCACCTTCCTATGATCGGGATGTTCCACTCTTTAGGAGCTACTCAGCAATAGAATATGGGTGGGAAATAAACTCTCACAATGCGCCAAATGCCACGTCACATGATCAGAGTGGCGGTAATAAACAGGCCGACGCGAGGATGAAGCTAATTGCTTCTTGTCGTGCCTCTATTTATCGGTTTCTTTTGACGAGTCGGCAGCGCAAGTGCTTTAGGAGAGACGAGTTCATCTTGCTGATGATGCACGTGCAAGGACTGGGTCCTGCTCTTATAATGAGTCTACTGAGCGAAAGGAAGTATAAGATTAAAATCTGCACTGAAAAGCGAGAGCCTCACTGTACTTGCAAGATGTTCAACATCCTTGTTGGCCTGTGCCCTTTCTTGCCTGCTTTTATTTCGCTCTATCGTGCGGCACAGGGAGTGCTTCGCGATCGCGTCACTCTTTATGTTCCTACCTGTCGCAGTGTCTCCACACACGAATGATTCATTTCTCCATTTTCATTTTGAATTTAGTACTCCGCTGTAGATGTTTCCTCCTTGATGTTGAGTGATCAACTCTTTTGCGACTTAATTAATAGTTTTGCTTCTATGTTGTTAATATATAGTTAAGTTAATATTTTTCTTTTTCGACCTCCATTTCTAGCATGCTTCGCTTCGCAGCGCGCTGAAACCTGAAGCTCCTGCGCACGACGACGGACAACCGATTGAAATTTTCTTGGCGCAACCTCCCTTGTCGATGGAGTCCGACGCAGCAGGACCACGAAATGGCTAACGACTCCGCTTACGACTACAAATATTTCTCTCTCTCTCTCTCGACCACGATGACGTATTGCTCGTGCTGAGATTGAGTAGGTGGAGTTGCATATACTACAAGAACAAATCGGACGACCGGCTTGCTAGTACGGGAACGCAGCCCACATAGCTGCAGGCTGTAGTTGCGGGCACCAAGATTGTTCTGGTAGTCGCGATGCTGACCATCTCCGAGCACGAGGAGCACCGGGGCGGTGGAGCAGCAACTCCCGGAAGTGCCGGACACGTATCAAATGTAAAAATATCTGGGTCTGGAAGAATGCAACTTGTGATGCTGCATTTGGATTCTAGAAAAATCTGTATTGCATGAGTACCAAAAGGAATGCAATTTTTGCTACGCGGAGAGGGCATTTTTCATGCGGAATAGGCATCAAGAGCAAGAAGCTCTCGAAAAATCTGTGATGCTCGGGCATGCATCACAGACATCAGGGCTCATGCAAAACGTGCATGACAAGTGTCAGAATCTTCCAGAGGACCCGGACATTTTTACATTCCATAACACAACATGCAACACCAATCCGCACCAGACGCGCCAAATCTTCCTCTCGCCTCTCCGCTGACACGCACAGATGTGGCAAACCCCGTGCAGTTCTCGGCGAACTCGGTACAGCAAACACCAAAACTGCAGACACCCGCCATTATCCTGTGCAAAAGTATCGTACTCGCAAGACAAATTTCTCTTTTAAGCTAAATCAGCGTGAGAAATTCCATTTGTAGTCATGCTGAGCTAATTTGTATTGCAATACTACGAATACGATACTTGTGCAATGCATAGCAATTACCGCGCACCAATCAATGGCTTACCCGGGGCGGGGCGGGTATGAGAAGGAAAAAAAAAAAAACAACCCACAACACTCGAAGCCAGCATTTCTAGTTGTCACAAGGTGGTCGTAGCCTGTCGTGCATCAAGGCAACATTGGTGTCAAAGGGACATATACCTCTGTTCTCCATTTTGCATTCAAAGCCCCAACACCGTCAGCTATCCTTACCTCCGTATGGAAAATTTACGCGTAACGACAACTACTAATATCAGTTGTAACTGACACCGCAACACAAATTGGGCTTCGATTTGAAGGGTGAGCTTTTTTTTTCAACGTGATAGCCCAAGTATCGACTTTGGGGCTCTCGGTGGGTCTTCAACCCTGCCCGGCATAAACCCCGAAGAAGAAGGGGTACCACTCCAGTCGCACCTATCACAGGAAAAAGTGTTAACGTTAACGGTTTTCACAGATTGCAGTCATGCATCACAAGCGTAGCCCAATATGCATGCTATGCATTTACAAATTTTGCCATGTTTTGTGATGCGCTCCTGCATTACAAATTCCGTCAACGTTAACACTTTTTGGTGTGATGGCACCTGCAGATGAACCCGATAAACCAAAACAAGTACGAAATGCAAAAGCATCGTACTCGTATAAATGCAGGTCTTGCATTACAAATTTCTTTGTCAAGGCAAATCAGCATTACAAATTTTATTTCTCATGCTGAGAAAATTTGTAATGCATTTATACGAGTACGATACTTTTGCAGTTCATAACAAGATACGCACTGCAATGAAAGCGTCTTTTACATTTCACCGACTTGCAGTACTTAGGAGCGAGGAGTAACACAAAGCCATTTATTGTTTGGTCATGCGGTAGTTGTTGGAACCAGTATCAGTCACTCTATCTGTAGTTGTTGTAGTGCTGTAGTACTTGCGTAGACGATACGAAAGAAGCCTTTTGCAGTGCATGCAGCACACCCTTTTCCGACATTTTCGGATGGTCTTGGGAGTGTGGGTCTGACGTCGGTTCGGTTCCTAGCATCTGGTCACGGGCAAGCACGCAAAGAAGCGGGTCGGTCGGTGGTGGGCAGTTCGGAGGTGGGCCGCCAGGTGGCGCACCACAACCAGGAACTCCGAGCGCTGCCTATCGTGAAGGGAAAAAAGCTAGCATATGACTCAAGTTTGTCATGCCGAAAGCAAAAGAACGAAAAGATTGAAAGAAGACGCAAACCATCGTCATGCAAAATCAAGCATCAATAGAGCTAGCGTTTTTCCCCGTTGATACTACCAGTCTGGGTAGCATGAACGCCGGTGGCGGGCTGCTGAATAAGTCCATCTCAAGTTCCGACGGACAGCGGCTGCTTATCCGCAGTAAATTTCCCGTACATGTCCAAGTACAAATGAGCTTTCTGCATGACAAAAATAAAGATTGCCTTCGATCGTAGTTATCATGACAAGTGTCGCACTCCAAAAAATTGGCGAAATTTAGTTGTGATGCATCTTTTGCATATGCGGGAAATTATTTGTATTGCATACTGCTCTACATAAAGCCACAAGAGGTGCCGACAGCCACGGGTGGAACGGGTATCAGATGGTGAAAATCATTGTATGAGTCACGCAGGGGCTGATTTGCAATTTTGAGACAAGAGCAATTGCACGATAAAAGTTGAAGTTTGTCTGAAGGTTGAGTACCCACAAGCCTTTATTAGGGCTCGTAAGTGCGATTGCTTTTGAACAAAGAAACCGAAAACTGTGATGCAAATCGTCCGATACGATGCACTTCTGTAAAGCTCAGCTATGCTTGACTAAACTTCCTCTTTTTCGTTGGATAGCTTTGGTGATAGGTCTGCGGAAGGAGATACCAGAGCAATGGTAAGCGAAATAAGCTGGTCGTCCTCTACTATGTGAGCATTACCTTTTTTGGTTTTTTTTTTTCCTACTCATGTTCTTTGTACCTGTGGTGTCTGACGATGCTCATAGGTATTTTTGATCCAGCCATGATTGTGACTTTGCGATACAAAAAGCTTCATCTCTTTGATCAACACGCTTTTTAGGTGGAACCAAGTGGAGATACTTCTGGTTGGCGGAAGCTCAGTTATGGTTGGAAAAATCTTTTCTTGATCTTACTTGAGTTAAGCTTTTGTTTTTGCAGATGAACCTGGTCGCTGGTCGTGGGTGTAATGCGACTTATTTTGCAAGAGTAGTACGTTAAACTAAATTATTCGCCTGAACAAGAATCGACCGAAAAATAAAACATGAACATCTGAACTGGAACAAGAAGATTTTTGTCCCTGCATTTCCTGTACACAGTTGACCTTGAAGCCGTCAGGGATAAAAAAGGGCAAGAAGCTTTGCATCAAAGTGCCGCCAGCACTGGAATGTCGAGACTACGATGTCAGGGTGGTATAAAAGTCGATTCTTTAGTTTCTTTGTTCATCATCATCTTCAGTAGTGTAATGCTTGATCATCTTGATCTTTGATCTTCTTTATGTCATGCACGAGCTACAGGAATCATGAGAATGTGCAAAGTCAACTTTGATGTCGTGTTTCTGCATGACACAAATTTCTTCAACTCTAGGTGTTCGCGGGCAAAATCTTGCACGGAGCCATACCACTTGCCGTACGGGGAGACTCGGACGCCGAAAGCGACTCGGAGACGTGAAAATTGCTTCTTGTGTACTCGTCGTGACGACCAGCCTCGTTACTAGCATCAAATTGGGAGGCTTTCATAGATGAACCACTGGAACCTCCGTCCTCTGCGATGTGGCATCATTGAGTTCAACACGACATCACAAGGTACTTAGATCAAAAAAGCTTTCTTGCAAGGCAAAATGTCTTCAAACAAAACAAGTGCAAAAAATAAAAACGAATCTGCACCAGATGAATTAGATGATCCTGATGACACTTCTAATGTGTTCTTGCTCGTTGACCACAGGACACAAATCTGTTGAAGACTACCAGCAGCGCGAGCATGCTACTTTTTCGACGAAAACACTACACGGAACAACGAAAATGATTTTCGCAAGAAAAACAACTCTCTTTCCTGTCCCGCTCGCACACGGGTCGTTTTAGTACGGTACTGCAGTATCACGACGAGCTACTTCAACTTCAGAACATTTTCAGCAACATCGGTTTTCGATTTCTGTCGGTCCGATCTGCCATTTTGATTTTTCTGCGATGAAATCAAGAGGAGACAACTACGGTGAGAAACAACTGCACGTCTATTACATTGTAGTGTCACTCGACAATTATAACGGTACCAATTTGAAGATGCCATCAAGAGGGTAAGAGCAATGCTCGAGGGTCGTTTTGAAAATATTAACGAAGAGCTCCTGCCGAAGATGCAGCTCTATCATACAGATTCTTCGTGTCGATCTCGATTTCGATTCTGCAATAACAGGGCCGTTCTATCAGGCCTTTTTCGGCCTTCTCACGAAACCACGATACTCCCGCACGGATGATTTTCAAAAATGTGTTGTATACTATTTAGAAGATTGCACACTATACCATTTTTGCACGATTCCCCTCGTCCGCTACCCGCTCTTTCAGAGTGAATTATAACTACGAGAACACACTCGGAAGATATTGCTAAAAAAGTGATGATCAGCTGGCACGCATCAATTTTTTTCTGGTTATTGTTCATCACCTCGCCAAAATTATGTAGAAATAGCTTCGGGTTGAAATTGTACAGGGAATAAGGATTGCAACTGTGTCTGAGCTCAAACAATGATGTATGACTGGTGCACGGACTACAGCTGCCACCTGTAGTGACCAGGGCAGCGACCAGGGCGGCCACCCTGATCTTTCTTGTCGTGTTGCAGCTACTAGGTGGCCTCAGTCAGGTGCTAGAAGCCCGCACCACCAGCCTCTGCTTGTCGGGGCTTTTGGTAGCGGACGACGTAAAAATCTCTAAGAGGAGCAGCTGCTGCAGCCGGGACGACCGCGCATGATCAACACAACATTGACCACCCGGAGCTCGACTTTCTTGCACTAGACTACTTGTTTCTGCACGAATTTTTTGAAACGCCGCCGCAAGAATAGTCCTTGCGGTCTGATGCAGCTGCAGGTCCTGAACGCGACGACCATACTAACGCTTAGCTCCGCACGACAGTGGTGTAATATCGACGACAGCACCTTGAAGACTTCTTCTAGCGACTTCAATTGCAGCACCTGCCCTTCAGCTCCTGCTCTATTGCAGTTACCTCCGTGAACGCTGAATCTGAGCAAGACGATAGCAAATTGGAAACACAAGTCAGCCTCTCAGCAAACAATCGTAGGAAAGCGAAAGGCGGAATGGGGTGGATGAAAGATACCTTCTGAATCCAAATTCAACAAAAAAAAGCCACTCAAACCACATCGCCCCCGAGTGCGATATTTGCATCCCTTTCCGGAAAGAGTAGTTGAGTTGTGTACAACGACAACGGCTCACATCAACTGGTCTTCTGGTAGCGCAACATCGCAGCTCCGCCGATCCCCACGAGTAGAACGGTTTTTTTTGAAGACGGAATTACAGTTATCTAGCAGCACGTCGACGAGGATAGAATTTAGAGCACCCGCAGTGCAGCTGCAAGAGGAGCCCGTTCTCCTCACATTCGCGAGCAGTTGTCGCTGATTTTGTTGCTCTCCTCGCCGGAACATCGAGACCACTAGAGCATCAACCTGTACTAGCTGCGAAGACCACCACCATGGCCGCCGCCGCCCCTCCCGCCGACGTACCGCCCGCGCCAGGTGGAGCAGCAGGCGGTCCTGTCGGAGGTGGACTCGCAGACCAAGTGGAGCTGGCTCCAATAGCAGGAGCAGCAGCCCCCGCGGCAGCCCCTCCGGGAGCGGGAGGTGCAAACAACAACAATAACAATAACAACGCGAGAAATAACAATGCGAGAAATAACATGAACCGAAATGCGAACCAGCACTCAACGGCGCAGATGTTCGGAGATTTTCCGCATGAGTCTGCGATTGTGATGCGACGGGGCATCGAAATCGGGGTGGTGTGCTCCTACATCCTAGTAGCGCATTGCATCTTATCCGGGGGAGAAAAAGGGTGGTTGAGAGGAGATGACCTGACTCTTGAGCGCTTGTCACGACTTCTTGTCCGATACAAAAGATGATACTTCTGTAGTTCTACTTGTGCTAGCGCATCACAGATAATAAATTGGTGGTTCCTCTTTGCAAAAAAGACGGTGCTCAAGCGCAACACAGGACGGGCACATCGTCTTCGGCTTTATATTTGGAAAGACGAGCAGCGTTCTGAAAAAGGACGACTTTGTCTTTGTCATGCGAACAGTGGAGAACCCTACGCAGTTTAGAAGCGGACGAACTCTTACAGAGGATCGTAACAAGCAATGAGAATCATATCATTCTGAGATCCAACTCTTTTTTCTGCTTGATAAATGCTGATAACGGTAGAGCACTGGGACAGCGAAATCGAGGTGGACACGCTGCTGCGGGGGTTCGCGGTACAAAGAAGTGCTAAAAAATTGTTCATTTTCATATGTACTACTTGCGATAATTGCATCAGAATCTCCTTTGGTACATTCAACCGAGAAAGATGACCACACAAGCACAGCATCACGATGACCACATAGACATAATTCCACGGCGCAAGAATTGAAAAGCAAAACAAAACAAGCTAAAGATTCGTTTACATTGAGCAAAATGAAAATTGAAAACACCACCACAGATTCTCCGAATCATCTGTGCCATGCCCCGGCCCTACTACTGGTTCCACACCCGCGCGGAATTCATAGAAGCACGGTACCAGCCGACGCCGCAGTTGGTCACGCGAAGGCTGCTCTACATCTACAATAAGCAATCCAAAGTGGAGCGGATTATCCTATGCAAATACGTCCCCACCCCATAGTCAAGATCGGGATTTGGCTACACAAAGCCGGCATCTCTTGGCTGTCGCGCATGACAAGTTTGGGCTCGCAGTGTCATCGCGTTTAGCTATTGTAGCTGCATCACAAATCGATCCCCTTATGCTGATCATAGCATGACAGACTGCCAGACAGCATTACAGAATGCTTCTCATGGGCCTCTGCATGACAAACGTGCGAGGCTTGCAGGTTTGCATGACAGCTATGGGGTGGGGAGGTTTTTCCGCAGGATACGCATCTTTTTCGCCTTCTACTACGCCTGGCTGCTGGGTTATGGAAGCGTCAGGACCGAAATCGTCAAAGTTGAAATAATCTGTAATGCAGAAAAGCGATACAAGCTGAGGCCCAGTTTGCAAGTGGCGCATGACAAATTTTGGGAGCATGGAAATCCAATTTGTCATGCTGTTTGACCAGAGAAGACTCCTTTTGTCATGCTGGTATTTTAGCAGCTCTATCTTCTTAAACCCCAAACAGGCTTATAATCGGCCTCACTTGCCTGCTCTGCAAGACAGGCCCTTTGCGTCTCGCATTTTATGCATCACAAACTATTTCAACTTTGACGATTTCAATTCTGACACTCTCATATGGGTATAGCGATGGTGACCCTCCTGATGCCCACGTTGCCCGCCATGGGGTATTCGGCGGCACTGTGGCGCCACTGCGTGCTAAACGTCATCTCGCTGATCGTGCACCGATTGCTCTGCGTCTCGCTCTTTTACTACTTGATGCACTGCGATCTGATGCGGGGCATACCGAAAGACGTCGTCAACAAGTATTTTTTTATGATAATGATTTGGGTTTGGGATTTATGCATGACAGAAGCCCGTGCCCGCTCTGATGCGAAAAACTGCATGCGAAATTCATCATCACATTAGGTACACCACCCGGTTCCTGTGGGAGACGCAAATGCGGTTCACGGACCAGTTCATGAGATGGAGCGCAAAAGCAGTCGCTGCAGCTAGCGCGTCTTCAGACGATAGTGGAACTACCAAGGCAGAGGAAAACAAGCAGGACGACGACGAGGCGGACTGCGCAATATGTTACGGGCCATATTCGAAAGGAGAAAATATACGCAGACTAAAATGCGGTATAGTTGGTTGCTTTTTTATCATGCTTATCTACAAGAAAGAGAAGAAGATCGGGATGCTAAGTTTTTTTTTCTGCACAACAGAAGATTTTTGTCTCGGCAACGTGTCTGGGGAGTTGTTCTGGAGCACGACAAGAAAATCATGCAGTCGGATGTTATTGAACGACACGACCATCTCTTAGTTAAATTAGAACATCAAAATCTGTCAGGTCACACGTTCCACGTCGCGTGTGTAGACCAGTGGCTCTTGGGGCACCAAAATAAGTGCCCTCTCTGCGGGTTTGTCGTAGGGCCGCATTTTAACCCAGACGACGACGCCAACGACGACGGCGGGGGAGTGCTGGATGGCGGTGGAGGATAGGCGGACCACCTCCTGCTGCTGCAGTCCTGCTCTCCACCTGTCTTGACTCACTACTTGTACGTACCCGAAAACGAAATATAATCTTCTCGTCGCTTTGTCGGGCTTACGTTGCCGTAGACACGACCAGCTTCTGGCTCTGCTGTTGTAGTCTGTTGTAGTTTTCCGCCCAATGGAACATCTAGAGAATATGGCTCCATAAATTCTGAGTTGCGCTACTACTCAAAAATACCGTAAAAATCGCCCCTGCTCCTACTGTTTTCTTGCTAGTACTGCGAGTCCATCCCCCCTCAACATCCCCACGACCTCCCAAGCGACCCATTATTTATCTTCAAGGTAACCTGCTCGGCGAATTGCTTGCTTCTCGAAGAAGAACTTCTATCAACGTTGCTTGTCGTCGCCCGTTTTATCAGAGTTTCCAAAGGGTGCAAATAAATGCAGATCTTTAGCAGCCGACGGCACTAGAAGTTACTACGTGACCACGAGGAGTTTTTTCTAGGGAAGAAAGTAATTAGCTACAGTCGGCTATTTTTTCAAAATTCAAGGAAGTTGTTTTGATCATCTAGTGAAACGCAGGAGCAAAAGAATTTTCCAACTCTCTGACTTACCATTTTCACAACGACAACTCGTTTCCCTCCCCGCCTACCCCCCGTAAATTAGAATTACGCGACTTCAAGGAGCTACGCATCGCACAACGATGGAGCAGCTGCCCTGCCCCTGTCAAGTGAAGATGACGATGAGCTAGTAGTGCAGAAGTAGAAGTAGCTGTATATCACTTGCAGCTACGCAGGTGTATTTGATTGCAAACCCAAAGAGCAACGAAGTTGAACAGGGAAACAAGCCCAGCTGTGCAGGAGCTGCTGCTTTCAAAATCCCAAAAATGATCACGGGATCTGCTTCTGCACCTCGCATTAACGGCAATGCTGGAACGAGCTACACCCTAGAACGAAGACAGGAAGCGCAAGCAGTTGGAGTTATGAGAGTTGTTGCGTGCGCCGCCGCCGCGACGAAAAGAACTCGTACCAGGATAGTGCAACAAGCGACAATCATCTAGATTGCTGCATTTGATGATGATAAGCATCGAAAGTAAGCAAAAATACAACGAAAGAAATAACAGCTACCAGGCAATTTCTCGGCAGAACTTTTTCTGTTTTGCGGTGCTGCGGGGGACGGCCACTGATTTATGTCGTGGCGTTGTTCTTTATATGGTGGCTCTTTGGTAGTTCGAGTCATGTTTAAGTAATATTTCTTCACGGTGCACGGAGGTGGACGTGGACAAGAGGAACGTCCTTGTCAAGCTACGAACTGGGCGCAGCATTGAATTGTGGGAACTGCAGCTGCAAAGGTGGTGAAGAAGAACGAAAGGCACTGAAGATGGACGTGAATATCTTCAATTTCCATCATCAAGTTCAAGATGCGTCAGCACAGAACGGAGTTGTGAAAGAAGTTGAAACAAGTTCCGAGAAGATTGTGTACTGCGCCGGAGAGAGGTCGTGTGTTGGTCTCGGAAAGACGAGATGAGATGATGATCTAAACTTGCTTTCTTGTTGACGGTGCCACATGCTAGCGGACGAGAAACTAAAGCTGTATCTTTCATGTGGTTGAGTTGCTATAATGCGTTGACGCAACGACTCCAAGCGCAAGACTCACTGTACCTATACCTACAGCATAAATAGATTTCCAGATTAAATATATTGATACTAATTGCAAATTCTTGTTGTCCCGGCAGTCAAGACAAACGTATACTAGTTGTACTTGTACCCTAAGAAGATTCATCAGTTTATCTGTGGTCAAAGCATCGGTTTCGAAAGCGAAAACCGCTCGGCTCTCTGCCTGATTATCCTTACCCACTCTCACACTAGCCGTCGGCTATGCAGCAACACAGTTTTATTAAGGAGGAAAAGAGCGGCTCAGTAGTTTTTGCTCCTGGTGCCGGTAGTACTTATTTAGAAGTATCCACGTAGAAGTAGACGTAAACAAAAATCATGCCGCCGCGCAAAGCTAAGATGTCGTCCGCCAAGCGGGATGAGAATTTCCTGGACTTGGATCTGGATGACGACTATGAGGATGATGATGTCGACGAGCCCGCCAGCGGCGCCGTTGCGGGTGGAACCAAAGAGGATGATTACAGGATGGAAGACAAAATGAACGACAAGAGTATCCTGCAGTCAAGACACGTCGATGCCGCGAAAAAGTGCAACCACACTACAGAGATACTACAGCAGTGGTGGCAAGTAAAAAATTATGTATAGAAGATGGCGCACTATTGCATGACCACAGGAGGCGTGCTGTCGCTTTTTGGAGAATTTTTTATGCCGTTTGAGTTTGTCATCTTTGTGCGCGTTGTTCTTCTGAATGATGCGATGTTGAAGAAACCGGCGTAGAAGGGTAGATGAGGCCGCTTATCGCGATAATGAATGTGTCGTGTTTTCAAACTGCATACAATTCTTCTTCAAGGGGAAGAAGGACAAGTTCGAGAAAGCTGACAAGATCATACTGGAGGATCACAACATAAATTATCCACGGAAAAAAAAAAAAATATCTCCATCCACTTTGTCATGCAGAACACGTGTAAAACTTTTGTTTGTCATGCAAAAAATGGATGGGGATGGGTTTTTTTCTGCGGATATGAATGTGGCCACAGGAGCGACCAGCATGGCAAAACCACAGAAGAACGAAAAGCAGCAAGATCAATTCCATGTCGACGAGAATGACCCGTACGCAGATTTCAAGCTTGACGACCTTATCCTGTGTAAAAGTATCGTACTCGTATCGCAATCATGCATTACAAATCTTGTTCTTAAGGCAAATCTGCATTACAGATTTTATTTTTCACGCCGAGGTGGAAATTTGTAATGCATTTATACGAGTGCGATACTCTTTCAATTCATAGACCTGGACATGCAGCAACTCGAGGCCTGTTTCGACACCTTTGGTCTGGAAAACCTGGACGGGTTGGAAACCCAGACCCGTGTGCCCGTCTTTCCGGACATTACCGCGGAACGGTTGGACAAGCTGACCAGCCGGCGCTGCATCGAGAAGTCAAAGGGCCGGGCGGAGTACTTCAACCGCGACCTGCCGTTTGTTGGGGAGCAGATTTTCGTCTACTGTGTGAATAAAACGCTGTTTCAGATGAACACGAATGCATCCGATTTAGGCACCATGGGAAACATTAGACAAGGAAAATCGCAGAAGTTCATCAAAAATCGAGCACCCCCCTGCCCGGGGCTCCCGGGGAATATAGTTGATTTGTGTGGGCCCCAACCATCTTGCATCTCCCACCAGCGGAGCCCGCCCCGCCATGCACTGTCGCTGGCAAGTGTGTCGCTTTTAGTTCTCACACCTGCGCATGTACTAGGCAAAACGCCCCCGACATTTGCTCTGCAGCCTTGCTCCGGTTCAAAGGCGCCCGCCTATGAGAGAACAACTCGAAGGGGTTTGAAGGTGGTGCGCCTTTGAAATGAGTCCCATTGTTCCGAAAACGTTCCCGGCCCCCGTTTCTTGTCCCGTCACAGCGCGGAACCCTTCCAGCCTGCCGCCTGAATCGCTCGCACAGCCCGGATAATGTAGAGCAGCGCCATCATATTCACCAGCAGAACCCCCCAGAGCGCCAGTAACAAACCAACAGCCGCCCAGTTTTTGTCCCCGCCCCGGCCCGGCTGCCGGAAGTGCCGGGCACCGGCGTCGCCGAAGGTGCCGCGCGCCTGTCGGAAGTCGGCGGCGAGGCCGCCCACGATGTCAGTGGCGTGGCCCGGTGCGATGCACTTTGAGCGCGCGGCCTCCGCACGATGGCCGGAGGCCGCCCGAACGTCTCGCCCCAGTCTGGAAAGTTTCCGGCAGAGGCAGAAGCGCGCGGCCTTTTGCCCGCCTTCGCTGCGATCGGTTTTTTTGCCCGGCGGCCGGGGCGGCGGCCGGTCCGAAGGGGGGCAGCTTGGCGAGCTCCGGCTTGGCTCCGGGGCCGCCGGCGTTCTTGTTTCGCAAAAGCGAAAAAAGCTGCTTCCGCGGCCGCCGAGGGCCCCAGCCGGGCAGCCAAAGGGGCCCCCTTCTTTGCGAAAAAAAGCACCCCCAAAAAGCACCCCCCTTGGAAAGCCTTTCCCCCACCTAAAACTGAAGAATTCCGCGCCCAAAAAAGTACCCCCCTAGAGCACCCCCCTGGGGGCCCCCCCCGACTTCGCCTTCGGACAAGAAATCCTCCCGACCTTCTCTTCTCGCCTTCTTCGCTTTACTGCCTTCGCGCCCGCTATGTCTTAAAGACAATCGCACCCCAAGACACCCACGGCCGAGGGCCTTTAGGAGAAAGAACGTCGCGCCGCCTGTTCTTCGCAGCCAAGGCGGGCGCAAGGCCGCGCGCTTTTGCATCTGCCAAGAACTTTCGACAACAGGAGACGGGACGGTCGGGGCGCCTCCGGTCATCGGGCGGAGGCCGCATCCGCAAAACGTATCGCATCGGCCCAGGCCACTGGCACCGCGGCCGGCCTTGCCGCCGATTTCCGACGGAGGCGCGGCGCTTTCGAAAGCGCATGCGCCCGGCGCGTCCGGCAACCGGGCCGGGGCTGGGACGCAGGCTGGGCGGGTGCCCGTTTGCTCCTGGCGCTTTGGGTGGTTCTGCTGGTGAATGTACTGGCGCTGCTTTACATATTTCGAGCTGCGCGAGAGATTCAAGTGAGAAAGTGGAAGCGCTCTGCCCTGCGACAGGACAAAAAATAGGACCCGGGAACGCTTTCGGAACAATGGCGCTGATTTCGAAAGCGCGCCATCTTCGAACCCCTTCGAGCTGTTCTGTCATAGGCGTCCTCCTTTGAACCGGAGCAAGGCTGCAGAGCAAATGTTGGGATCGCGTCGGCTAGTACATGCGCAGGCGTGAGAACTAAAAGCGACACGCATGCCAGCGGCATGGGATGGTGGGGCGGGCTCCGCTGGGGGGAAATGCGCGATGGTTGGGGCCCACACAAATCAACTATATTCCCCGGGAGCCCCGGGCAGGGGGGTGTTCGATTTTTGATGAACTTCTGCGATTTTCCTTGTCTAAAAACATGAACACCAACAGAATGCGGTTCGGAAGTGGAGACAGCTTGTTGAGCGCAGGCGGTGGAGCTGGAACTGGTGGTGCAGGAGGTGTTGTTCTCGGAGGTGGGCAAAATCTAACTGTGGAGCAGCAATTCGAGTACCTGCAGGTGAGACACAATAATACAGGAGCAGCGGCGGGAGGTGGTGGTGGCGGGGCAGCAGCTACGAACAATTTTGGCCAGAATTTCAACATCGGGGGCAGCATGGCAAATACAACCACTTCCGGCGCGCACCACCACCAGCACCAGTCGTCGATGAATAAAGTGAATCCGCTGTTTGTCACCGGTTGGTACCAATGCGTTGTGGAAAACGTCACCGAGAACTTGCTCTACGTGAAGTGGTGCAATCTGGAGTTCCGGAGAATCGTGTCGGGCGAGCTGCTGCTCGAGAAATTGAAGTGGCAGGTGGTCCCCCGCGACCGATTTTTCGAGGAGAGCATGATTAGCGTGGAGCAAAAAGTCGATGCCAGTGCTGCGGGAGGAGCCGGGGATGACCTCCAAGAAGATGACTTTGACGATATCGTCGATGTGGAACTGGTGCCGAAAATCGCCGACGACGTGATCGAACTCTCTTCGGACTCGGAAGATGGTGCAGATCGTGTAATAGTTGTGGAAAGCAGCGGCGAGGACGATGAGAAAAACGGTCGTCGCGGTGGTGCCAGAGGTGGAGCCACAACTTCTGCCGCGAAAAAGGTGAATAAAATGGGAAAGAACAAGAAAAACGACAGCGCGCTCGATAAAGTTGTAAGTTCATCCGCCGCGGCTAAACTACAAGATGCTTCGACGAAAAAGAAGAAGCATGAGCAGAAGCGGCGAAAGGTGTTGAACAGTCCACCGGGAGGTGGTGGAACAGTGAGTTGTCAAGGAGAATTGGGACAGAACAATAAAAGCAGTGCGAAGAAGAGGAAGAACAAAGACAAACTGAATGTAGATGAAACCGGTGATGTCGAAATGGTGGACGCTGAGGAACAAGAGGACAACGTCGCCGGAACTACAAGCAACAAACTGGATAATTTTTCGCTGGAGCAGAAGATGATGAACTTGAACACATCTTCTTCGTCTGCAGCGAAAACAATAAACAATGCTTTTCATCTACATCGCTCGAAGCTATTTTCCCGACTGCCGAGTAAGTGCTATGTCGTGAAGGAAGTGGAGGGCTCCGTGGAGCAAACGGTGGAAGACCGTCGGGGGGATGAAAAAGAGAGCAAGCAATTTCTATTTCAACAAGCCGGCGCAAATGCAAAAGATGATATGAAAGCGAGCACCTCAAATACAACTACTGCCAACCCCGATCCCCACGACTATTACGACGAAGAGGAAACCGAGCAGGCGGAAGAGCTGCTGTATCAGCTCCAGGTCGCACTAATGTTGTTGGACAAGAAAACGGAGAAAAAAATGCGGAAACAACAGAAGGAGTATTTAGAAGAACGGTTTGGCGACGGGGTCTGGCGGGGGGAAAGAGTTGGTCTCTCCGGGAATGATCGTCGTGCTTCGGCCGATAATGAAGAAGGTCATGACGATGCAAAGAGCCCGGCAGCTGCACAGGACAAAAATGCTGGAACAGCAGTCAAGAAAAAAAAGTTGAAAGAGGAGCAGACCAGTAAATCCGGGAAAAAACAGAATAAAGAAAAAGATGCCCCTGCAGACACCAAAACAGGAAGCAAAAACAAAATGAACAAAATGGGAGCTGCAGCAGCAGCAGCAGGGCCTGCAGCAGGAAAAAAGAACTCAACAAAAGACAAGGTGGACTCAAAAAACAAGTCCTCCACCACCGCCCGGAAAAAGTCGGTAGAGCTGCCCCAGTCGCCCCCACTCCAGCCGACTTCCGACGAATACATTGATTCCAGATTTGCGCACCAGCCCATGCCGTACGAGGCAGGGGAGATGGAGCGGATTTTTCGAAACGCTGTTTTACTTTCCGCGACGAGTTCATCGTCCGGAGCGACCACTGCTTCAGCTTCTACTTCAAAGAACAAGGTAGCAAGCGCAGTAGCTGGTGCATCTTCCACCTCCAGTACAACAACTACACTGGCAGAGTCCACTTCCCAGCCGCTCCGATACTTTCCAAAAGTTTCCTACCGTGATAGCACGAGTTCGAGTGCAGCTAGTACTTCTACGTCGTCGTCGTCGTCGTCATCAAAAAACTTCCGCCTTCCAAAACCCTATCCCTACCGCCCCGTGGTGTATGATTTTGATGACACAAGAACTACGGAAGATGTTGGGCATCAGACCGGTACGAACGACAAGCAGCAGTTTTCGCCAAATCTGAAATCGCAGCAGCTATACGCGTATCCAATGCGAAAGTATCGTACTCGTAGTGATCGCAGTCATGCATTACAAACCTCCATCTCAAGGCAAATCAGCATGACAGACTCCATTTCTCTTCATACTGAGCTAATTTGTCACGCGACCCACACTAGTACGATACTTTTGCAATGTATAACGCACACCGATTTTGGCGGGAAGTGTCCCGCTTCAAACTGGATGAGATGCTCAATCCCTGCCCGAACTACCACACCGATCCCGACCAGGACAAATTTGCCTACCCGAAGAAGATCGAGCACCTGCACAAGAACCTGCTCACCACCTACTTTGAGCAGCAAACCATTCTCCGTGCCTTCCTGCACCAAAACCGCGCGAACCACGCGTTTTGGCGTTTGCTAAGACTGAACATCGTCCCGGATTATGCACGGGGGAAAGTTGTGGAAGTGGGGGAAGATTTCTTGTCTAGGGCAGGAGTAGATGTACAACCGTCGTCAAGTTCTACTGGAACTACTAGTACCGCGACGATGATTGAAAATCCAGCCGTCCTCGAGGATGATTTCTCCACTGCTTTTTCGATGAAATTGCACAGATTTCTGATCCCAGAACGCGCTCTGTTCGACTCGACCGGCGTTGCGGTCAATGAAGCGAATGTGGACGAGAAATTGCTGAAGGATTTTGAGGAAATCGACAAGGAAAACTTTGAGAAGCGGAAGATTCTCACGTGCTTTGACGATGTGGTGGTGGTGGGCGATAGAAGTAGTGGTCCTGAAGAACAGGATCAAGCAGGATTCGAACCTGGTGGAAAAAGCGCTCGTGGTGGGGGAGCTTCATCTTCTTCCAGTAGCTCCGCCGCGGCAGGGACAACTACGAAGAAAAAACGGGCTGCGGCGGGATCAAATACGGCGGGTCAGAAATCACAGAACAACTACATTGCGGGAAATAGAACTGTGGTGAAAATCGGCAGCAGCGAGAGGGACGAATTCGATTTGGATTCGGTAAAGAATCATCTCGTCCCGGGTGCAGCGTCCTCAAATACAAGTCTTCTTCTCAAGCCTGCGGCCTCTTCGTCAGCAAATGTGTCGACAAACAAGAAGAAGGTTATCGCGGTGAAGACCCACGGGTGGAAGCTGCACGAGAAATTCGTGGAGAAGTTTCACGTATCAAATGCAAAAATGTCTGGGTCTGGAAGGTTGGAGCTTGTGATGCTAACTTTGGACTCTCAAAAAATCTGTATTGCATGATCAGCAAGGGGAGTCTAGTTTGTGCTACGCGGGGAGGGCATTTGTCATGCGGAATAGGCATCAGGAAGCCCTCTAAAAATCTGCCATGCTGGGTCATGCATTACAGACATCCTGGGTCATGCAAAATATGCATGACAAACCCGGCATCAACATTCCAGACCCAGACACTTTTGCATTTGATACCACGTCCCGAAGATTCTTGTAGACACCGTTGCGAAAATCCTGGACCGCCACGACCCCGCGGAGGTGTGGTTTTACCCACAGGGGGTGTATACCGCTCCTAGTACAACATCAAGTTCCTCGTGTAGTAAGGCGAAAGCTCCTTCAGATGCAACCAAAAAGAAGACCACCTACGGCGTTTTCTCGATGTACTTCCGCGTTCCCATGGAATCCATCGGCGACTTTCACGGCCAGCGGCTCAGCGCGTCCACGTTTTTCGAAAATCTGGAGAAGAAGGTGAAGAGGTGTGGAAATAAATCAAAGTCATCAGGAGCGGTTTCATCGACTGCACTACAACATCCGTACGCCCGAACCTTTGAGTCCACCGTTTCCTCCGCGGAGGGGCTGCATGTGGTATCAAACAGAAAAAGTGTATTTTTAAGCGTTAACGATTTATTTGAGGGCTTCAGTAACGCATGACAGATTTTCTCTAATGTGCAGCAGGGTCTACTTCTGCAGTTGTACAAGTACAAGTTTTGGTGCTTCGTAGTTGTCTACTCTTGCTTGATGTGTTGATGTTGTCTTCACTGCATTATGAATATGATGCCCAAATTTGTTACACTTCAAAACACAACTTTTTTTGCACGATACGTGATTGACCCCTGCTACGGATTGGTTGAGGAGAACACCAGCTATACAACTGGGACTGAGGAAATTATAGAGGAAAAGAACGCAAAGGACGGCGCAAAGAAGGGAACTACAAGAAGTAAATCATCAACACCGAACATCAGCTCCTCCAGCAGACCCGACTTCTTCTTCGACCGTCGTTTCTGCCCCTTCGCGACAGTGCAGGCACCTCCGATGATATTAAACTTAAACACTCAGACTGACACGGCTGACCACTCTTTCCATCACTACGCTAACTGCGAGTTCCTACCCCGCCACGATTTCGACACGGCCTTGCCCTGGCTGCGGTCGGTTTTACGCCTGTACGCCGTGTTGCCCATTCTGCCGATGGAGGAGTTGTTTGCAAGTCGGGACTTGGGATTGGTGTTGGAACAGAGGAGCTACTTCGGAGCAGGTTCATCTTCGTTGCACGACAAGAAGACGAACGACTCCGAAGACGAGATATTAATCCAGCCAGGCGGGGGAGGCTCAACTACTCCTGGTCTCACGAATTGGAAAAAGCGTCTGGCCAGCGAATTTCTGTACACAACCCCGCTTTTCTTCCACGATCTCCCGTTCAAGGACGATTTCAAACAGGACCTCATCGACACGAAACGGCGTGTATTGCGTATTCAGGAGCTGAACCTGCACGTCGAGAAACAGCGGCCGCTGGTGGTTTCGAAATGGAAACGGGAGGTGGGACTCTGCGTGCCGAAACAGAATTTCTACGGGAGTTTTGGAGGTGGACCGGGAGGGGTAGCTACTTCGAAGGTGAACAAAATCAAAATCACCAAATCGATTCTGGAAAAACTTTACAATGGCCGACGTGAGCTGCCGACTTCTGCGAACCACGACGGGGATGAAGATCAAGATGCTGACCACGACGACGACGCAGCAGGAACAGCAGGAGCAGGTGCAGCTGCATCGGCGTCCAAAGTAGCTGGTAGCGCAGGAGCTCCAAATTTCTTTTCCAAGTACAAGCTGTTCAAGCCAAAACTTTTCAAGAGGAGGAAAAATCCGCTTCTCTTCGACCGCAACGGGGCGGAGCGCGTGCGGGCGTCCAAGGGACGGAAAACGCAGGCGGATTTAGATCAGCTGAAGATGCTGACGGACTACGATACGGAGGGGAATCCGAAAGTAGAAAAAAAAAGTACAACAGCTTCGCTTTTGCTAGCAGAAGGAGCCGCGACCACCTCTGGCCGAAAGATGATGAAGTCAGCTAAGGGGAACACGAACAAGGACACTGTATCTCCTGTCTCCGAGGACAACAAGATCAAAACCAAGCCCGCCCTCTCCGAATTCCCGAACCGCATGATTCCGAAGAATATCCACTGCAAATATGTCTGAGTCTGGAAGACTGCAACTTGTGATGCTGGATTTGGATTCTGCAATAAATCTGTATTGCATGATGAACAGCAAAAGAGGTCCAGTTTTTCCCCCGGAGAGAGGACATTTCTCATGCGGTATAGGCATCAGGAAGCCCTCCCAAAATCTGTGACGCTAGGGCATGCATCACAGACATCAGGAGTCATGCAAAATGCGCATGGCAAGCGCAAACCTCGCATCCTTCCAGACCCAGACATATTCGCAATGCATAAAGAAGAAGCAGTACTTTCTCGGCCCGAATGTCTTGATCAGCGAGAGCAAACGAAATCTGTTGGGGGAGGACATTGAGCGGATTATGGAGGGAGATAAGGTGATTCAGGAGCGGTTTGTGGCAGCTAGCAGGAGCAATAAGATGAGTCAGCGAGGTGGAGGACAAGTAGCAGGAACTACCAATACCGCCGCCGCGACCTCCTCCTCTAACAAAACAGGTACTCTTAGCGGGGCTCCTGCCGCAGCATCATCTTCATCTAGTACTGCACTTGTCTCGGTGAAGCCAGCCAAGGCTGCGAAGGCAAAAGCTGCAAGTGGACTGTCATACACGAGAACTAGCGCATATGTCAGGGGTCCGTATAAGAAGACCAGAGACAAGCTTGCGTCGGAGCAACAGAATAGTACGAACGCAGCAGATGACAGTGCGGCAGCAGGAACGGCGGCTGCAGTAAGCTCAGTTGTAACTGGAGCTCCTGCGGCGCAAGAAGGACAAGAACCTCTACAACAGGCTCCAACTTTCAACGCGTTTGCGAACGTGGTTAATAGCATGACTGTACAGCATATGCAATACAATTACAAATTTCCCGTACATGTACAAGATGCATCACAAATTTCCCGCATTTGGAGTGTGAAACTTGTTATGCTAAACTAGGATCGAAGCCAAGTTTTGCCATGCAGAGACCGCATTTGTACGTGTACAGGAAATTTACTGTGGATACAGCAGCAGCAGCCAGCACAGCCGCAGACAGGTGCAATGTTTGCGCCGCAACAACTACCCCTGATGCAGCCGATGATGATGCAACCACAGCAACCAATGATGCAAATGCCCATGCAACCAGTGCAGCCAGGCACGACGCCATCCGCATCCGTCCCGAATTTTCCGATGATGCACCAGCAACCACAACTACAACCGGCGTTCGCTGCCCAGCCCATGCTGATGCAGCCCCCCGGCGCCGCCCAACCGATGATGTTGGTACCACAGCAGATTGCCACGATCGATCCCATGACGGGGCAACAGACCATCCAAACCATCTACATGCCGATGCCCGCAGGAGCCGGTGTGGCGGGTCCGGCTGGTGCTGTTGGTGGTGTTCCTCCTGCAATGTTCGCCGCGAACCCAGGAACTACAGGAGAAGGTGCAGCTGCAGCGGCCGGCGTAGCTCAGGGAGGTGGAAGTTCGGCTGCCGCGGGGGCTGGAACTACGACGGGGTCATGAGGAACCATGTTTAATACAACTTTGAGGAAGCGGGAGCTCGTCGTCCGTAACATTTTTGATATGGCCACGAGTAGTGGCTACGTCAGAACAAGGTGAAGGTCGGGAATCATGTCATTGATGTCTTATTTCCACTACATCAGAAGCGCAAGCGAACAATCCTAGATTTCTATTTCAAAAACATAAACATCCGGCTTACTAGAAGTGGTGCAAAAATGTGGTCGTTTTTATTCAAGATCAAGAATGTTGGCAACGAATAAAGTAAAAGCACATGGCCCTGCGCGTGCTGTACTACTTTATGAAGTACATCATCTCTGCTGTCGATCGGTCGGAGTACTTCCGACCTGTTCTGCGGACTTTTGAAGTCTTTTAGCTTTGCCATGTTTTTGATCAGTAGCGCGACTGTTGTGCGACCAGAAGGATCATTTTAACGAAATTGCGTTACCGATAGGGTTAGTGTTTGGTGAGAACGAAGGAAATCATATAGATGCCGCTCAGGGATAAAATGAATGGAAGAGGATGAAGTAGTGCAGCTTATCGGCGGTCGTGCGATCTAGAGCCTTGAAATAAAGAAACAGATCTAATAAATAACTTTTCGCCATCAAGATCAACGTGATATAACCCAATCTAAATCTTTTTAGCTGGATCCAGTTGTGAGAACCCCACGGCTCAAAAAACATTCGGTCCCCGAGCCTTCCAAAAGATCTTTGTTCTAGATCCTAGCCACCCACTACTTGGGCGCGCGCCAAGTTCAAACTTTGCGGGCGGAGGCGGACGGATGATGAAAATCAGTAGATCCTACTTTTCTGAGAAAGATCAAAGAGCCCGAACAAGTAGATCTCAAAGAGATCCTCACGAAGATGAAATAGAACTGCTGATGGATGTGAAACCTGAACTCCCGTATTCAAATTCATTTCTTTATTTGAAAAAAACCTTGAATTACAGGTGGCGAGTACGCCACTGGCAGGGAGGACGTAGTCGAGGAGAGCACGTGACTAATATGCATATGAGACCAGAAGACAGAACGGTTGTATGATATAGATTTTAACTAAGAGGCGACAGTATAAGTTCTACAAATATCAGCAACTAGGACGCCACTTGTAACGAGCTTATATTTTTTTTTTTTTCCTAGAAAGAGAAAGACAAAGAAAGAGGAAGATTAAGATAGTCTTCTCAGCATAGTTCTTCTATTTCCCGGCATCAAAACAAGAACAACTGCACTATTCGTTTCGTGACCTGCAAGCATTTCCCTTCCGAAAGCAATGCGCTGCTCTCGGATTGTCGTTCTGTAGTACCGAAAAATGAGAGCCGTCTAAGTCTCTTTACATACCACTACCTTTTTTACGTTATTCCCATTTGTAATTGTACCACACAGTCACAGCCTCTACTGATTTGGATGATCCGCACTACATTACTTCTATCCTACCACAACGACGGAGAAAGCTTGTCTGGAACTCAACAACATGTGAGAACAACAAGTAGAATGAATGTAACGTAGAACAACTTTTTTTTGTACTATAACGATTATGCTACCGTTGTAAAATGTGAAAAACAATCTAGCACAACAAGCGAGTACTCTTAATCACCGTTTTATCTAAAACTACTGTGGCTGCGAGCGTGATCGACTACAACTACTTGAGCTGCCTTCAAGTTCTCACGACTAACCGCAAAGCCCTAAGCAACCATGAGCAATTTTTTGACATGTTTTTTTTTCTCTAATTTGCGTGCGAGCGACAGAAACCAAACAAGAACCTGTATAGAAATCTGGTTTATTAACGGTCACCGCCAGCTCCAGCACTTTGTATATTTTTTTTGATTTATTTATTGGTCCTCAAGCAGCAAAGCACAAGTTCAAGCTGTACTAGGATCATGTTTTACTCGTACACTAACAACCCCGCCGCGGCTCCTGCGTACCAGCTGCAGCAGCAGAGCGCGTCTTCTTTCTACTGCCCCAACCTTCATCCGCAACACCAGGAGCACGAACGGCAGCAGTCTAGTACAGCATCTTCCACCGCACAGCACCAGCATGTCGATGTACAACGACGCACGAGGCGCGCTTCAGCTGCCAAGAGGGAGCGGTGTCTGTCTGCTATGTCGACAGCCTCTGGCACCATGATGGCACAACATTCATCATTACACCCAGGCTGTTGCGGTAGTCGTGTTTCATCTTTCGCTAGTTCTTCTTTTTCCACCACAGGAGCTGTGTTTTCTACTGGCAGTGCCGCGACAAATTCATGTTGTATACAGCACCACCAGCACCAGCATTTGCCGACACCAGGGTCCTCCTCGTCGTGCTTTTCTGGATTCGGGGGCTTCACGACAGCGCAACTAATGGGAGCCCAACAACAGGCGGCATTGGCAACTGCAGAAGCGCTGCATCACCAACAGGAGCACATGATGGCGCAACAGCAACAGAATCGGATGTTGACCGCGGCGGGGCACCATCCAGTCCAAGTCGGAATGGCTTTAGTTTCAGCACCAGCTTTACCCGCCGGGTTACTAGTGCCACCCTGCCCCGCCACAGGAGTCCCGGCCAGCTGTATGCCAGCTGTTTACCACCACCAAACCCCCTGTGTTGACCCACGTCTAACCAGCTTCCACAGCGCATCGCATTTGTTACCGCCACCGGCCATGGTCATGCCTGCACCAGCGGGACTGCCTTACGTTGGTTTTATTCATCCGACAAGTTGTGCACCTCCTTCTTACTGCTCGGCGCACATGGTCGCGGGTTACACTCCTTCTTCTATGTCGAATCTTCCTCACGACCCCTGCACGACTTGCAGTTCCGGAGGACAAGAAGAGGAACATGTTGAAAATCAACCACGTGATGTAGAACTAACAGGGAAGAAAAAATCCAGGACAACAAGAGCAACTTCCTCTACGACCGCCACCACCCGGGCACCCTCGTCGTCCTCTTTTTTTTACAAAACGGAGAGTCAGGGGCTGAAAAAGAGTAGGAGCTCACCTCCTGTAGTGCCAGTAGTTCCGAACAGCAGGTCAACTTGGCAGTCTTTGTCGGAGAGAAGTAGTTCTCCTGCGAGTTATTTTTACGAGGAGGAGCACAACCATGGGAGAAGCTCTTGCGAAAATGAGTACCGTGATCAACAGGAGTATCACGTAACAAATGGTGGTGTGATGCTGCAGCGCAGCACTAGCACTCCGTGTGGGGAACAGCAAGGTGGTCACAAGAAGCACAACTCTTACAACAAGACCCACCAACATTATGCGGGTGTGCCAACCAGCAATACAAATATGGCGAACTACAATAACCGTTCCTCCTCTTGTTTCTCCAGCACCACAGCCGAGACCCGGAAAAGCAGTACTGTTGTAGCAACTTCTACGATGTTGAACAACAAGCAGTCAAGGAGTTCTTGGACGAACAAGAGAGGAAACAGAAACAAGAACTACAGCAAGAAGGCACCAGCAGGAGCTCATCTCTTTGTCCGGAGCGGTAGCACAAGCTCCTCTTCGAAATTATCGAAGGTTGGTGTGAAAAAGGCGAATGGAAAAACTACTTCCATATCAAATGCAAAAATGTCTCGGTCTCGAAAGTTGCGAGATTTGTCATGCATCTCGCGGACCACACTCATGGTCTGTAATGCAGGCAGAAGCATCACAGATTCTTTAAGACCTTCCCCATGCCGCTTCCGCATGAGAAATTCCCCTTTTGCCTAGCGAGAGCTGGGTAACTGTTGGCGTTCATGCAACACAGATTTTCATCTCGTGATCCAGATTTCGCATGACAGGCTTCATTCTTCCAGACCCAGACATATTTGCATTGCATATTCCACCACTTATCGCTATCGTGTCGATTCGTCCTCCTGTTCCAGAAATCACAAGGATACCAGCAGCCGGAGTTCTTTCGATGCAGCTGGCAAGAACAAGAACAACAACACGGCCGCTACTTTTTCTGCAGCAAAAGGCGGCAAGGGCGGCAACAAAGGTAGGGGCGGCCGGCGTGCCGCAAGACGACGGAGAGCCGCGGCTGCAGCAGCAGAAACAGCAGCTGCAACATCGCAGTTGCACATCAATGCGGCTGGAAGTACTGCTTGTGTCACCACGAGGACAGGCGGGCCTCGGTACAACTACAACGCCAGACGAGCAAGGAGTGAAGATCTTGTCAACCGTTCTTCCCATGATCCTCGGCAGGATAAGTTCATTGAAAACAAGAAAACCCAGTACAGCCACAACCAACCCTATTTGGGTCAGTGGCGGAACAGCAGCGGCAGAGAAGAGGAGGACGACCACCTCGTAGGTCGCGACTTTTATTTCCCCCGAGCAGCACAAAAGGCCGAAGAACGCAGTGGGGCGTTTTTTGACGAGGAGGAAGATCATGATGATCGTGATCAGAACATCAATCGTAGTTGTACTTCATCACGCGCCCGTCACTACACCTCGACGAATGTGCTCTTTAACAAAATCCAAGACAGCGTCGAGGAGGAACGGACACGGAGAAGGGTTGAAAATATTAGCATTCAGCACCGAATAAACCAGAACGAAGACATAGACGCTGATATCGAAGATTGCGTGATGCACCAGGCTGATCATACAACACATGATACAGACCAGCATCGGGAAGCCACGCTGCAGACCTGGAGGAACTACGGCACGCTGCTGCACCAGCCCTTTCCCGGCGGGGGCGGGATGTCGACTACTACAAATGACATGATGATCACACCTGAGCCTAGAAGCCGCTCGCTACCTGCAGCAGCTAGTACTTCCCGGCCAGCTAGCAGCCTGCTAGATCAGGACCCACACGACCCACCTCCGGGTTATGAAAATACGATTATTGTGGCGGACCAGGACCAGTTTCACCAGACAATGCGCAGGAGATGTTCTTTCAGCCAGGAGGAATATTTTTACGAGGAAGCAGGAGACCACGAGCGAAACGAAGAGCATGATCCTTGTGACGAGGTGGACGAGGGTCAACTACACAACTTCCACGGGGACGGGGGCGAGTACAACGAGGACGAAGATGACGTTACTGGCCACGAACTGGACCACCTCCCCCCGGTTGAGGATGATTTTCAGTTCGAGGAAATTGAGGACAGTTCGGAAGTTCAATTTGCGAACGAAAGCTATAATCCCGAACATGATGAGCAGGGGCAAGAAGGTGGAGGAGAGAAATTTCATGAATATGAATTTTCTGGAAGGCGGACCACAACGAGGAAGAATAACTGCGATATTGCAGTTGAAAACGACGTCGACCTAGGAGAAGACTATGAGCCGTCCGTGGTCTTGTTTCCCTTCGAGCTTGTAGAGGATGACAACTCCATTCCGGAGTGTTGGCAGACCCATTCGGCGATTACAGAATTGGACTACGAGGACGAAAAGGAAAAAATGTACGAGCGAAGGATGTCGCTGTTTTTCGAGTCCGAGCGAGGGAGCAGTCCACTGGTAGGTGGGTCGTTGTTTGTGCAGGACAGCACGACATCAACTACGTTGAAGTGAGGAAAAAGGAGCAGCAGGCAGCTTGCTGTAAGATAAAAAAGAAGCACGAATTTTATAAAATTTTTTGAGCAAGGAAGATCAAGATGGAAATAATAAACTCCTCATTGAAAAAATGGGTCTACAACACGACGACGCCTACAGTATTTGAATTTATTAAGTGGCCAGCACAACAAGACGAAGTGATGTGAAGCTGAAGGACGGGATTCTTCAGTCTTCTTCAATGTTGATTACGCCTACTTATCTTCTTCAACGTTCGAAAATTGTGGACACCAGGAGCGAGCGCAACTGATTTGTAGAATAGCGTAAAAAATATGACTGGGCGTAGTATCGCCTCGTCCAGAAATCCCTTGAACTTTGAAGCTGACCACTGCGCTCTTGAAGGACGCAAGAACAGGATAGCTGTACGATAGTCAGAATAATAAATAGGCTGAGGCTCTGTTCCTTGTTGCAGAAGAATGGCGGCATCCATCGAGCGCAGCCTCAAAGACCAAGACGGCATAACGCGGTTGCCATTCCTTCTATGCAGGTATCTTGTATGTGTAGAGCAGAATGTAGTATGATATGAAATGCCTTAAAAAGAAGTTTGAAGTAATATGTGTAGAATAAATTCAAGATGACGCTTGAATCAAGCCGCTGAGTCGCCGTTTCCTACGCATCACATGCGATCTATACTCAGCCGTATACTACATGAGCCTATCATACAGAGCGCCACCGCTCTGCAAGTGCAACACACAGCGTCTACTCCCATAGGGATGGAGAAGCTGTAGCCTTCGTTGCAGCAACAGGCTGGCTTTATTGCTGTCCGAGAAAATAATTAGAGCGAAAAAATCAAACAACATCAAGAGCCATGACCACCCTTTCGGAAGATGCTGAAAATGCAAATTGAAAGAGTTGAATGCTGGCCGAGGAGTGCACTAATTTTACCGTCCAAAGAAATAAGTGAACATGAAGTGTAAGACTAAATAAAAGGGGAGCCATGATTCTAGAAGGGACGAGAACAAAAAGAAGTACTTATGAAGATTTTTATGAAGCAGAAGCATCTTCACAAGAAGAGCACTAGAGAGAGCCGCACCGTTTCTATCAGTTTTTAGGCGCGAAAAAAAAGACTATAGTCATAGTTCTTTAAACATTTACAATACGACGTGCCTCCACCAAAAAGTCTCATTCACTGTATTGATTTTATGATTGCACTAGCACACAAGAGCGACTTCTTCAGTTTGGTCCCAGCGCTCACGCTCTTCACCCGAACAGCTACACTATAATTTGCAAAAGACCAAAACCATGTATATGATTCTGAGTAGCGACGAAAAACCAAAACTACACGACGGAAAGACAAAGTAGTAAAAGGATCGTCATGATGACCTCCTCCCTTGTAGATGTAGAAGCAAAAGGAGCATGATATCAAAGACTTAAAGCAACATCAGTGATGGTGATGTTAGTTCTCGCTGCTTTATTGACTACTATTTTGGTTGCTGGAGGTGAAGACCGCCGCAAGTAGCGGCGGTACTACACACAACTTTCTCGTGACTGCTTGTAGTTGTTCTCGAAAACGAAATCGTAGCTGCTACACCGCGATGTTTTTTTCTTCGGAAAGCAGGCATGTTTCGTTTCCTTTCGTACAACCACGAGACGTTATTCTCGACGTTCGTCCGCTCGTTTGAAATTCCCGTCGTCCAGTAGTCACTAACGAATCGCCGCATTCCAATTTCTAGTTTCGCCATCTTCAGCAAAATTCGTAACGCTAACGTCCGAACCTTCTAGTACTAGTAGTACACTGAGGTCTTAGTAATGACCAAGTAAAGAACAACGTCAGAAGCGTCAGCTTGTATTTTTTTTCTCGGTGATGTTGCTTTCGGTTTCGCGCCTTTGATAATCTTCTCATGATCTGCTCGTCTTTTACTTTTTGTGCCAGCACTACGTGCCTGTCGTTCATCTCGTGATTCCGTCTTGGCTCGGTGTGGTAGTGGAGGATCGGTGTCGTGGTAGTTCGTTTTATGTGTAGTTTTGTTTCGTCCACCGACGTGCTGGATGGCGATGTTTGATGAACTACTGTCGGCTGTTCATATCTCCCGTAGCAAGGCAATTTGCTAATATCAAAGAAAAAGATCCCTTGCCCATGAATCTCAGGCTCCCGAACCCTCGAGAGCCATGTCTCGACCCCGTAGTTTCCTCGGCACCAGACTGCACGCACCAGATCCAGAAGCCCAGTGATTCTATTCTACGCAACATAATTTTTTTCATTTATATTTTTCCCTGTCGTGGCATTTTTTTTTGTAAGTACTTATTTGAACTCGCTCCTGTCGTGATACAGTTAGTAGAGCTCCTAGAGCGTTTTGCAGCTTTTGCCTCCGTTTCTGATTACGCATTGGCCCCCCCCCCCCGCACATCAATTGCGTCGACTCACGAGGAAAGGAAGACTCGCCATCCAAAAACTGAAGAAGAAAACCGGCGGAGAACAACGGGCAATGCGGCGGAAATCTTTCACCAGGTTCTTCCGCGCCCTCGCGCCGCACTTCTTGGCGCAATTTCGCCTCCTAATGGCGATGCGTGTCCGAACTACAACGACGAACACAATTGATGCGGAACGAGAGCAGGAGACGAGTACAAGCACGATCACCTCCGCACCGGACGACACGGAGGGCGCTGCAACGATAAAAGAATGAGAATCGCAGAAAATTATATCAACTTTAACCACCGCGACTCCTCCGCAGCTGAAAAGAAGAGTGAGAAAAACTTGGAAACGGGACGCGACGAAATTTTTGGCGCCAAACGAACTCGTTTTAGAATTGCTGGACGAGAAGGGCGACGTGGTCGGCCGGGTGGAAAATTATAGCGGGAATTCGAATTATCCGGGCGGCGCGGCATTCGGCGCATCCGGATTCGCCCAGGGGGGTGGACGAGGTGGTGGCACAACAACACCTCCAGTTGGAGCAGGAGACGAGGCCGGTGTTGGAAATGACGACCAAAACGATGCTGTTGACGCAGTGGCGGAGGCGGAACAGAACGCGGCGTCCTCGAGCAGCAGTTCTAGTTCAACTTCGTTCCTGGAACTACACAATGAGCAGTCCCATCTGATGGAACAGGGGTTCGGTGGAAGTACTGGCTTCTTCGACGCGCTGCCGGAGTGGCTGTTCCTGAAAGACCCGGAGACGGTAATCTACTACACGCCGAACAACCGGACACAGGACCAAAACAGCACGACAAATGTTACTGCGACAGAGCTCTGGACCGCCCTCCGCTCCGGAGTGGAACAATCAGCCGCCGCGTTTTTCGCTTCTTTCACACACGTATCCTCGACAAGCGACCACTCGGATCATGGCGATCCCGATGTGAACACCAGCCAAACTGCGTTATTTGGGCATTCCGATTTTTTGCAGACGGGTGCGGCTGCGGGATTGCTCTCGGAGCAGGAGGAGCCCGCAAGCGAGATGGCTCCAACGGCCGCTTCCAAGGGCTTCGCAGATGAAACTTCTACCAGACAATACGGGTGGGCAGGAGAGGCGCACGATCTGGCTTCGTCGCTGGCGAGTTTGTCTCCAGGGTATCACATTGGAAACTGAGCGCTCAACTTTTGAAGGATTGGAACAGAAAAATGAGTTCGTGAGAGTTGCGTTTTTCCATTCGTAAAATTGAGCATTTTAATCTTGATATGATGAATCTGGATCTGCATAATTCTTGCGTTTCACGAATCCGAATGATCCGCAAATCACCATATTTGTGGCGTGTGATTCCGATTCCGCACCCGCCCTGCTACTCCTTTTATTCTTGTAGCGACAAGAAGGGGGCCACAGTATTCCTCTCTTCTGTTTTCTGATGTGGGGAGGACCGCGTCTTCAATGCGATACTTGGGAAGAATCTTCCTCCCTGCGGAAGGGAGATGCTCGACTCGAGCAGCTTCAGCGCGACAGCACGCTGCGGAAAAAGCTGCCTTTATTTCTGCAAGCAGTACAACAAGAAGACGAGGATCATGACGAAACGAAAACTACGCTCACACGAGGGCGTTCTGGAGGTTCCGCTCAGGATCAGGAAAAACCTTCTTTGCAATTTCCGACGCCGCACAACATGCTGAAGTTGATCCCGACTCAGGAAAGCCACGCGGGAGCGCAAGGCGGGCAGGCTGGCTCTGCTGACCACTCTGCTCTGCAAGTACAACAAGCAGACAATGTTGCGGTCGCCGGAAGTACAAGTGCAGTTGGGGCGAATCTGAATATCCACTGCAAACCTTTAGTCTTCTTCTAAGCTGGGAGTAAACCATGTGCGAACATCCTTTGTCATGCGCATCTTATTCATACCCGACCCCGAGCCTGAAGATGCTTATCCCGCATGACAGATGTTGATACCCGTTCGCTTCCCGGGGCAAAACATGGAGAGCCTTCGCTCATCCTCTTGAGGGATGACAATTAGAAGTCTTCGCAGACTTATCCTGATCCATGGTTAATAATACCATATACAAATACCAGCATCTTCACGAGCTTGCAATGTCAGCAAGCGGCTCGTTGGGACCCCGAACCCGTTGACGCGTTTGCAGTGGATAGGAAAAGAAGTGCCGTCGTTACAATTTCCTACGCCACACAACATGTTGAAGCTGATCCCGGACGGAGTGGAAGCCCCTGTGGAACAACTACCAGCGGACGACAAAAAGGACGACTCCCACCAGTCCTTTCTCAAGCTCGAAGGAACCTCCGAAGATCAACATGGACAAGGACAAGCTCGTGATGTGGAGAAAGCAGCAGACGCTGGGGTTTTGACGGGAGGAGATGTCCCTACCCAAAAAGCACGTCCTGAAGACCAAGGCATACCTCTCGCGCACCTTGAGGGCTGTCGTGTATGCAGTGCAAATATGACGTATACCTTTAGTTCAACTACTGCAGGAGGAGGTGGAACTTCTCTACCTCCAAAGAATATCCCAAACGCCGTCAATTGTAGCTGCACAGTCCGAGCTTACTTTTACAGATGATAAGTGGATACTACAGCTTTGGGGGCGTAATCGAGTTCACTTGTTGCGCATTTTTGTTATGGGTCAATTTCAGGTCCTCGTCGAACGGAAACTGTTGTCAGGCTGGCATGTGGTGCAGCAGGCACAGACCGCACTATAGTACAACTTCTTTTTTTATTTTTTGCTCTCTCATGATGATCACGCTCGCGAAAAAAGTAAATAAAATGACAGCTCGTGCTCTTAAAAACTACTAGTAAGCAAGTACAAGACGGACGTCGAGCAGCTGAAAAAAACATTGACCGGGCGTCGTCTTCTTGGCGGGCCTGTTAATTTGCAAATTTCGTTTCTAGATAATGAGGATGGAAATGGACGACGACGCATTTGCACTGCATATGAGGCTCAGGCTGATCCGCACTTCGAAAGTAAGACCGGTGTTGAAGATGAACAAACTGAGCTTGTGAAATTGGATGCAGGACAAATGAGGCAAACAGGCAGCGTGACGCTGCAAACGAAAACGGAAACAAGTGGCACTGGAAGATATGACGCAGAACCTGCTTCAGAAGAGCCGGAAAAGACAAAGAGAAACACGAATCCCGGCAGGAGAGGAATTCCCGTTGGGGAAAGGTTGGGTGCAGGTGAGACGCAAGAACGCGTCGGAGGAGAACAGATGCAAGTAGAAAAAGCAGAAGCACATCAAGAAGCACCCGAAGTAGACCGACAAAAAACTCAAACCCAATTGAACGAGAGAGCCCCTCTGCCGGGAGTTGCTGGAAGTAGTCTCGGGGACTACGCTATGGGTGAAGAAGGAAATGTTGCGACACACGAATCGTCGCAGCTGAGCGGTCCCTCTTTTACACAGAAAAACTCGTTGGGCGTGGGCGTGGACTCAACAATGCCACGGTTGCCATTGTTGAGTCCAAACTCGGGCGGCCTCCCGCAGGTCCAGAGTGTGAAAACAACAGACGAGAAGCGCGATGCCGTGCACGACAGGGTTCTCGACGAGTACCCACCGCCGGGTGTTGATGTCGTAGACGTGGCGCCAACAGTGTGGCAACACCTCACGGCCTTTTTTGCTGGAGGAGACGTCGGCCAGCGAAAGGGCAACACATTTACGAACGAGTGGGACCAGGAAATCTCCACCGACGCGATCACGGAAATCCGTGCCAAAATGTGTCGTATAATGGGTCTAGGTATAGAGCATTTCTACGTTACGTTTACCCCAGCCAGAGCTCCCGGCGCCGAACCACTTACGGAGCCAGAGAAGCGCCTTGAGGAGGTCGTGGTTGCCGAGTTTGGACCAGACGGATGGATTGTCGATCGACCTCAGCTGGTGTGGAATTCGCCGAAGATCGCCGTTTTCGAGTCTTCCACATGCAAGCCCTACGTCTACGAAAAGGCGGGCGAGGTCCTCGCAAACTATCGTAAAATTGCTCTCGGTCATGTGTCCGATGATGACAACACTCTATCAGAACTCAGCGAAAACAGAAGACAAGTGCTCAAGGAGCATGCCGAACAGTACGAGACTGCAAAGCAGAAGCTCGAAAGCTGGTCGCCGGCGTCGTGGAAGCTGACATCTGATGACAAAGAGGGGCTGAAGAAGGAACGAGCGACGGCTTTTGAGGGAATGGTAAGTTTATTGCTAAATGAGGTCGACCGTTTCGCGAAAGATGTAGGAAACGCCGTGCGCGAGGTCGAAGTGGATTGGAGTTCGTTTGTGCTGCTCGCCACGAACTTGCACATACCCAAGGATGAAGGCGGCGGCCACAGAGTCTCCCTAAAGAAAATTGCGTCGGTGGTGGAACAACTGGGGGAGGCGCTCGGATATGGTGCTAAGCCTAAAGCTAATGGGCAGCTTAGCGAAAAAAAGAAAAAGAAAAAAAAATCGGGTTATTGGCTATGCTGGCGCAATTGCCAGCATTTCGTCAACGATCTGGCCAATCTTTGGCGGACGAACGACGAGGAGCTGTGGAATGTGAGCCAGATGTCGCGCGGCGTCGGCCGTGCAGCTGAACGCGTGCGGGGAATCGTAGAGCAGACAGCCGCAGTCGTTCCTTGGACCCCCCGGCAGCGCGAAGACAGATATGTGCAGTATTTTGGGGGGGTGCCACAAGGGCAGACGGGCGCCGGTACGACTGGGAAGGAGCTTATGGTCTGGAACGTGGGGGGATCGCGTTTGGCAGCGCACAAGTGCAAGCTGAAGGACAGGAGGCTTTCCAAAGTAAAACAAAGGCTGACGGACGCTGAGCGTGTTGCTCAAATTCTACAGCCCGTTGTGCAGAGTGCGGTGGATATTAAGGCGCTGGAAGATTGTTCCAAGGAAGAGGCGCGCGCGCTAGATGCTTTTTGGAAGCTTGAGGACGCAGAAAAAGAAAAACGCGACTTGACGTCGGATCGCGACAGGCTGGAAAGATACCTCGAGGACCATGCTTCTACTTGCCCCGGCACTGGTTCCGGCCGGTGAACGCAGCGAGCATGCAACGCGATCTGGGGCAGCGAGCATGCAACGCAGCGAGCGTTGCAACTTCTGTCGCACGAGAACGCATCACAAAACTAAACCCTTTTCATCTTTTAAAGATGTAGTAGCACAATATCATGTAGATGTAGTCGCTGTATTGGCGTTCAGCACTGGTACAGCGTAGACAAGTCCGCAAGCTCGGTCTTCTATCCAGGCGTTCTTCGTAGTTTCGCTTTCAGTCTCTCGTCCAGAATACGTCCTAACAAGTACTTACTTAAAATACAATCGCTAACTGTGTTTCCAGCCTCGCTGCACAGCCACACCGTGCCGAGATTGTGGCGTGCGCGGCTCGTGAGAGAACAGCGCGAAATTTATATCGGTCGTACTATCATTATCTATGAAATTGAAGTCCAAGAACCAATTATGACCGCGGGCCTTTTTTAGCACCACTTATCGTCTTCAAGTCAACAACAACATCGTTCAGACAATAAGATTTCGGTATGTTATTGTTAGACACGCTTATTTTCCAGTTTCTCTCTTCTAATACTCGGTGTCGTACGAGTTTTACTTGCAACCTTGTCGTGCAGCTCCGTTGACGTGCATCTTCGGGAATAAGTTATGTTTGGTAGCGAGAGAGCTCTCAGGGGGGTGTGTGGCGTTCACTTTTGGGGGTCTGATAAGCTTTAGAAATGTGCCCGGGATCCTTGATAAGTGTTTGAAATTGGTCTGATTTCTTGATAAGTGTTTGAAATTGGTCCGATTTCTTGATAAGTGTTTGAAATTGCCCGAAAACCCGGGATGGGCCTTCTAATTTCGAATCAGAAAATGCATCTTGGGTCCATCAGATGTCCATCAAAGTCAAACCTTCTTCTGACTAGGGGTTTGGATTTTTGATGGACCTTTTTTTTGATTTTGATGGACGTTTGATGGACCTTTGAAATTCTTGCTCTTGGAATTTTCAATGTCCATCAAATGAATACTCCGACTGCCAGTCGTTGACCTCTGCCTCTTGTAACATGTATTCGAGTCTGGCGCGTCATCCCGTCGGGCTCATTGTTTTTCAATGCGCCCCGCCCTCGCCGTTCGTGCCCTGTCTAGTAGCCGCGCGAGCCCACTTGCGTGGCACCTTCCCTCTGCCCCTGGGCCCGAATTCGCAGTTGCAGCGCCTGAGCCCTGGCTCTGTGCCGCAGGTAAGCAATAGCTTGCGGGGAGGGGCGCGACAGAGCCCCGCCCCCCTCTTCTTAGACCCACCATCTACAGCCCTGCAATGCCACGCCAATGCGCTGCCAGTTCGTGAAAAAGCCGGAGCTCGGGCACCTTTTTGGCCCCCACGCGCCGCTTCGAAAGGGACCCTCTGAGGTATCCTGCGCTTCGTTTTGCGATCGCTATGCAGTGGCGGCGCGGCAAGGTGTCAGGCCTTTTGAGCACTACTGCAGGGGCCTGCTGCGCACCTGAAAACTGCAAAAGTCAATCCTTTAGAAATTAGTTAGAATTGAGCTAAAATGCATGTTATGCGCCGCTTAGGTTTGAGATAACTTGCAACCTTGTCGTGCAGCTCGCGTTGACGTGCATCAACACCAAAAGCAAAAGCGGTACTGTACTTCTACATTAGTATCAACCCTCCAATGGGTCGTTTGCCGTTGCGTATTATTCCATATCGGCGGTCGGTCGTGTAGTGCCAGTGCGTGGCGCCTAAGCTGCTCTACTTCGGTCCTTCGTTGATGGTATCGATACGATAGAATAGTTTCCTGGCAACCTCTCATCAAGTTCAAGTAACAACGACAAGATAAAAACTGCATTTCTTAATGAAAATATGAAAATCAGGCTCGAACTCGCCCCACCTCAGTATTTTACGGTTTTCCGACTTTTGATTTATTTGACCCCGGCGAGGTTGAGGCAAATATTTATAAGCTCAAGCTGCACCTCGAGATTTGGATTTCTGTTGACCCACCTTCTTCTGTTTCAGTTCGGCAGTGTGTTCCAACAAAGAACATGTCCCGGCATGATCTGAGTGGCCACCTGGACGACCACCACGACTCGCGTTTTCATTACAACTAAGCAAAGCCTCCAACTTTTTCTAGGTGCCGCATCAGCTGCATTGAACAAATACAGTAGCAGTGGCAGGACGGCGATCAGCATCAAGTTCTAGTTGGTTTATTTCCGGCCGACAACCAACCTGCTACTAGCTGGTCGTCTACTACCACGACGCTGTCCCCGCTGATGATGTCGAGACGCACTTACCTCGCGCGGGCAGCGTTCGCCGCCCTTCTCTCCCCACACAGCACCGCTTCTGGCGAGAGGAGGAAAACCAAAACTACCCCGAATAAAGCAGCAAACGAAAAACCCGAACAACAAGATCCGTACGCTTTCCTCGAAGAGCATCACGAAGCTGACGAGCAAGCCATGGCGTACGAGCAAGCGATGGCCGCGCGGTTTGGCCTCGCCATGGCGAATTCCGGGGAGGCGCCCGGGCGGCGGTCCGGGATGGGAAGCAGCAGGGGCAGAAGGAAGAGAAGGCGTGGTGGAGGGTATGGTCATGGGCACCACCATGGGAACAAGAAGCGCAACAATAGTTTCTTGCATTCGGCGTTGTCTTCCGTGACCAGTAGCGACCAAGTGGATGCTGATGCAAGCAGCCAAACCGCGCTTGGGGGGCATTCCGATTTTTTGCAGACGGGTGAGGATCATGCGGGATTGCTGTCGGAGCAGGACGCACAGGCCGCAGGCGAGATGGTTCCAGCGGCCGCTGTCAAAAGCCTCACAGGAGATGAAACTTTGACCCAACGTGGTCGGGCGGGAGAGGCGCACGACCTGGCTTCGTCGCTGGCGAGTTTATCTCCAGGGTATTACATTGAAAACTGAGCGCTCCACGTTCAGCAGAAGGAGGAAAGTGAGCTTGTATCTGTTTTTTCAAAAAAAAATATCGTTCATTTTTCTGTATAATGCGACTCGTGTTGCATTGGAGCTGTCTTCTTGATGCATCAATTTAAACATGCAATCTTAGACATCGGCAATGAATCCTGGATGCCCTCTGCAACTCAACACTCACGCCTGCGCCATCATCTATCTATATTGCGTCGACAGTGCTTGTCTGTTGTTTTTTCTCTTTTGGGGAGTGGTGTCTTCAATGCGATACTTGGGAGCTCCAGAGTGGTTCTGAAGGAACGGCTGCAGCACCCGATGAAGATCTCTCCCCAGGGCAGGCGCAAGGATCACCCGCTGCAGGAGGGCCTTTCAGTACCTTTGCGGAGGCGGAGCTATGTCCTACTCCTTTTCCTACGTTGTTGGGTCGCAAAGTTACTCCCGTCCCGCCCGATGATCATCATGTCGAAAAAATACCTCCTGCTGAACAGCCTTCACCTCGAGAGACGTCCGCAGGGCGGACAGCTCCAGCTCAAGTTTCTGAGGAGACCTCGAAAAACTTGCCGCAAGGAGGGTGCTGCGGCGAAGGAGAAGACGTCAAAGCCTACATCGAGAAGAACATGAAAGAGAATACGTATTATTATGGCGTTCTCAACTGTTACATTCTCAGCAGTTACATGATTTGTCATGCAAAATAACCATAAGCCGCCACACGATCAAGGTGCTTCGCATGACAAATTCTCGAAGGGCTAAACACCACCTGAATGCGCTCCAAATTTGTAATGCAAAGCGCGCAATCTTCCCGCGTTCACTTTTGCTGTTCTTGCACGACAAATTCATGTAACAGTTGAGAATGTGACATTTGAGAATCCCATAATTATCAGCATTCCGTTGGCACAGATGTCTTCAAATACCTTCCCTGTCATACAACAAAGGCTGTTCGCGTTCGCCCAGACGAGGATATTCTGCCCGCCAACGAGCGTTCTGGTTACTGCACCGCCCGAATACTTCGCACCGACGAGCATTATGAGCAAAAGTTGGAGGATGTCAAGCAAGGGAGGTTACGAAAGCGAAGAGCAGTGCTGTCTCTACAACTACGAAACTTATCGCGTTCGCGAAGGGATTTTGGCATTGTGGCGAGGAGTCAAATATAAGTCTAGTGCTCACGTTCAGTAGAAGATAGATGTTGCGCGAATTATGCGCGGCACGCTGATCATTTTTTTAACGTTTGGGCTTTATCGTTATCCTCATCCATGCGCAGGCATGCCTGAATGAGAATGATTTTCCATGCAGAAACTCATGACACCCGAAACGGTGGAAGTGTGTATAACTTTCGCCACGCTCGTGATCATTTTATTACTTTGGTCTCCATCCCAGTGCCTGAATTAGAACAGAAGTAAGCTCGATGTCATACAGAATAAACCCATCGCCATCGCCGGAATGTTTCCGTTTTCTCTCGTGCGCCGGAGAATCTTTTTTGCGCATGCACGTGCATTGGAGTAGCTGTAGGCAGCGTTTTTTGTTTCCATAAAAATGCCCGCAGCTGTATCAGCGTGGATCAACGTCCCAAACCCCTGGCGTAGTCAATTGCAGGCAGCTCGAACTAAGCGAAGTAGTGCTATCGTGACGAGAAAAATCCCCGTTCCCAGACTTCAAGGGAGTGAAGAATCTAGGTCACTTTAAGGTTTCTAGATTCATTTGGCGCCGCAGATCGACACGACAAGACTAGACAGCTTAGTAGAGTGGAAACAGTGCCTTGCCGAATACGTAGTTAGTAGAAGACTTCTTACTGTCATTGTACGTGTACGCTGCTGCGCACTCGTATCATCTACTTCAAGTTCTGCAAGAACTACCCTTAGTCTTACTCATCTTCTGCAGCTATACGGATTGGGGCCATCGCTGGATGTTGATGCAGGCAGGCTGCCAAAGTGAAAGTTGACCTAAACTGGTCCTCCACACTTGTAAATGTTGTTTGCAGATTCAGTTAGGGTCGCTCCAATCAGCGCCAGGTCGCAACAAGTCTGCCAGCTCCCGCGAGGGACTGCAGATGGTAGTTCCTGCAAATGCTAGCTCCAGCCCGCTCCCCCGAGGGACTGCAAATGGTACTTCCTGCCAACCCCCCCCCCCCCCCCCGCCCGGCAGTTCCTGCAAATGGTAGAATGCCTGGCTTTGATGCGTCGGAGAATTTGACGTCCAGTGCGACATCGCCAACAGCATGGGTGACAGGGCGTGATGTACATCACAAATCATGTCGCTGCTTGGCGGAGTTTCTTTGAGTATGGGACAGGGATTTTTCATTTGAATAATTCGGCAAAGTTTTGAGCCTCAGTTACAGTTTCGGCCAGGGGGGTTGCGCATGCGTATCGGACAAGGACCAGGGCCAGCACGATCCTTCCCGCGTCGGCCACGAACCCGGCTCCTATGACCCCTCCAGCGACCCGCCCGAGGATAATCGTGATGGGCAGACTCATGATCCTGCGCCCCTGCGCCTGCTGGAGCTGGACGAGGCCAGCATCGGCGAAGTCCCATCCCCAGACCCAAGCCAAGTACTAAGACCAAGCGAGCATTTCCCGATCAAGAAGCAGGAGCTCGACCGCGACCCTGCCTTGAAAGCTGTCACGTATTACGACCACTCGGAAATCACGGACGTATTCCACTTGCCGTGCAGCTGGAGAGACGAAAAGATAGAATATCCGAAATATTTTTGTTACTACGCAGTCCCACGTGACACGGAGCATGATTCGGTTCGCGAATATGTAGCTGAGAGAGGTCTGTGCCCACATACAAAGGCTCTGCCAAACGCTGAACACTTCGCGAAATATCATTATCAGCGCTGCGAATGGACACCGTACGGCGCAGTAAGGGACGGCGTTTCTGCAGCGGCTGCGGTAGCGGGGGCCATACCTTCTGAAAATGGTGGGAGCTGTGTATGTGTCCCCGATGTTCCTATCTTTGGTCCTGCAGATTCACTGGGCCCAAACCCCCCTAAGGGTTCGGCGGGGGGCGGCGGCCACGTACTCGCCATCGTGGGGCGTACTTAATGTCGATTCTGGGCAGAGCAGCCGCAGCGCTCCAGACAGCGCTGGGTTTTTTTCCACGCCACAAAGGACTGCGCGTTTTCAAAATAGTTTATAGTGTTTCCGCAATGTTGTAGTTGTTCTGTTGTCGTACTACAACTCATATTAATATCACTCCATCTTGATCATCTGGATCTGCGCATGAAGATGAACGCACGCTCGTGGCGATACCAGGGAGCATGCAGATTCAGAAATTTGTCTAATTCCGTTGCAACTTCTGTCGCACGAGAACGCATCACAAAACTAAACCCTTTTCATCTTCTAACGAGGTAGTAGCACAATATCATGTGGCTGTATCGGCGTTCAACAATGGCACAACAGAAACAAGTCCACAAGGCTCGTTCTTCTAGTCCAGCGGATCTTCGTAGTTTCGCTTTTAGTTTCTCCAGAATACGTACTAATACTTTTACTCAGTAGGCTCCTCGTGAAAGAACAGCGCGAAATTTATATCGGTCGAGGTATCTATTGAATAGTCCAAGAGCCTCCAATTATGTCCGCTGGCCTTTTTTAGCACCACTTATCGTCTTCAACATCGTCCAGACAAAAATAATTCGGTATGACGAAACGTGCTTTTCCAGTTTCTCTCCACTTCTAATAATTCGGTGTCGTACGAGTTTTACTTGCAACCTTGTCGTGCAGCTCGCGTTGACGTGCATCAACACCAAAAGCAAAAGCGGTACTGTGCTTAGTATCAACTCTCCAATTGGTTCGCCGTTGCGTATTCCATATCGGCGGTCGGTCGTGTAGTGCGTGGCACCTAAGCTGCTCTACTTCGGTCGTCCTTCGTTGATGATATCGTTACGATAGAATATCTTCCTGGCAACCTCTCATCAAGTTCAAGTAACAACGACATCAAGATAAAAACTGCACTTCTTTAAATCAAAATATGAAAATCAGGCTCGAACTCGCCCCACCTCAGAAGAAGTACTCTATTTCTATAGTTTTCCGACTTTTGATTTTGATCCCGCCGAGGCTGAGGCAAATATAAGCTCAAGTTGCACCTCGAGATTTCTGTTGACCCACCTTCTTCTGTTTCAGTTCGGCAATGTGTTCCAACAAACATGTCCCGGCATGATCGCAGTGGCCGCCTGGACGACCACCACGACCCGCGTTTTCATTACAACTAAAGTAAAGCCTCCAACTTTTTCTAGGTGCCGCATCAGCTGCATTGAACAAATACAGTAGCAGTAGCAGGACGGCGATCAGCATCACGCTCTAGCTGGTTTATTTCCGGCCGACAACCAACCTGCTACTAGCTGGTCTACCACGAAGACGATGTCCCCGCTGATGTCGAGACGCACTTACATTGCGGCAACCGTCGCCGCTATTCTCTCCCCACACAACACCGCTTCTGGCGAGAGGAGGAAAACTACCCCGAAAGCTGCAAGCGAAAATATCAAATGCAAAAATGTCTGGGTCTGGAAGTATCCGAACTTGTGATGCGCATTTTACAACATAGAAAAATTATCTCTCATGCATAGGTAGCAAAAGCTGCCGACTTTCTGTCACCATCAAAATGGGGGATTTCTCATGCGGGTTCGGCATTGCGGAAGCTTCTCGAAGCCTGTGATGCTAGAGCTTCCATGCCAGACCTTCTGTGTCATGCAAAAACAGCATGACGCTTTCAGACCCAGACATTTTTACATTTGATAGAAAAACCCGAACAACAAGATCCGTACGCTTTCCTCGAAGAGCATCACGAAGCTGACGAGCAAGCCATGGCGTACGAACAGGCCATGGCCGCGCGGTTTGGCGTCGCCATGGCGAATTCCGGGGAGGCGCCCGGGCGGCGGTCCGGGATGGGAAGCAGCAGGGGCAGAAGGAAGAGAAGGCGTGGTGGAGGGTATGGTCATGGGCACCACCATGGGTGGAACAAGAAGCGCAACAAGAACCGGCACCATAGCCATAGCGGCTCCAGTTCAAGAAGTAGCAGGGGAAGGGCTATGAGCGAGCACAACCCCTCGCCCTCTCCCTCATTTGTATAGCATGAACGGCAAGAATACAACAAACACCAGCACACGTGGAGCTAATACATGACAAATTTGCGTGCTTCATGTAAAAATACTGTTTGGGCTTCAGGGATTTGTCATGCAAACAGTGCCACAAGGCATCCTCGACTGAATTTGGGGCTTTGCATGACAAATGAGGGGGAGGGGGGGGTTATGCACTCTCATAAGAGGAGCCTCGGCCGCGGAAGGGCTGGGCGAGCAGGACGACGGCGCAGAAGGAGCCAACATTTTTTTGACTCTGGACAAACAAAACAAAAATCCGTGAAAAGGAAGAGATGTCTTTTTCTATGATTGTTTTTTTCCTCTTGTTTCGCCACACTTCATCTCGCAGGAGCAGGCGCAAGGCTCCTTTCATCGTTTTATTTCCTACTTTTCGTTTTGAATGTCAATTTGTTTTCCATCACATATTCATAAATTTCTGAAAAAGTGCCGTAAAATTAAAGTGAAATAGTTTGAAGCACCAGCGAGGTCACCGTATGCTCGTTCCCTTTAGGGGGAGCTTGTAGTTCTGACTTTGCTTTGTTTTAAAGCACCAGTCTGTAGTCAGATTCAAATTTTGATTTATCGCAATGGTATGGAAATAAAGCAAGCCAGACGAACTACTTAAGGCGAACAAGTAGAAGAACTGTAGTAGTTCTGAAATCCCCCCTGGCTCCCTGCTTTTGTGTTGCTTCTTTGCAGTAGAGGCACAGACAGTAACTAATTCCTTGTTTTTTCGAATAAAGATATTGCAGATGCACTCACATTTTTCTTTTTCAATACACGCAAAAACGACAAATTATTTGAAGAAAAGTTCAGTGGTCCTGTCAAACGTATTCAGCAATTTTTTTCCTTCGAGCACTCGTTGCAGTGTGTCACCCCGGAGGGCTTGATGCCACGTTTGGGACAGACGAGACAGGGTGCCCACGATGTTCTGTTTCGACAACGAGTGCAGGAAGTAAGGCGGTAATAATTTGGTCTGCAATGATAAACGCAACGATTATGATCAAGATCATGATGAATAATGACTCGGTTGCAGGTGGAGTCAGAATTGAAATGTCGTTGTGTTTTTCACATTTCCCACGTCTTCTTCCTGTGTCATATTGCAGATCTAGATCTTCGTCTTTCCCCTGTGATGTTGTCGGTGTCCGTTGGCAAAAGCGATGGGAAGAGTAACAACAAGCTCGAGCAGCTCCACTACGTCCAAGGGCATCCTCTTGTACTAAGCAACTCCTTCAAGCTACACGAACGTTGTTGCAGGAACACCGATCATATGAAGAATCAACATGGGTTGCTGTAGCGCTCCCGAGGCATCAAAAATAGGATTGTCCGCGAACAACTACAAGCAGGCTCAGAAGAAGTACTACAAATCTCAGAAAAACGAAGACGGAGCCGAAGAGGAAGGGCACGACGACCTGCTGGCTGCAGTCGATCTTCCACAAGAGAAGCTGGAACTGAATCGCGAACAAATGAAGAAACCGTTGACGCCAACCAGGGGCTATCAGCCACTCAAGGACGACGGCTCGAGCTTTTGTCGAAGTGGTGACTACGTTGTAGTCCCGACTGATTACGAGCTACGCCGCGCACCTAGAGACCATGATGGCAGCACTTTTCCAAAATTCACGACCGGCCACCACGAGGAACAGCAAGGGCTGCATCTCGCTTCTACCGGTGTCGAGCAAGTACAGGGGCCCTTTCTGCACCCTGGACCGCCTCCAATATCCGAGGTGACCAAGATAAGATCTGCGGTGAGCATATGCTTTGCAAAAAAAGTGGGTTGGAATCTCTCGTCGTCGCGAACAAGTAGAGTTTTGGTCATTTTCGAAATGTGGTATGGCGGTCAAGAGTACTCATCTCTTGTTGAGCCGAGGCCGCGTTTAATACAAGATACGGTAGCTGCACAGGTCGAACTCCAGGACCTGTTCAGGATAATATCACAGACCACACGACGGCGAGGATAATAATTCCAACTACTAACTTTCTTGCATTGCTGGATACACCAAGGCCCTTCTCCTCGGTAAGCAACACCAGTTCCGAGATGCTTTTCACCTTCTAGCGGGCTTAGAAAGCTGCACGGAAGTGGAAACAGCGAAGGAGGTGTTGCTCATTTGTCAAGAGCATCAGTGAACAAGGAAATAGAAAAATATGACGTTTCGACGACGAAGCTGATTGTGGGCTGAAGCCCCTCCATCGGAAGTTGTACAAAATTACTAAGGGACTTGTTCCGTGTCGTGCCATATCGTCGATGATAGGCTGCTTGTTTGTTTGTCTACTTCTGCGACGTGACTGTGCACTGGGACTGGTGCCTGTCAGTCAGTCTGCAAATAAGTAACTCTTGCGTTCCTTTTCTACCCACATGCGGAGAGACACAGTCTTTTTTTCCACTGTTATGCACCAACGAGAGTGGTTTCACACAGGCTGATAAACCCTGTGACAGATTGAGAAGGACGAAGAGATCTGGAGTACTAGAAGACGATTCAGAATTGCTAACGTTCTGGTGCTACCTCAAGACGAGAGACCACAATTGTATACGCAATGTAACTGACTACACCTAGAACCGGAGAGTCGTATCATCAGATGACTTTTCTGTACCCCCGTTGAACACTTTCACAATTTATATTCACTTCATTTTTCAGCCACTCAAGCCAAAACTCATTGCTGCTGGAAGAAATACGTTCTTTCCGCACTGCTGAAGAGGGTCCCCCACCGCTGGAAAAGCATTCAAACAGGAAGACGAGTCTCACCTTCTAACCGCAAGCGGGTCGTAAACCGAGAAGCAAGATTAAATTTCGGCGCAAGAACGACCACCTGAGGCTTAGCGCAGCAATATGTACCAGCTGCGCGACTCTACGGGTGTAACAGACGGGCAGAATCAATGCCGCCGCACCAGCGCACATGATCGAAACAGGGCTCGTCAGGCCGGGGGGCGCACCACGGGTTACGAAGCACTGGATCACCAGCCACAACAACCACCGACGGACTCGAAACTGAACAGGACTAACCTCGAAATAAATATACGCGTTGCCGGAGGAGCGGAGGATTCGAAGACAGGAAAGCAACTTTTCCACACGACGACTACAGCAGGGACTGCGCAGTGTGACAATCACTCAACATCATTTTTTTTGTCGAGGTCAACAAGAGCCTGCATGCGCCGTGCGCCGCGTAGTACTTTCGGAATCAGGTCGTGTCCGTCGTCACAAGTAGAAATAAGCCCGATGACTGCACCAGGTCCCTCCTCCTCCTCTTCTTCGAGGATAACGACTACGTCGGAGAACTACAACATCTGCCGCTCCTCATCTCGCGCGGGAGATAGTGTCCTTTGCGATAAAAGGGATAGATGCCACCACCTCAGTGCAGAACCAGAAGCCGCTACTACCCCAGCAGCACGACCTGGTGCAGACGAAACATCGAGGATCAGTAGCGTAGTTTTTGAGTCGGCAAGAAATCTTACGCTTGCCGCTTTTTCTTCAACAGGAGAAGCTTTGCATCATATAATCATGTCGACGTGGTCTACATCCGGGCTGTGCCAGTATGGTGAAGAGAAAAGACGAGCGCGAACCAGGGAAAAGCAGAATGACACGGTGTTGCTCCACGAAGCTGATACGAATGACGGAAGAAAGCTAAGTCAGTCTGGTGGTCATGGTCCAAGAGGACGACGAGAGGACAAAGACTGCAAGGTGTCGGTTGCAGCATCCACTGTAGATGTAGTTTCGTCCAGTACTACAATGAAAAATCCTGCTGACGGTGACGTCACAACTCCCACCGAACAGTGCCGTTCTTGCCACGATAAGATTTCTTTCAGACCTGGAACCGCGAGTATAGTGGCTTTACCACCAGCTAGGCAGACTCATGCAGAATTATCTTCTGCGACGACGATAAGAGTAAGACGTGATGAAAGAAGACGCAGGACCAGCGCGGACCAAAAGAACAATGCGGGCACTATCAGAAGAAGCGCCGGACCGCGTCGAAGCCGCACGAAAATGACGGACAGCAGCTTTTTTGGCAACAATAAGTGGCACCTATTGCAGCAACTGCTCCTTCTAGTGCAGCACACGATGGGAAAATACACAACAGGTACAAGTAGAATAGAGTTTTGTCATGCGGACCTCTCCTGCATCGATCTGGTTCTGGTGCGAAATTTATTCCCACGTATTACTTTCGTTTCGACGCCATTGCACCATGAGATATCACTCAAACAACACTCCAGGTTCCTTTCAACTCGGGCGGTTCGATCCGCCGATGGCGTACGTGTCCAAGATGGGCTACGATATCGGGGAGGGAAGCTATGCGGTCCGCTTCAAAACCAGCCGGCCGGGAGTTCTGGAAAAACCCATCACGCTGAAGCTCGCGATTTTCCTCGACGAGGACTGGGAAAACCACAGCCTGGACATATGCATTGCAAAAGCATCGAAGTAAGTTCTAGTATGAATTGCATGACAAGTTTTCTCAAAATCCAAAAATGAACTTGTTTGTCATGCTGGAGTAGCTAGAAAGTTACATTTGTCATGCATAATTGCGATTTATTGTTACGAGCCCGATACTTTTGCAACGCATAAGACAGTGCGCGCATCAACAAGTACCCGCACGAGTACCCGCACAACTCAGAAGAGCAGGAGAACTCCATCTGCAAGTTGATTCCCAAATTGGCGATATCCCATGAAAAAACTGCTTTACTGTGATGATTTTGGAAGATCTGCATTACAAGTTTGTTACACTTGACATCAGAGAATATTTGCCATGCGCGCTTCCCAAGGGAAAACACGCTTGGAAATCCAATGTCTTGCAGGTGTAGCAAGAGAGACACTTTGGTGCTTCATTTTCTGCATCGCAGGGTCACAGTTTTTTCTTGCGATAGGCGAAGTCGCACCGGGAGGTCACGGTTTCGACGGGGCTCTATGCATTGCAAAAGTAATCGTACTAGTGGTAATTCATTGCAATACAAATTCGCTCAGCATGACAAGTGGAATTTGTAATGCGGATTTGCCTTGGGAACCAGATTTGTAATTATGCATGAATGCGATTACTACGAGTGCGATACTTTTGCACAGGATAGGCTCGAGCATCTGACCATTCCGAGTGGCAGCGTGACAAAGATGATCAACCAGGCTAAGACCGCGATTTCGGACAGCATAAAGAACCAGGTGACACAGGGTCTGGATTTGGAATCTAAACAAGACGACCCTGCTCCGCCCGAACTACCGGTAAGCCCGAGTGAGCAAGGCTGGTCCATGTGGGAGAAGGGCGCGCTGAAGCAGGTGATCCGTCCGCACGTGTGGTATTTCGTGGTGCACAACTGCGACAGCCAAGCGGACAAAGACGGCATGACGGACCAGACCAGCAACCCGCTTTCCCACGCATACGTCGGGCCCAACGGCGGCGCCCCAGCGCAGACGCGGATCAAATTCCGGTTTCAATTTGAAGCGAAGCAGCACGACGGATCGCACTTTAGCAAGGAGCTGGACGGCATGTTATGGGTCTACTTCGCGAAATTGATGCTGTTTGGGGTATACACAGTTTCTCTTTCTGTGTTTTTATTGTTCAGTACTTATTAGTTTAGCACTTCGCGCATGAGAAATTGATCTTTTAGTGGCTGGTCATGCTATACAACAAATCTTTGTCTTTCCATTTTCTGTTCTTCTAACTGTCTCTATCAGGTTTACGGCCTCCACTACTTCCAGCTGATCGTGGAGTATAAGCGAAACGCGATGGAGGACGTGCATCCCGTGATTTGGATCCTGACGTCTATCATCCTCACCCAGTGTGTCGCAACCGTCACTTATTTCATCCTATGGATTGCAAATACGTCTGGGTCTGGAAGGTTACAACTTGTGATGCTACCTCTGGACTCTACATGAAATCTGTATTGCATGAAGAGCGAAAGAGGTGTAATTTGCGCTACGCGGAGAGGGCATTTCTTACTCCCGTAACGCACCCCCTCCCAAGGCCGTCCGAAAAACTCCGAAAACATTACGACAACAATCCGAAAGCGGAGACAAAAAACAACGGGGCAGCGACTCGAAAAAGCTTCTTCACGGTTCAGAAGATAATCGGTCCGCCGCGACTCGGTTTGTTGGCGAAGCAACATTAACACAAAGCGTTTCGAAGCTTTGAACTGCCGGCGTTTTGCGCAGTCCACAAAAAGCGATCCGCGGCAGGTCTGGACCACATGGCAGCGAAAACGCGCAAAAGTGTGGGCCGCATACCATCGGAGCTGTGTGTACACGCGCCAGCCCCGGGCGGATTACGTAGGCGCCCAACGCGCAAACGCGTGGGGCAGCAGCGTGGCCATGTGGCCGCGGCGGCACGCCGATGGTTTTACAGGGGGAAGACGCGGGCCGTTTGGCTTTCTTTTTACTTTTCCCCAGCATATCAAGCAAGCCCCGACCGTTTTCGCAATGAGGCCGATGGGCTGAGATGCGAACCAGGCGGGTCGTTCTGGTTTTCTCGCTTTCAGCGAACGGCGGATGTAGGTGGGGACAAGGCGAGTCGTATGGCTGTGATGCTGGGAGTGCGCACACCACCACAAAAGGCGCGCGCCCCACACCATCGGGGCTGCGTGTACACGCGCCAGCCCCGAGCTGCCCACGCAGGGATCCAACGCGCAAAAGCGTGGCCCGCATACCATCGGCGCTGTGTGTACACGCGCCAGCCCCGAGCGGATCATGTAGGCGCCCAGCGCGCAAACGCGTGGGGCAGCAGCATGGCAACGAGGCCGCGGCGGCACGCCGATGGTTTTAGAGGGGGAGGAGGCGGGTCGTTAGGCTTTCTTTCTATTTGTTTTTATTTTTCCCCAGCATGCCAGGCATGCCCCGACCGTTTCCGCAATGATGCCGATGGACTGAGATGCGAACCAGGCGGGTCGTTCTGGTTTTCTCGCTTTCAGCGAACGGCGAATCTAGGTGGGGACAAGGCGAGCCGTTTGGCCGTGGTGTTGAGATGCGAACAAGGTGGGTCGTTCTGGTTTTCTTGCTTTCAGTTAACGCCAGGGGGCCGCTGGATTTAGGTGCGGACAAGGCGAGCCGTTTGGCCGTGGTGCTGGGCGTGCGCACACCATCACAAAAGGCGCGCGCGCCACACCATCGGGGCTGCGTGTACACGCGCCGGCCCCGAGCTGCTTACGCAGGCACCCAACGCGCAAAAGCGTGCGCCGCATACCATCGGCGTTGTGTGTCCACGCGCCAGGCCCGGGCGGATTACGTAGGCACCCAGCGCGCAAAGAAACGCGTGGCGCAGCAGCATGGCAGCGAAGGAGGTCGCGGCGGCGCGCCGATAGTTTTAGAGGGGGGCAAGGCGGGGCGTTTGGCCGTGATGTTGGGCGTGCGCTAACAACTACCACAAAAGGCGCGGACGCCACACCATCGGGGCGGCGTGTACACGCGCCCCCGGCCTGATTATGATATGGGGGCGCCCCCCCCGGCGCGCAAAAGTGCGAGCAGCATATCAAGGCGGCCCGCCGATGGTTTTAGAGGGGGACAAGGCGCGCCGTTTGGCCATTTTCTTTCTCCCGCCCACCATCTCAGGCCAGCCCTGATCTCCTTCGTTCGCAAGAAGATCGACGGGCTTAGGCGGGAACAGGGCGAGCCGTTTGGCTTTTCTTCTTTTCTGGAAGTCGCGGGCGATTTCATGGTCCGCAAAGGAGTGCATCGCGTCCGCGTCTCCGGAGTGCAGCAAATCCGCGACTCCGCAAAGAATCCGAAACTGCCTCCCATTTTTTCGCTCCGAAAATTTCGCCGCCTGCTATGATGAAGGCGGCCGCTTTTTTTCGCATCTTCCCGACGCCTTTTGCGGAGTCTTTTCGGAGTCTCTTCGGATTCTTAAAAGTTGCGTATCGTGGGGGTTTTGGGTAGGCTGAAAAAAAGCTATTAAAGAGGGCACACATCATGCAAACCCGACCAAAACAGCGAAGGCCTAGAAAAAACATCGGACGCAGTGCCGTCGTGGGTAACATTACCCCCGATGGTATTGCTGCCGCTTCCTGGGCACCCAACTTTCCCCGGTCTGGTCGCGCTGTCTCTCTCGATCTGTAAAGGCAAAAGCCCACACAACCCGACGACGCGGCCGGCTATCTTATTGGTTGCGTCTCTCGATCTGTAAAGGCAAAAGCACAGTACACAACCAAACGACGCGGCTCTCTATCTTATTTGTTTCAGGATGCGCGTACTTTATTGCTGTCAGTTGTGTTTTCAGTTATTGTTGGGGGTTAGAGTGCCGCAGCCTTGTAGAGTTAGGCGCTATGGTTGTTCTCAATCTTGTGAAAGATTCGTTTGCTGCATACACCTCGCGAACAAGATACACTCGAAAAAAATAGCACAAAGGATCCCGCAAAGGCAGTTTTGGCTGTACACTCGAAAAAATTAGTCATCAGCTGTAGTTGCGCAAAGAATTGCTTGATATGCTGGGGAAAAGCAAAAAGAAAGCCCAGCGGCCCGCCTCTTCCCCCTCCTTGCCGCCGCGGCCTCGTTGCCATGCTGCTGCCCCACGCGTTTGCGCGTTGGGCGCCTACGTAATCCGCCCGGGGCTGGCGCGTGTACACACAGCGCCGATGGTATGCGGCCCACACTTTTGCGCGTTGGGTGCCTGCGTAAACAGCTCGGGGCCGGCGCGTGGACACGCAGCCCCGATGGTGTGGGGCGCACGCCTTTTGTGGTGGTGTGCGCACGCCCAGCATCACAGCCATACGGCTCGCCTTTTCCCCACTTAAATCCCCCGCGCGCTGAAAGCGAGAAAACCAGAACGGCCCGCCTCTTCCCCCTCTAAAACCACCGGCGTGCCGCCGCGGCCTCGTTGCCACGCTGCTGCCCCATGCGTTTGCGCGTTGGGCGCCTACGTAATCCGCCCGGGGATGGCGCGTGTACACACAGCGCCGATGGTATGCGGCCCACATTTTTGCGCGTTGGGTGCCTGCGTAAACAGCCCGGGGCTGGCGCGTGGACACGCAGCCCCGATGGTATGCGGCCCACACTTTTGCGCGTTGGGTGCCTGCGTAAACAGCTCGGGGCTGGCGCGTGGACACGCAGCCCCGATGGTGTGGGGCGCACGCCTTTTGTGGTGGTGTGCGCACGCCCGGCATCACAGCCATAAGGCTCGCCTTTTCCCCACTTAAATCCCCCGCGCGCTGAAAGCGAGAAAACCAGAACGGCCCGCCTGCTCTCGTCTATCTGCGCCCAGTCCCTTCCTGTTTCTATCTCGGTCGTGCCGGTTGCTTTTCTTTATAATTTACGACTTGCGTCCTCTCTGTTTCTTAAGTTACAGCAGCGCGTTTGTTTCTAAAGTTATGATCGTACTAGACTGCTACTAAAGTTATGGTCTACGACCATGGCAGCGACTTGCTCTCTGCGATCTACTTGTTCGTCGACCGTGATGGCAAAGGCGGCAGAGTCCAACGCGATCGCAAAACGGCCACAGGGGCGGGCCGTTCGATCAGGAGCGGGCGGAGGGTCTTCAGCTCATTTTTGGCAAGTCCCTCCGCAGCAATTCTCATTCGCAGTTTCGTAATCTCGTCGGAATCCCTTCGGAGTTTTTTCATTTGTGAGCAAGGGGGTGCGTTATGGGAGTAAATTTCTACTCATGCGGTATGAGCATCAGAAAGCAAATTCGCAAAATCTCTGATGCCAGGGCCTGCATCACAGACCTCATGGGTCATGCAAAATCTGCATGACAAACCCCTGCATTCTTCCCGACCCAGACATGTTTGCATTTGATACATCCACCTCTACGCCTATTCCTACAACGGATACGGTGTCAAAGCTCTCGACGTTCTTATCCTGAGTAAAAACGTACCCACACCATAGTTGTCATGCAGATTCGCAACGACAGGAACATTTGTAATGCGCATCTCCATGAGAGGCATTTCCAAGCGCGTTTTGGAATTTGTAATGCTGTAAACGGGATGAGCAGATGGATTTGTGATTCGACTGCACTTTCTAAACTGCACTACAATACGGGCTGGAAGTTGTCATGCGTTGCTCCCAAAGCTCCTGGGTTTGTCTTGCTAAGTTCCCAACTTGACTATGGTGTGGGTACGTTTTTACTCAGGATAGTTCTCAACTCCGCCTTACTTGCAGTGACCCAGGTCTCCATCCAGTCCCTGCTCATCCTCATCGCGCTGGGGTACACCTTGTTGCAGAAGTCTATGGCGTTCTCAAACGTTACATTCTCAACTGTTACATGATTTGTCGTGCAAAATTACCTTGACTATCGACGCCATCAAGCTGCTTCGCATGACAAATTCTGAGACGGCCGAACAGGCTTAGAATCTGTGCCAAATCTGTCATGCAAGACGCGCAAGGTCCTTCCTTTCAATTTTGCCATTGCTGCATCACAAATCCATGTAACAGTTTAGAATGTAACAATTGAGAATGCCATAAAGTCGCTTGGGGACCTGGACATCGTGATTCCGGTGATCTTTGTCATCGTTACCGTGAACGTTTTACTGGTCGGGTTTTCGTATGCATGATGGCAAAAAGTATCGTATTAATACAACTTGCAATGTTGAAAATTTCCTGAGCATGAAAGCAGGAATTTGTAATGCGGATCACCCTTAAGAGAGTGATTTGTAATGCTAATGCATGATTGCAAATACTTCGAGTTCGTGTTCGAATGGATGCGATATTTTTACTTTTGCAATGCATATTTCGAAGCTGAAAGACGATGCGTCGTTCAAGTTTATGGAGAACGAGGGCTGGAGTGGGTATCTGATGGTCTTTATCCGGCTTTTACTGTACTGCTGGTTCTATGCATTGCAAATATGTTTGGGTCTGGATTTGTCATGCGAATTTTGAAGGACAAGGACAACGAGATCTGTAATGCATGATTGTGATGGGCCAGATTTTTTGTCGTGCTGGAAGCTAGTATGTCACGCGGAACATCACGGTAGACTTCGCAATAGATACCAAGCGAAAGACTTGTGATGCGTGAATGCCGTACAGAACCTCGCTCTGCCTTGCAAGACTCAGCAACACAAACTCGCTGCATCTTTCCAGACGCAGACATATTTGCAATGCATAGGTGCATCTACGCGATCCAACAAACCCGGCAGAGCGGGAAAATTAGCGGGCACGGAGGAATATGAATTGCAAAAGTATCGTACTCGTATAAATGCATGACAAATTCCCTCAGCGTGAGAAATAAAATTTGTAATGCGGATTTACCTTGCTTCAGAAGAAAAGAAAACTTGTAATGCATAATTGCGCTCAGTGGGAGTGCGATACTTTATTTGCACAGGATAAGGAAAGGTGAACTTGTTTCTGAACAAGTTTCTGGTTGCGGGGTCTCTGTACTTTCTCTCCTACCCCTGCATCTTCGCAGTGAGTTCCCTTTTCGCGGCGTACTTGAGGAACAAGGTGATGACGACCTTGGGGTTCCTTTCCTTCGCGATGTCAATTCGCTGGCTGGAGTATTTGTTCCTCCGGAAATCCGATTTTTACAAAGTCTATCCCATGCAAATATGTCTGGGTCTGGAAGAGTGCAGGATTTGTCATGCCGATTTTCAATGACCCGCGAAGCTTGTTAAATGCATGAGTAGCATCACAGATTTTTAGAGGGCTTCCCGCTGCCCATTCCGCATGAGAAATGCCCTCTCCGCGTAGCACAAAGAGGACTCCTCTTGCTGGTCATGCAATAAAGAGTTTTATTCTAGAATCCAAAGACAGCATCACAAGTTCCAACATTCCAGACCCAGACATATTTGCAATTCATAAAGTCTCCACCCTCGGGTCTTCCTTTCTCCCCGGCGGCGTCGCGGGCTCGTTCGGGCAGACGCACATGCCGTCAATGCCGCCGGCGCGAACCAGCGGGAGGGACTACAACATGAACAACCGAGGAAATAGCATGACGCAGTACGGCGGCGGGAGTGGGGCTGGGGGTGACGGTTACAACCAAACAAAAACATCAATCCACCGGTTGCCATCCGCCCATATGGGATTCTCAATTGTTACGTTCTCAACTGTTCTTGCATCAATTTGTGATGCAAGACTGGCAACAGGGAAAGGCCGGATCTTGCAGCTCTTGCATTACAAATTCGGCACAGTAGATTCCCATGCTGTTTAGCCCTTCCAAAATTTGTCATGCAAGAGAGCTTCCCTGTGTGGATTTTGATGCTCATTTTGCATGACAAATCATGTAACAGTTGAGGATGTAACACTTGAGAACTTCATAGCCCACAGCCTGGTCACCGGGGTCAAGGGGGATTAGGTACTGGATGTGGGAAACCCATTACGAGGCGGGTGGGTGATGTGCATGTGCTGCACTTGTTGAACTACATGTTGATCATGATCTTCTTCTTTCACGAGATGGGAACAAGAAGCCGTCGCCTGAGATAAAACGCTTTAACGTTGAAGTGGCGGTCCAGACTCAAGATTCGCTCGATACTGTGATCATACCTTCCGAAGCAGGTCCAACACAATGATACAACGAGGCGGCTACTGTGAGCAGCAGGCGATCAGCAGGAGGAGGTCTTTTGTAATTCACTTTAATATGCATGAAGATTGTTTCATCTACATCTTGTTTTCGCGAGCTACGACTAAAGTTCGAAGTGCGAGCATGTCCTTTTTCTTTTCCTGTTTTAAGTTGCAGTTAGTAGTAGAAGTAATTCAGTAAAAAACAAACAGCTAGACGATTTCATCTTTGGGCCGCGTCTACGCGTAACAGAAACAGTTTTTGCGTTTTCTATCTGGCGCGCGTCATTTTTTTCAACAAGTTTTTATGTGCTTTGTTGTGTCGTGCCCATGCCCGAATAATAAAGTGCCGCCGCCTGTAGAAGCTGGGCTGAGGCTTAATACGAGTCGTGATTTTTGGTCGCTCTTTTTCTTCTTTTTTTCTTTACGCCAGCACGATCCAGCTGTTGAATGCAGTCCTCGAAGATAGTACTAACCAGTAATAGGATTAGCAGCATAAATTGACTTCTCAGTAGAACAAGATGAGAGACGAGCGACTAGATGAGGAATGGTTGTCTTTTCAAATTAGTTTTCGGGGAATAAGTAATCAATCTTCAGATAAGCTTGCAGTTGAATTTTTGAAAACAAATGAACATTGTGACCCTGACAACTGAGATGTTTTCTTGGGATGAGCTACAGCCTCCTCTAGTTCTACCGATGTCAGTACGACGAGATGAACTTCAACTTCATCAAAGAAGTCGGAAAATCCACAAGAAAAGTGTTATCTTTCGCTCCACAAGGAAAGCGTTATATCATTATCTTTCGTATCTTTCTGCGGTTTTGTTGAGAGGTTGAGGAGGGTTGTAGGCTGCAATCGTTTGCTGTGAAGTTGGTTTGACTTCTTCCTCGCTTCGCACGCAGCAGTAAATCGCTCCTGATCGTAGTCGTTTTCTTTGTCGCGGCCACTCGTCTCATTGTCATTCTCAGCAAAGGAACGGCTCTGCTTCGTTTTTTATTCGTGCAGCACCTTCGTGACCAGAAAATTGCGTCCAGAAATGCTTGCGCTTCTTCGAAAGTTGCTTGGGCTATTCTGCGGGACAACTGGACACGTTCGACCCAATTGCCGTCGAACAGTCGGTCTTTTGCCTCATCAATTCTTCTCTGCGGTCGACAGCGTGTGAAGATTCCATCGACGACTGGAAATATTGGTGTGGCAGCAACTCCACCTACGCAAAGCCAAATGAAAAATCCGGGCAGTACGTCGACTCTGTCCCGGATCGATTTTGTAGTCCTGAAAGTTACAACATCACGACCGGCGGTGCAGTGGATGAGGGTAGTGGTGGTGGTGGTGGTGGTGGTGGAGCTGGAGGCGCAACTTCTGCCACAAGGTCAGGAGCACGAGCAGAGAAGAATGAAAACAGCAGCAGCAGTAGTAACTCTTCTTCCTCCACCACACAATCTTCGCGCGAGATGAATGAGGTGATATCGCTTGTAGTTGGCTTTTGCTTCGTTGTAGGCATCGGGCTCATCGTACAGCATCTGCTGAGTCGACATCGAGGGGGTCCACCACAGGAGCAAGACGCAGGACAAGGCGGGTCATCGAATGCAGGTGAAGACGAAAGCCCCGATGGATCAGGAAGAAGAAGAAATGTTGACGATGAAAAGACCACTGAAGCGGCACCTGCGAACAAGAATAAGAAAAGCAAGCCGGGCAGCAGGAATAAGCACGACGATCCCGCCTTGTCTTCCTCCGAAAGTGACGGCGAGGACGTTCTTACCGGCTCCTACCAGGCTCATTTGCAGGGGTCTTTGACGGATAAGAACAAGCCCGTCCTTCGACCCGCTTCCAGCCACCAGTTTCGGAAACAAAATGAAGCGGCGGTGCGCCAGGGCATGTTGCAAGATCACAACGCGTATCAACTGCAAAAATGTCTGGGTCTGGAAGAATGCCAGACTTGTCATGCAGGTTTTCCATGACCCATGAGGTCTGGCATGAAGGACATAGCAGGAGAGATTCTGTGAGAGTTCTACCATGCCTATCCTGCATGAGAAACTGCCTCTCGATTAGGTCAAAAGTGGACAGCTTTTGGTAATCATGCAACACAGATTTTTACACGATTCAGATTTAGCATGACAAGGTGCAGCTTTGTTCCAGACCCAGACACTTGTACATTTGATAACGCGAAGGCGGCAGGAGTGAAACTGACTGATCACGTATCGGAGGAAAGACAAAATAAAGTGTGTTTGTGTGAACAATCCTGAAGCACGATATGTACTAAACCTCGCTGTGATCATGATGTTCTTGACGACAGCTGCAAAATATACCTTTCATGGTGCTGCGCAGATAGTCATAGTTGTACCCTAAAACTTGTCGAGGAAAAGGAAAACTACACCGTCGAACGGTTACAACCCGACAAGAATGCATGAAACGCATGCACGACCGTGACCATGTCCATGCAATCATCTTGTTGTTGTTGCATGTTCAGCATCACAAAGTCCACACACGAAAATCTTTTTTTCTTCCATACCAGGGTTCCATCGCATTTTCGGCAACTTCGCTCCAGATGGGGAGTGCGAGTACGTCTAGTATTATGCAAAAAGAACGCATCAAAGAACGTGATGTCCCCTACTAGTACTCATGTACAAAATGCATCACAAATTCCGATGTCAAGGCAATCATACTTGTCATGCTGAATAAATTTTTTTCAAGCAACGCAATAAATCAAAATTTTGTCATGCAGACACCTCCTTCGCATTTGTACACGTAGTACGGGAATTACTGCACTGTGGATATTAAGTATCGGGACGAAGAGCTTTGAGCCGAGAGCCAGCAGCGGCCTGGCTCAGTTGGACACGTTTGGAAAATCGACGCAGGACCTGTTGAAGCGCGGTGCGGGAGGAGTCGTGAACAGATGATCGTGAGACAGATTAGGAACATGAAGATGAAGCAACGTTCGTTTGTTGTATAGCTGCCGCTGCGCAACAGGACCACCAGCCACGAGGAACACGATTGAGACTTTTTCAAAGCTCTTCGATGTCGTAACCCAGATAAGTAGAATCTTCTTTTGTTGTAGCTGTTCTATGTTCTCCACCTGCTGCACAGCCACAAGGTAGAGGTCCGCCTTATCCCAAGAGCAAAAGGTTGATCTTGATCGGAAAAGAGCAAAAGAGTCGTTGATGATCATGTGTTCTGACGAGATTCATAAACAACAGCGGTCGTTGCATAGTGGTACTGCTCAAAAAAATTAATTACATAAAACGTCTTTACGGTATACTGCGAAATTCAAATTTTCGTGGTTGTTGTACTGCAGAAAGAATTTCATTTTTACGAAAACCACATCGTGCGTAACCAACATCGTCCCATTTTTCCATGCAGCGTTTCATCTTTCGTGAAGCAGTCGACATCATGGCAGCAATGCCTACAGAGTTTCGTGCAGCAGCTTTCTTTTCGTGCAAGGACATGATCTCCCTCGTAAGTACGTACTTCTTAAGAAAATGTCATCGCTACAACTTCGTTGAAGATTTTTGCGGTCATCGTCATTCGTCGGACTGTTCCGTTATAAGAGTATCAGTGATTTTGCTTCATTTAAGAGTACTTCAGTAAATAAAGCTAGAACAAAGTTTTTAAAGCTGTCTACTCGCATACCCGGTATTGCATCCAGGTGAATATTGCTTTCCTGAACATAACCCAGAGCCTTTTGCTTTTCAATTTCATTTTTTTCGTTCGTGCACATCTTTACGAAGCTCTAACTGTCTTGAAAGTCGGTATACAGTGCACAGAAGAAGATTTCTTCCCCTACTTCTTTTTTTCTAGCTACAGCACGGCATCAAGAAACAGAGCTCAAAATAGAGGACGGCGAGCGGCTAGATGTCCTCCTCGAAGGTAGACATGACACTGCTCATCTTGTTCCCGAGCAGAGGCCGCTACTGCTACACGAGGCTGTTTTATTCCTGGGTCGCTCGTTGCGGCCTGCTGTTCATGTCGTCGGGGTCGTTCCCTCACGCTCTAGCACTGCAAGTCGTGAAGATGCATCAGGAAGTTCTTGTTGCACACGAAAAAGGACGACATGGACACGAAGAAAATCTTCAACACGTCGCAGCTCCGGCGATCTCTACTGCTGAGGGGAACAACGCCAACGGCACCACGACCGCTGCACAGGTATGCATTACATTCGAGTCCGACATCAAATTATGATAATATATAACTGGCTCAGTAGATCATGACAATGTATGAATAAGAAATACTTGAACAAGTTTGTAATTGTAGTGCTGATTTCTTCGCTCCTTTCGGTTTCCACATATAGTAGATTCAGTTCCTCGTGCATGATCCTGACATTCGCAATGAGCGATATACTAGTATTGCAAAAATGCCATATTAAACAGGAGGATGTCCTGTCCTCACGCAAGAACGACACGAAAACAAGTGGTGCTAGTGCGTTGGAGTTGCAGCAGGATCACAACTCTCCCACGTCGACCCCCGGTGGAGGCGCAGGACCTCTCATCCAGGAATCTTATTGGGTGCCACTCGGCAAAGAGCGCGAACATCAACATTCCGCCGCTGGCGTTGGCAAGGAGCCCGGCGAGAATCGCGACGAGGCCAGCAGAAGCTGTGGCGATGTAGGTTGCAGCGGACAAGAACCCATCGCGGTCGACGTGGAGTCGAAGCCCGGCTACCTCGGCGCACCCGATCCCGCCGGGCTGCGCGGGCTGCTTTCGAGCTCGTTTGGAAACACTACGCCACGTCCTCCCGCAGAGTACAACTTGGAAAAGGGCATTTTTCCGGGCTATGTGGTTCCTGCCTGGAAGGGCGACCCGGAAACTTCTCTGCAGTGCAAGTCGCAAGAGGTAAAACAGCTGGACAGTTGCAAATGCTGCGCCACGATGAAATTCCGTCTTGCGCCTGGCTACGATGCAGGCAGAAGTTATGACAGCACCAGAGAGGAAAATGAATGGAAAAAAAACAGCGACACCATTTTTCTGGTAAAGCCGCAAGCGAAGCGGAAAGGCGCCGGGAAAGCAGATTTTTCCTACTGGAGAACCGACCTCAACTATCAAAGTGAAAAATCTCCCCTCCCCATATTGAAACGGAAACTTCTGTTGCTGGATTTTTGTACAAAAATCACCCCTGTCTTGCAGTGGGGCACTACAGGCGAAGCCTCAGCCTGCGTAGGGGCGTTTTGTTGTAGGCGCTTAGCATGATAGAGGCCAGCCATGTACGTGAAACAGCATCACAAATCGCCTCCATAAGGCGGGGAATTCTTTGGATAATGCCTTCTTGCAAAAGAGACAGGATTTGTGGCCACAAAGCAGCATCGCAAATTTTTCGGAGCATACGTTTTCCATATGGGGAGGGGGGATTTTTCCTTGGAATATCAATGGGGGATTTTTCCGCAACAACCTTGTTTCGCGCTTCGAGTACAAGTGTGATGCCTACGGTACGGGAGAAGAAGATTACGGCGAGCCAAAGGACAATTCTGTTGGCTTTACACAAGAGGAAGACGGGATCTTCAGAGGCTTGGCTGTGAAACGGGATCACGACGGAGATCCGGTTGAGTGGAATAGCCTTGACTTTGCCTTTCCCCGCAAACCCGGTGACCTGGTAAGAGTTGAATGGGATGAGGCCGACGACTTTCTGGATTTGAAAGTTGGTGTATCAAAGTGAAAAAAGCCCCCACCCCATATCGGAAACGGAAGATGCGCGAATTTGTGATGCTGTATTTGAGTACACAAATCGACTTGTATTGCTAGAAGGCCAAGAGACGAAGGTGCGGCCTAAATTGCAGGCAATCTGTCATGCTGTTTCCCACTTCCAGCTGCCCCCTGCCATGCTGGATGTGCAAGGCTTTCCCACGCTAGACAGCACTAGAGTCCGCATCTTTTGCCTTCTAGCATCACAAAGCTGATTTGTGACCACAAGTCTGTTTTCCTTTTTGATATGGGGACGAGGGGGGATTTTTCCTCTCAATATGGGGGTGGCGAAGTGCGGCTTTCGTTTTACACATGCGAGAAGGGAATTCCGGATTATAATATAAGTTCTTGGCGGAGCCGATCGATCCCCAATTTCAGGTTAACAACACGCTCGCCTCAAACTCTGCCGTGGTGAACTACGACTTAAACAAGGACATTTTTCAAGGCTACGTCGGCGGACAAATGGATGTGTTTGAGTTCGGGAAGCAGTATGTGACCACGACGGAGAAGATGAAAAGCGGAGGGGAAAAAGTTCTACTTGGAAGTGCAGATGTAGGTGGTCTTGCGATGAGTGGTGATGAAAAAACTACTTCCGGTCGGCAGCACGATCTTGCAACCACAACTTCTGCAGGAGCAGGCGGCTCAGCAAGCACGGCAGCTGTACCGAAAGCCAAGGCACGGCATCAGAAGCAGATCCGGAGCGAATCCTCCCCAGACTTGACAAAATCGATTTTAGAGGATATTGTGGAGGTGGGAGATGGAGGACTTCCTGGACAACTTGCGGAGGACGCAAGCAGTACTCCCGGCGATATAGCGGGTGGAGAAACCAGCAAACCCCAAACTTCTTCGAAAGAAGTGATAGTGGAGCAGCAGCCTGGCGGCGGCGACAGCTCCTCCCGGGCGTTTTTCAAGGCTACGTCGCACCCTGCGGATGGAGGTATTCCAGTGCGAGGAGGTGGAGAACACCCTAGAAAACGAGAAAGAAGTGCTGAACCAGCCCAAAAACGTCTACCGGTTCCTGCTCGGGGCGAACAAAAAGAAGCCCCTGCTGAAAGCCTTTGCGAAAGAAAATATAGAGAATAACTTGGAAAAGATAGCACTGCAAATTTTACCGCCTGAAAAAAAGAAGACGCAGTTACCAAACTCATTCGAAGCTACAGGCTTTGTATACAAAGTAATAAAGAGCGAACTTCTGATGGACGGATAGTTTTAGAGCTGGTTTTTGCAATACACAAGTGAACTTTTTTTTTAGTAAGAGCCCGTCTGTAAGTGGAAAAGAGAAAAAGAACTCCACCAAAGAAGGCGCGCTACAATGTAGAAGCGTTTCTACATCCTTCCAAATGTGAAAATAGAAAAATTAGAAAGAACACAGAAGCAACTCTACCAGACCGCCACGGAAATGTCGATATATTAAGTTCTCCTGTAAGTGAAACTCGATGCCGCTCCCCAGATGAAGATCGAAGGAACAGGTGTAGGAGAAGTAGAGGCGGATTGCAATCTACAATGGGCGGCATGAGCATCCAGAGCAGAAAAAAAGCGGCGTTGCGAGCTGCGACATTTGGGCCTGCTTCTACTGGGTTTGAGCTGTCACGGTTTCGCAAAGACTTTTGCGGTCAGGGTATACCAAAATATGATGTAAGAGCAGGCGGCTTTTTTTGTTTGTTTGATAGTAATAAAATAAAATTACCATGATGTCAAATTGTAAGGATTCAGGGCGAGTATGAGTAGTAAAATAATGTCAATAAGCATTACAAGCACGCCAGAAGAGAAAAGGATGATGAAATTTGAAACACGGAGAATTGTTGCAGCAGCGACGACTTCTGCGCTCTAATCCACGAAAGTATGGAAACAGATCTGAGTAGGAAAAGTAAGATCATATGAGACGCAAAAAGAAATATAAACAAGAAAAATAGAAGGAGGATCAAATAGAGAATGCACCAAATTCCTGAGGCGGAAAAGAAAAAGAAGACGCGAGAGGGATGGTGGAAGTAGAAAATGCAATTACTTTCTTTCAGTGCTTAATAGAGATGAAGTTCGCATCTTATTCCATGGAAGCTAGCTAAATGATTCGTCCTGTCGTCCGTGTTTGGTGGCATATTTTTGAAAAGAGTTGCTTTTTACGTAAAAATCGCTTTGTTTTGGGCTAGTCAGCTTGGACGTCGAGGCACCAGGAAAGCAGGTACAGTGACACAGCCGCCAAGACACTGCAGAGGCTAATGGAGTCGAAGACAAAATCAGTCTCTTGGGTGCCCGCTTTCTTCGCGTAGCAAGATTGGGCCTCGAAAGGCGTTAAAGATTCAGGCCTCTGGACGGTCGGCAGTTGTCCTGCTCGGTTTAGCCGGATCAAGATCCATTAGGGCCCCACCACATCGGACTTTTACGGTTTGACTCATCTCTTATCCGCATTACAAATTTTGCATACTAAATTTCTTTGAGCTCAAAAAAGGAGCCTTTCGCAGCTTTATGGGGCTAGGTCCAGGTAGCCACCTCATTGCGATTTTTAGGCGAGTTTTAGCGCTAATTTTTCGTACCAGAGGTTTGTCAGGGAAGAATCAATTAGTAATATGCAGAAACAAACTCACAGCGACCTCAGGAGATGTTTGTTCGAATTTCGTAGTTGATCTGGTTCTTTATTCGTCGGGCTGGTTTGGATTGGCAGAATAAACCAGGGCATTTTTCAAGGCTCCGTCGCACCCGCGTTCAAGGGGGAGCCACCCGCCTACTGCACGCACATCATCATCGAGTGGAAACGGACAGTCAGTGAGTTTCGTAAAGCTGTCGGATAATTTTAATTGCAAAGGCAGTCCCACCATGAAGTTCCGTGTGAGGGGCAGGACCGAGCTGGAATCTATCCCCCGAGAAAAAATTATGCATTGCAAAAGTATCGTACTCGTATAAAAAATGCCTCACAAATTTCCTCAGTATAATGAGAGATCAAATTTTTTGTAGTGCGGATTTAGCTTATGAACAAGATTTGCAATGCATGACTGCAATAGTACGAGAAGTGCGAAGATGCTTTTGCACTGGATGTAAATGGGGAAAAAACGACGATGTGATCTTTCTGGTGAAGCCGGAGGGCAAACTATGCAATACAAATTTCCCGTAGGTACATGTACAAGATGCATCACAAATTCTACCAATTTGGAGCCGTCGAAAACTTGTCATGCTAAACTAGGAGCGAAGCCAAGTTTTGTCATGCAGAGACATCCTCCGCACTTGTACGTCGTGTACGGGATGATATTTACAGTGGATACGAACGAAAAGGCAAAGGGAAAGCGGACTTCTCCTACTGGAAATCGTCCATCTACAAGGATCCAGCAGACTGGATTACTAATCTTCCCTGGGGTTTTGGCTTTGAGTACAAGTGTGACGACTACTTGATTACACGCAAACGGTATGGAGAGCCGGAAGGCGACCAAGAAGAAAGGGACTTGACTGAGAAAATAGAATATTATCCAGAAGGTTCCGACGACCGAAGGCCGGAACAGAAAGGGGCGAACCTGGTGCGCATTCAATGGGAGGAGGCGGAGGATTTCCTGGATTTTGATTTCCTCAACACCGGCGGCGGAGCCGTCACACTGTCGTTTTACGATTGCTCCGAGGGTGGGCCGGAGGTGACGACCAAGGCGCCGACTACGAAGAAGCCGACCGCTATGGGAGTGTCCGGATTGAAATCGACAGAGTTGAAACGAATTGCAATGCATAAAACGGATAGTACCAGTTGGTGCCTAGTTTCTTTTCAAGTGGCGCATGACAAATCTGGGCAGAACCAAAATCCAGTTTGTAATGCTGTTTGGGTAAGGAAGACGCCTTTTGTCATTCTACTAGAGTATCTGTATTTCAACCCCTCGCCAGGCTTACCATCTGCCTCCTTTGCCTACTCTGCAAGACAGGCATTTTGTGGGTTGCATTTTATGCATCGCAAACAATTTCAACTTTGACGATTTCAATCCTGACGCTTCCATAACCGCGACGAGGACCCAAGCGCCGACTACAACGAAGAAGCCGACCGCGACTACCCAGGCGCCGACCACTATCCTGAGTAAAAACGTCCCCACCTCCCCCAGGGCTGTCATGCAGATTTCCTGTCACAGGAAGATTTGTAATGCGTATCCATCCGTCCCCATGAGAGGCAACATTTCCAGTCGTGTTTTGGACTTCGTGATGATCTAAACAGCATGAGTAGATGGATTTGCGTTGCGGCTGTACTTGCTAAACTTCACTGCAATTATACAGTACTTAGAGACGAGCTTGTCATGCTTGACTCCCAAAACTTCTCGATTTGTCTTGCCAAAAGCCCAACTTGACTCTGGGCGGTCGGGGAGGACGTCTTTACAGTTGATAACCACTATCAAATGCAAAAATGTCTGGGTCTGGAAGAATACGCGATTTGTAATGCAGGTTTTCCATGCCCCATGAGGTCTGGAATGCAGGGTCTAGCATGACGGATTCTGCGAGATCTCTATCATGCCTATCCTGCATGAGAAACTCCTTGTCACCTTGGTCAAAAATGCACGGCTTTTGGTACTCATGCAACACAGATTGTTGCATGATCCAGATTTAGCATGACAAACATGCATTCTTCCAGACCCATACATTTTTACATTTGATAACCACGACCACGAAGCAATTATCCACGATCACAAGCTCTACCACGACCTCGGCTTCGTGCACAGTATGGGAATGTCAGGATCGAAATTGACAAAATCGAAAAATTTGTGATGCATAAAATGCATGACGCGAAACGCGTGTGTTGCAGAGCAGGCAAGTGAGGCCGATTGTAAGCCTGTTTGGGGTTATAGCTCGAGCTGCTAAAGCAGCATGATAGAATCAGTCTTCTTTGCCTAAACAGCATTACAAACTGGATTTGGGCACCACCAGAATTTGTCATGCGCCACTTAGAAACTGGGTTCGAACTGGAATCCATTTCATGCATGACAAATCATTTCGATTTTGTCCATTTCGATTCTGACACTTCCATACACAGCCCTGCTCGACTACAAGGACTATGACTGCCGGGCTGCTCCGAATTGCTGTCAAGAGCAAGACGGGTTCTACTGCTTCGAAAAGGACCAGTATTGGGGAGGTTGCCTCCTCTATGCGAGCTGTTATCGCTACGATAACGCCCGGAAACGGTACACGACAGAAAAATTGAGTCCCATCCTCGACACGGATCGCTTATGGAAGCGTCAGAATGGAATAAATCGTCAAAGTTGAAATAGTTTGCGATGCATAAAATGCAAGGCATGAAGTGCCTGTCTTGCCGGTTTGGCAAGTGAGGCAGATTGTCAGCCTATTTAGGGTTTGGGATAGAGCTGCTGAAGGAGCATGACTACAAAAGCAGTCTGTTGTGCCCAAACAGTATGAGGTGCTCTGAAAATTTGCCATGCGCCGCTTAAAAATTGGGCTTCCAACTGGTATTCATTTTATGCATGACAAATCATTTTAACTTTGTCGATTTCAAACGTGACGCTTCCATATACTAACTCGATTTCAAACGGGTGGAACACTCCATATCCATCGCAAATATTACAAGTGCGGCCGGGTGGTCTGGAAAGCTGTCATGCTAACGTCTACGTATGAATGGCAAAATGACCTCTACTACTAGAGGCCTACGCAGCCAGCAGGCATGACAGGTTCATTTTGAAGAGCGGTCGTGTGGTGCGTCACGCTGAAGAAAGCGCGCGTGAGTAGAAACTACCGCGTTTTATTTCCATGACCAAAAACCAACGCTGAGAATCTGCGACCAACAGCTATCTATGCGCACATTACAAGGCCGATAAAGATGAATACTAGGGGACGAGTTTTAATATTAAAACAGCACTACTACAACAAGTTTCTTGTCTTGCATTCTTACTTTCGCAGACCACCCAGGCAAAAAAATATTTGCAGTTGATAGTCTATGGATTGCAAAAATGTCTGGGTCTGGAAGATTTCGAGATTTCTCATGCTAGTTGGGCATGACTCTGAACTCTGTATTGCGTGGCCACGAAGACCTCCTCTTGTCTGTCATGCAAAAACGATGTTTCTCATGCGGAATACGCAACAGAGAGCCACGAGAAAATCTGTCATGCTTGGCGGTGCATTACAAGGCGCTTTCTGTTCCCTGACATGCATCACAAGTTTCCAGACCCAGACATTTTTACATTTGATATAGTCACTGGGCGTGCAAATGCCTGTCGGAGGAATGTCAGTACTTCGAGAAGTACTACGCGACCTTCAGCGATTCCTCCTTCCTGTATGCTGAGTAAAAACGTCCCCACGGCAGAGTTGTCATGCAAATCTGCATGCCAAAAGAGTTTCTCATGCGGAGCCCCATGAGAAGCATTTTCTAGTCGTGTTTCGGAGTCTGTGACGCTAGAATCAGCATGAGACGCTAGATCTGTGATGCTGCTGAACTAGCGAAACAGGATCACACTACGAGGGAAAACTTGTCATGCGAAACAGCGAAAGCTGGTTGATTTGTCTAGCAGATTTCCCATCTTGACTCTGGTGTGGGGACGTTTTTACTCAGGATATCCTGCAGCGTGACGCCATCCGTCCTCCGCCCCCCTTTGTTCAACACATCCCCGCCGAAGATCAGGAAAAAGTACAGACCGCGGGGACTGATGACGCTGCTGAAACTACGCCTGAAAAGGAGCTGGCGCCCGTCGAGCAGGAGAACCAGCAGGGGACGGTGCTTGTCTGAAAGGCTGAGCTTCGTTACAACTGTTATTTTCAACGAGGAGACTTCAACTTTATTCACGAATGAGATTGTACTTTGGCCGATCTTCTCATCGAAGGAAGCCCTTTTTTCATTCTGATTTTTTTTCTTTGCTATATCGGTATCTTATATATACCATCTTGATCTTCGTCCCAGCAGGGCCTAGTAAAAACATTTTCACATCTTATTGCATGTTGCACAATGAGATAAATCCTGCAAAACTACAAACGAAAAAGCCTTTACATTTTTTTTCATTTTGAGCTTACTATCTTGATTTTGTTCCTCTCATCCTCGTATTTCATGTTCATACCCTCTTGGCACTGGGTCGACATCGACTTCTTTCTCCGCCAAATAAAAAATCGTAACAAAGTCACAGAAGCTGAAGCTTTTCGCTTCGTCAGGGCCAACTTCTCGTCCCTGAGCGTTTTTTTACACTGTGCAATCACTAGTGTTTTTTTTACGACAAGTAGATGCCGCAAGTAGTCCAAGTTAAGATTATACGCAGCCCGTATTTTCAGCTTGTCACTTTGAAGTAATCCGCAACAAACAAATAAAACCCCCACTGGTCCGTCGTGCAAAAACATTTTTATACAAAAAGACCTCTCTTTTATTCGCCAATGCGTCTAACTTTCTTTCGCCGTGCGTGCAGAAAGTAGACTACGCGTATTGATGTTCTACTTTCTGACTGGGTCAGAAATGGAAAGTCTTCTTGGAAAGATGTTAATACGAGCATAAATCTTGCTATCGATCGTCTATCTTCGACGGCGCTCCATCGGAGCTGATGTTGGGTTTTTCGGTGGTAGTAGAATTTTTCCAATTCGCCTCTGATTTGTATAAGTAGCTGTCATTTGTATACCTTTCGGCGGGCTTGTACTTAATTCTCAGCGTCGACATCGTCCTGCTCCTGTCGAGCAGATTACTTGTTTTTTGGTGTACGTTGTGCTCGTAATATTACTTGAATTTCGTGGGAGGGGTTGTTCTACCGGAAAAGATCTTTGCAGTCGTGTGGGTTCTTTCAAGGAACAGTTGGAATTTCCTTAACTTGTCCTTGTCGTGGAACTTTTCCAAGAATTTCGTTTTGTTTTGCGCCCTTTTTCGTCGAGTTCGGAATCGGCACGAGTGCTACAGACCTGCAAGTTGTACTACTGAAGCCTTTTTTCGCAACATGCACTTCGTAACTTCGATCGCTATCGTTTCTGCACCGATTATGCACGCTTTTTTTCTCGCGTGCCTCGTAAGGTTTTTCAGTGGTGCCTTCTTGTCGGAAATCTCTACTGGAATTCTCGTTGAAAGTCAGTTTGACAGACCAATTTTACCACTACAAAAGTTCTCCATCGACAACAGCGTAGCAGCTAACTCCACGTTATTTTTTTCATCCGCAAGAGCTACTTGCCGGGGGGAATAGAACAGTGAAAGTTCAAGTTGTAAATAGCTTGTTTTCGAATCAGTGTCAGTAAGTTGTATAGATTTTTTCAAAACGTCGGTGAGTCTGTCCCCTCGCTAGTTGTACGCGAAGACTCTTTTAACAGACGCACAACTACTAAGCCGATCAATATTTGAACTGCGACGTCTGAAATCATTCGAGTTTCTTCGCGCATCATAACTTACTATCTCCGCTTTGACAAGTAGAGAGAGTAGTTGCAAGGCACCGGCAGGCAGAAAGAAACCCGATCAATAAGAAGTCTCTTCCTGGTCGTGTTACAACTGCTCCATCCGACTACACACCCGAACATGGTTTTTGGCACTCCGAAGCGTGGCGGTTCAAACCGCAACTCCACGAGCAGCAATGGATTAGGGTCAACACCCAGTAACAACCACAGCCACCAGGTGATGGAGACCATTGAGGTGTTAGTGAAGCCTATCGTACGAAAAACGTGTTTCACTGTAAGGATGTTGCAAGTTTTGCATCACAGGTTCGTTTGCTCTACATCACAAAGAAAATTTCTCATGCGAGGCTCCTAAGGGAAAATACAGCTAAAGTAGCCCACTGTCTTGCATGTGTAGCAAGACAAACACTTTTGCGATACACATTTTGCATTACAAGTTTACAGTGAAACAGTTTTTTCCTGCGATAAAGCCGGGGATGAAACTCTACTGGAAGGCGGAACCGAAGAATTATCCTGTGCAAAAGTATCCTACTCGTATAAACGCATTACAAATTTCCTCAGCATGAGAAACAAAATTTGTAATGCGGATTTGCCTTAGGAAAAAAAATTTGTAATGCATAATTGCAATTATTACGAGTGCGATCCTTTTGCACAGGATAAGAACTCGATTACAACAATACCCTGGGAAAAAACGTCGACGTCCCCAACCCCAGCTCATAGCTGTAAATGCAAATCTGCATGCTGATGCTGAAAGTGAAAACAAAATCAAAATTGTTAATGTTTCTCATTTGGAGCCGCATGAGCAGTATTCTCTAGTCGTGTTTTGGAATTTGTCATGCTCCAATAGGCATGATATGCTAGATCTGTGATGCTAGCTGCTGAACAAGCTAATAAACAGGATTACACTACAACTAGTAAGAGGCCAAGAAACTTGTCTTGCGCAGCAGCCAAAGCTGGTTGATTTGTCTAGCAGATTGCCCAATTTGGGTATGGGTTGGGGTCGTTTTTCCTTCTGATAAACAAAACAGTTGCCAGAAAATGCGTACCACCACCCGGATGGAAACTACAACTTTAGGTTGCTGAACTTGGAAAACGAATATGAGAGTGCACAACTCCCTCTCCCCCTCATTTGCAGGGCGTACACAGCAATACAAGCAACGGCAGCGGTGCGGCCTCCGCATGACAAATCTACGCAAGGACTGTAGTGCTGTTTGAGGTTGTTCGAAACTTTGTCATGCAAACAATGCTGCAACGCACGAAGTGGATTTGGTGATTTGCATTACAAATGAGGAGGAGGGGCTGTTGTGCGCGCTCATAACGAACTGGGTTACAGGTTTGACACGGATTTGGACATATCCTGTGGAAAAAACTATTCCTGTTCACCCCGTACTTTTACTTGTTACGCAAAAGCAAATATAGCATCTGGTACGACGAGTGTGTCGTGCAGCTCCCCATGACCACAGTGGCATGATATTCTAATCGTCGTGTTTCGGGAATTCTTGTCATGCTGTATTCGGCCCAAGAAAATGAAACAGATTGCCTCTACGTACAGCTAAGATTTTTCAGATTCATCGCGATGCGGCCTCTAGAATTACAGCTAAACACGCATTAAATGCCGTGGATCTTCCAACGTTGTCATTCATGGAGCCCAAAATAAATGCTTGAAGATTTGTGCAGTAGTACACACAAGCATCGATCTCGACGTTGACTCTGGGGTGGAGGTGGGTACGTAGTTTTTTACACAGGATATCACATCTGCTACCAGCCATTCGCAAAAGATTTCGGGCCCTTGAATCTCGCAGTCATCTGGCGCTACTGCCGACTGATGGAACAGGTATATTATTTCTCTTGCGATGAATGCATTGTGCTTCTGTTGTTTGTTTGTGCTCATGCGTGAAGGTGGGAACGCGTTTACACACCTTTTTCTTCTAGCGCTATTTCAAGAAAAACCCTCGCTGTTTTGATTGTGCTTCTCTTTCTACCTCACGTTTGTTGCAATGGAAGAACGCATGACAGATTATCGCACTCCATCTTTTTATGCATGACATCAATATCAAAAACCCCTTTCAAAATCAGGTCATGGACATGGACACGAAAACGATTACGCACGAGTGTGACACCAGTGACCTAATCCGCCTGACCAATTCAGTTTTTCTGATCAGTTCCTACTGCATCGTCAAGGAGGGCGCCATATGGAATGCAAATATGTCTGGGTCTGGAAGGTTGCAACTTGTCTTGTGATGCTGTCTTTGGAAGGTGAAAAAATTTGTATTGCATGACCAGCAAGAGGAGTTCAGTTTGTGCTGCGCGGAGTGGGCGTTTCTCATGCGGGATACGCATCAGCAGGCCTCTTAAAAATCTGTGATGCTAGGTCGTGCATTTATTTTAGGCATCATGGGTTATCTTATGCAAAATATCTATGCATGACAAACCTGGCACTCTTCCAGACCCAGACACTTTTGCATTTGATACGCCACCGCGAAGCAGATGCACGACAAATTCCGGCACCTGAGCGGCAACTTCGTTCCCTACAGGGACGTATGGATTGCAAAAATGTCTGGGTCTGAAAGATTGCAACTTGTAATGCTGTCTTTGGATTCCAAAAAAATCTGTATTGCATGATCAGCAACGGGACTCCAGTTTGTGTTACGCGGAAAGGGCATTTCTCATGCGGAATAGGCATCAGGAAGCCCTCTAAAAATCTGTGTTGCTAGATCATGCATTAGAGGCATCAATCATCATACAAAATATGCATGACAAGTCTGCATTCTTCTAGACCCAGACATTTTTGCATTTGATAAGACGCGTCCAGCTGCGCCTCACTCTGGGACCTGGACATGCTGTCCGCGTTGGAGGGTTTGGAACTCGGGGTGAAGTTCGGCTGGTTCGATATGGCATTCTCAAACTTTACATTCTCAACTGTTACATGATTTGTCATGCCAAACTAACACCAACATCCACACGATGAAGCTGCTACGCATCACAAATTTATGAAGGGCTAAACAGTATTGAAATCTGTGCCGAATTTGTAATGCTGCAGGCACAATCTACGCCCCTTGACTTTTGCCATAGTTGCATTACATACAAATTCATGTAACAGTTGAGAATTTAACGTTTGGGAACGCCATATTCGACTTCAAAACATTTGATGCGGACGAGTACGAGCACTTTGAGAAGCTATGCATTGCAAAATTATTTTATCGTACAGCTAGTGGTCCTTGCATGAGGAATGCAATTTGTAATGCTGATTTTCCTCTAGAATCATCTCATGAAATGCATCCGCAGTTCAATTTGTCGTGCATCAGTGCAACAGCAACCACGAGGACTCGGACTATGAGTGTACGATACTACTACTTTTGCATTGGATAACACGTGGAGTCCGGCGATCTGAACTGGATCTTGTATCACAAGAAAAAGTGTTAACGTTAACGGAATTTGTGATGCAGAAATGCATCACAAGACGTGTCAGTGTCAGAATTTGTCATGCATAGCATGCACATTGGGCTACATTTGTGATGCATGACTGCAATCTGTGAAAACCTTTAACGTTAGCACTTTCTCCTGTGATATCGTGCCGGGAAAAATCATCGCGTTCGCAACGCCGCAGAATAGGGCAAGGGTACTAAGCTATGTCAGGATAGTACAACGCCTATTTTTCTGAAGAACTTGAACTTTACTCTGTCATGCGTCATCTAGTTTCGAAAACTCTCTTTGTCATGCGCCGTGGACCTACATCAGTGCCGGTGCGCTTGGATTTGCGCAAAGGGAAAAAAACACTATGTCAGGACATGGACGGCTACACCTGCTGGACCCCGGAATCCTATCTCCCCTTGTGGAAAAAGTGGAACGTGGGATTAGTGGTCAGGTTGAACAAAGTATCCCACGAAAAAACTGTTTCACTGTGTTGATTTTGCAAGAACCGCATCACAAGTTTGCTACACATAACACAGAAAATTTGCCATGCGCGTTTTCCAAGGGAAAACACGCTTGCAAATCCAATGTCTTGCAGGTGTAGCAAGACAAATAGTTCTGTGCTCCATTTTCTGCATCACAAGTTCACAGCGAAGCAGTTTTTTCTTGCGATACAAAGCCACAGTCTACGACCGGGAGAAGTTTATCAAGAACGGCGTGAAGCACCTGGATTTGTATTTCAACGACGGGGGGTTGCCACCAATCGAGCACATCCATCAGTTTTTACACGCGGTCGAGAACGAACCAGGAGCGGTTGCGGTATAATTTTTTTTTCTCGATTTGTAGTCCCGCTCTGCATGACAAGTGTGCTTTTTGTTGCTGCTGTTGCATGCCAAACTGTTTCACCGAAAAAATTCCGTATCAACATCAGGTCCACTGCAAAGCGGGCCTTGGAAGGACGGGAACGCTGATCGGCGCCTACATGATGAAGCACTACAAGATCCCCGCGAAGGTGTTTATCAGCTGGAACCGATTAGTCCGGCCGGGATCCGTGCTCGGACCCCAGCAGCAATTCCTCTGCGATATCGAACAGTCCATGCACCAGATGCACTCGGCGCAGGTTCCGAGGATCGTGGCGCTGCGACCGCAACACGGGGTGGGGCACCCCATCCGTGTGATCGACAATCCGAATTACGGTAGGGCGGAGGGCAGTAATGGTGGTTCGGCTGTCAAGTCGAGTTACGGACAGCCGGCGGGGGCAGCAAGTATCACCAGAAAAAGTGTTAACGTTTACGGTTTTCACAGATTGCAGCCATGCATCACAAATTTAGCCTAGTACGCATGCTATGCATGACAAATTTGGGGACGTTTTGTGATGCATTGCCGCATCACAAATTCGAATTCCGTAAACGATAAACATTGTTTCCTGTGATAGCAAGTCTCGGAGTGACCGGGAAGATGATGAGCGTGGAGCAATATCCTGTGCAAAAGTATCGTACTCGTATTGCAATCATGCATTACAAATCTTTTTCTTGAGGTGAATCTGCATTACAAATTTCCTGTCTCATGCTGAGGAAATTTGTAATGCATTTATACGAGTACGATACTTTTGCAGTTCATAAGCAACAGGTACAACTAATAATATGGATGTTGAAAGATTTGGTGGTCTTTGTGTTGCATGTTTTGCATTTGCTACGTTGACTGCAGTGCCGATGCAGCATGATGCGCCGCATGCCGTTCATCTACCACAAAAACAAGTGGATGAGATAACAAGAGAAAAAAAAACACCTTATCAGGGACAAGGCGACTGGCTGCTGTCGCAGAAGCGTCGCGCGCAGGGCTTCAAAACGACTTACAACACGAATACCCCCGGTGCGTTTACGTACAAGGAGTAAGGGGAGGGGGGAAAACCCTGGACTGCAAACCGCACTGAATTTTAGCAACCTGAAGATAAACCAAACTCAAACATTTTTTAATCGTATCTTTAGCAACTAGCATCCAGCCACCAGCAGGGTGGAAGAGCACCAGTAGCGGAGGTACCAACTTGAAAGGAGCAACAAAATTTGAATTTTAGCATCAGAATTCTTCTAAATGTACTGTAAAAAACAATTTGCATGATGTTGTCTCTAGCTCTGCCTCTGAACAACCATAATTCGTTCTGATGACACGACTACAAGTGGTCTATGTATTACAACTTTATCTGTACATAAAAATTCAGCAGAGTTAGAGACAGCATCATGATCAGAAGAAACGGAAACCTATGGTCTTACTTTTGGCATCAATTTTTACAACGTAAATTTCGACTTTTTTACCTTCTTATTTTACCTTTAGGCATTCACGACAAAACTCTTTGAATTTTAGCAATCAACAATGTAACTTCAGCAAAAAACTTTCGTCTAATTGTTGTTTCTCATGAACTTTGACTTTTCAATACTGGAATTAGAAACACTGTACGATAAGGATCCAAACACAATAAACACTGTATTTAGAGATCACCTCTATTTTATTTTCACTGATTTTGCATCACATTCAAGTCGAAATCGGAACAAATCGGACGAAATTTTCTTTTTCATCAGATAGTGGAGCTGTATTTATAATTCTTTTCAGGCAATAATTTCAAAACGACGAGAAAGAGGAGTCAGAACACCTGTACAATTTTTCGTAGGTCATGTGCCTACGTAAAAATTTGTAATGGCAAAACGAAATAAACCAGCATAGCGCTCCGATTTCGCACCCTCTTTTGATTTGATTCTTTGTGAGTCAGATTGTACAATTTTATAATTGGTAGACCAGCTGCTCGAGTCTGTTGTGCGACAGTTGCTCTCGCATGACAGATTCCTGTGGTAGGATCAATTCGTCGGATAAAAACTTTCTTTTTTCATCCTCCTCCTACTTGGGAACAAACGCAACTACTAGCTAGTGGAAGGGCCGTATCAGCTTCAGCGGCGCGAGACTATTTGGCAAAGATCGAGACCAAGTGGAAGCTTAACTCCTGCTGATTTCGTCTCACTTGAGTCTCAGTTGCGCATACCTCCTAGCGGAAACAAATCAGTGTGGAAACTTGTACTTTATTTGTTGAGCAACTGTCATTGTTTTTTCTAGAATCAGAAAACGGAAACTGTAACAACTCTCTGTCAGAAGCTCCTCCTACTAGAGTTTTTGTGACACTTCTCGTCTGAAGCAATGCCATGCAAGTTGTGCTGTGTTCCTCCAGCCGGTAAAGAGATTATATACAAAACAAAGAACATCTACATCTCTTCAACATTTCTGCTTGGGCAGCCTGTGGCCCTGCCCCTGCAGTGTCGCATGAGATGAAGAATCATCCGCACCACGAAGATCCTCTTCTCACAAGAAAAAGTGTACACGTACACGGTTTTCCCGTTTTTCGAAAAAAAAATTTTGTGGGCTCCCTCGAGGCGTTCACTTGTGTCAGTGAAAGCACTCGCTACGAAGTTCGCTAGATTGGGAGCCTGGCAAGGCTGGCGAACCTAGAGCACACGGCCCGAAGGTCATAGTCAAGACCCAGCAGAGAGGCAAAAGAAGCAGCCGAGTCATCTGCCCAATGCTCCTGGCCTCGTCTCAGGGCCGCGCAAAAAAGGCCGAAAAGGCCGGGAGTTGTCACTCTAGCGCCTGGAGGTGGGCCGCCGGCGGCTCCTGCAGCCTGTGGCCCAGGTTCTCCTTGCGCCGAGGGTCAAAACCACCCAACAAACCGTCGCCACCATCAAAACAGGTGAAGGGCCTCCTTTTGAAGAGGTAAACGGACCACACCATGCAGTCTGGAGATCATGTACACGGTTTTTCTTGGGGTCAAGAAAATCCGCAGAAAAAGAGGCAAATTTATCTGAATTTTGCCTGCGAAATCGCGCACCACCGAAAAACCGTGTACATCGCATCTAGACTGCATGGTATGATGGATGTACACGGTCTGCGAAGTGGTCGGGGCCGGAGACAGACACTCTGAACCGTGTACATCGGCCATACCATGCAGTCTAGATGCGATGTACACGGTTTTTATGGGCCCTTTTTGAAAATTGTTGCGTATTTCCTACTTTTGAAACCGTGTACATGGACCATAGCGTGGTGGCTAGGTTCCATGTACACGGTTTTTGGCCAATCTGAAAAATTTGGCCTTGGAGGTATGCAAAAATTTGCGTTTTTCCGGACATTCGAAATTTGGAAACTTTCCCAGATCTCGGGACACAACACAGCCAGACGAACCCGCAGAGAAATCTGAAGCAGTTCGGCTCCCGCCCAAACAATAATCCGCAGCCCCCATCAATGTTTCCGACCCCAAACACAGCCTGGCGGGTGGGGATGGGGTGTTCATGGCGGTGGGCCACTGTCGGGCATTGGAGGGGGAGCTGCTTTGCGCTGATGCAAGGGGCCCCATCTGGAGCCAGGGTTGCAGGTCTGCCTCGTGGATATCATCCACCAAAATGCATCGGGCTTGGGCGGCGACCCTGCATGAGATGAAGAATCATCCGCACCACGAAGATCCTCTCTCTAAGCATCCAGTCACCAGACCGCAAAACGCTTTTTGGGCACAAAAACGATCAAAAAAGTCCTCTGGGCGACCCCCCGCGTCAGGGGTCGCCGGAGGGGCCTACTTTTTCATTCTTGAAAATTTATCCAGCGGGAAGCGGGCAAAAGCCCGTTTCAGGAATGGCCCAAATCTAGGGGTCTCGGCAGGGGTCGACCCTGCTCATTCTTGAAAATTTATCCAGTGGGAACTGCTGAATTTTGTGCGAATCGCGGGCGATATGCAAAAAAGGGCGCCCGCATCGAGTCCCCTGGCGATGTCTTTGCTCGGACATTCCCGCAGAAGCTGGCTGTAGTATTTCAGTACCCTCGGGCCGCTTCTCGCTTGCCTGTGGAGGCGCCGCCGCACCTCGCCTATTCGGACCACGTAACGACCCGAGCCCATTGGGCCCCGGTTATGAATGTTCCAGAAAGGGCCACACCTAGCGAACTAGTTTGGTGCGTGGGGTTGGTAGTCCTCGGCCCGTCTTCGTTGGCCGGCTCCATGGCCGGCCTCTCGTTTTTTTCTTATCGAGAAGCGGGCGGCCGCGCTAAGACATACAGTGTGTCGCGCCCTCTGCTTCTGATAGTTTTGAAGTAGTATGCCTCGCGACCTGCCATGCGCTATCCAAAACAAAAACAAAAAACAGGGCGCCCGACGCCTTACCGTTTTGAATTCTAGACGCCAAATTTTGCTCATTTTCTTATTCTTGAAATTTTCAACGTAGTAGCAGATTCGCATGAGATGAAGAATCATCCGCACCACGAAGATTGATCCTCTCTCTACTAAGCATCCAGTCACCAGACCGCAAGATCAAAAAGCAAAGTAGCGCTGAATACTCAAGACGAGCATCAACTTACTACCTTCCTTTTTTGCCTTTGGTTTTGAACTTCAGCGACAAAAACAACAAATCTTCTTCTAGAGCTGACCTTTAGAGCACGACGAATTTTACTTGTAGAGTGAGAGTTTTGAGTTTACAATCACAGTATGAGCATAAAGATTTGACTTCGAGTAGATCTAAAGTCAAGTACGTAGATTTTCTGGTATCAAAAAAGCAGCAAGGCAAGATGGGGCTCGAGGCGGTAATGATTTGCGTCGACAACTCGGAGTGGAGCCGTATTCGCTTTCTTGCAATACAAAGATTTTTCCGCAGGGTAGCATGATGTAGTATGCGAATTATTGCATGACAGACGCCATTTGTTCATCTAGTACCACCATACGCATGACAAAAAAAGACAAACACGGTCAAGAACCTACCTATAACAGGCAACTGTGACTACACCCCGTCTCGGTTCGACGGTCAAAACGAAGCCGCCAACCTTATGGGGTTCTCAAACGTTACATTCTCAACTGTTACATGATTTGTCATGCAAAATGACCATGACCCGCCAGACGATCAAGCTGCTTCGCATGACAAATTCTCGGAAGGCTAAATAGCACTGTAATCCGGATCAAACCTGTAATGCAAGACGCGCAAGGTTCTCCCTCTCGCCTGTGCTAGTCTTGCATTACAAATTCATGTAACAGTTGAGAATGTAACGTTTGAGAACGCCACAAACCTGCTTGCCGGCCACAAAACGGGGCAGAACCCTGAAACCGGAGTAGGTTTGATGACGATGGCGGGGGAGCGGGCAGAGATTCACCTGACGCCCACGACGGATTTAGGCGCTTTTATCGCGGCACTGTCGGAGATGCAGATCAAGGGGAAGGCGGATTTGGTAAAAGCAATACAAACCGCGACCTTGGCGTTAAAGCACCGGCAGAACAAGAACCAGAAACAAAAGATCATCAGCTTCGTCGGAAGCCCAGTGGAGGCAACGGTATACTACGTAATATGATTCCGTGTCGTAAAAAGCGTAACTGTGTCATGCTCATGCCGAATACTCTAAGAACAAGTCGTCCATTCGCTTTTTTATATGCGAACGGCGGCCAAGGCCATAGATGGTAAGTATACGAAAAACATGAAAACTAACACGACTCAAAAAACAGGAAAAGCAGCTGGAAACCCTGGGAAAGAACCTGAAAAAGAACAACGTCACGCTCGACATCGTATCTTTTGGCGAGATCGAGGAGAACCGCCCAAAGCTCCAGAAACTGATAGATTCCTGCAACAGCAACGACACAAGCCATCTGATCGAAGTGGAATTACCGAAGATTTTATCGGACGCAATACTCAGCTCCGCGATTTGCTTCGGTATAAAGGAGTTGACGTTTTTGTTCTTAGAGACGTGAAGTTGCTTTTTACATGGTAAATTTTTCTCACGACGCACGTGTTCTGCGTTGTTCATGCGTCTTGAAAAAACCGCATTACAAACGAAACACGACAATTCCAAAACCCCAGGCGAAGGCGGCGGTCCGGCCCCCGGCGCGGCCGGCGGGGACAACTACGAACTCGGTGTCGACCCAAATGCGGATCCAGAACTCGCATTGGCACTGCGCATCTCCATATGGATTGCAAATGTGTCTGGGTCTGGAAACTTGTAATGCCAAAAGTGAATGATAGACGCACTGCAATAAGCAGCTACGCATGACATTTTTTTTGGCTGCCATGTGTTATGTATTCCGCATGGCAGACTGCGTTTTTGCATGACATGTAAGAGGGCCTACTTTTCGTGCCTATGCAACACAGATTCTCGAGTCATGCCAGACTAGCATGACAGACTTGCACTCTTCCAGACGCAGACATATTTGCAATGTATACTCCATGGAAGAAGCCAGAAGACGAGAGGAAGGACCGGGGGAAGGCGGCGACGCGGCAGCCGCGCCCGCTGCCGGAGCGGCGGCCGCACCAGCTGGGGAGAGTGCAAGTGGCGGAGCTGCGGCAGGTATACTTGTGGATGCATTTTTACACTACGTAGATAGAAATTTTTATCGCATGAGTCATGCGATAAATTTTATCAGCATGAGAACTGGAATTTGTAATGCGGAGCCAGCTTGATGAGAATTTTGTGATGCATAAATGCAACACTAAAATAAACAGGCGCCTCCGCCCCCGCCGCACCAGCGGCGTCAACGCACCCCGAAATCCCAGGCTTCGAAGACATGGACGAGGACCTGAGGCAAGCGATCTTGCTCAGCATGCAAGGTAAAGTATCTTTGTGTTGCGTGATCTCGCATCAGATTTTTTTTTCCGAAATGGTCTTTGTGGTGCTGCTTGATCTCGCATCACACATTTTCTTTGTGTTGCATGAACTGCATCTGCATCTTCGATGGAACAGAATGCTCATGATGATGATTTTGTCATGCATTCTACGCATCAAGATCAAACAATCAATGCAAAAACAACAGAAGCCAACCCTCCTGCGGCAGCCCCCGCGACCTCCTCTACCGCCCCAGTAGAACCTACGGGAACTGGTGAGCCAGCAGAAAAGAAGCAAAAAACCGAAGAAACGACAACATCAGCAGCCGCACCAGCAGCAGCAGCGGCTTCCTCCTCCTCAGCAGCCCCAGCCGCGGATCAGGCACCAGAAGCGAATCTGTTTCAAGATCCGGACTTCATGGCGAGCTTGTTGGCAGAGTTACCCGGGGTAGATCTGAACGATGAAAGAATACAAGCGGCAATAAAAGGGGATGAGGAAAAGAAAGATGGGGACGACAAAAAGGAGGGCAAGGATAAGGACAAAGACAAGAAGTAAGCGATGTATATGTTGAACTACCTTCTTGTCGATTTATTCCTGGCCCCTGTTTACGAACGATTTTTTCAAGAAATCCGACACATAGGAACAATTTTTAACCCAATCTCGTCCACAAGCGACAAAAAACTTTCTCTTCATCGACGAAGACAAGTCAACATCTTGGCACTAGCCCTCTATCAAAGGAAGTGGAGGTGCTGATCTTGTTAGTCGCGGGCTGTTATCGAGCCACAAGATGAAAGATAATAACAATGCGACGCTCTGTTGATGCCTGCTGTCGCTGTTGCGCAGCTTGTTGCTGTTCTTGCCGAGTGTGGACGAGGCGAGGACGAATTTTTTCGTATTTCAGGTCCCCCAGCTGGAGAAGTCCGATTGATTATTTAGTGATCCACCTTGAACTTGATCCAATTCCAAATGCGTTTTCGTTTTTCAAAAGGACGGGACATCTTGATCTTCAAGGTAGTTCATGGTTGTTTTCCTGCATGTTCGGCGAGAGTTTTAACTGATGTAGGGCCGCGTTTTTTCTGATCTAACTATCTTGTTTCAACAACCGGCACCAACCTGCTTTGCTTCTTGGGGCGCCGTGAAGTAGAGTTTGAGTACTAATAAACAAAGCAAAGTCTGCTCACCTCCGAGAAACAGAAACAACCAGGATGCTCCCACTGCGGAAGAGGTCCTCGTGTGGCCTCACCCTTCGGCCAGCTGCCTCAAGACTCTCCTCAACGTTGCTTCTCCTGCTCAACATGCATTTCAATTTTTACAACAACCAGACAGCCACCGCCGTGATGCAAATGCCGGAGTCTTTTGAGGCAAATGCCGACTGGGAGATCAAAGAACGGTGGCAACGCGCCAAACCGTACATCAAGTGCCCCGTCTGCCAAATCGTGGTCCGGCACATGCTCGAGCAGGTGGAGGAGGATAAACTCGACCCGAAAGACGAAGACAAAATCTACGACTTTTTCGATTCCGTCTGCGACACCAACGGAATCGGCAAGTCGAAAAAGCCGGAGGACTTGCGGGCGGTTTTGGAGAGGGAATTGCAGAAAGAGAATGAGAAAAAGTTGCTAGAAGAAGCAGGGGGGGCTTCTGGAGGCGAAGATGACCAAGAAGAAACGGCCGGAGTTCGTGCAGCGACCAGCGACAAAGACGCAACGAAGTGGAAAACCGAAGAAGAACTGACCGTGGCGTTTCAAAATTTGCAAAACACGATGAAAATCGGTTCTCTCAGTGGAAATTTGATGGACAGCGGCAATAAAGATAGCGGGAATACAGGAGAGCAGGACACTACTGGTAATGCCAAGAAAACGGGGATGAAAAAAGATCTATTCACAGGAAATTTCTCGTACACGTACAGATGCGGTCTATGCATGACAAAACTTGGCCGCTTCGATGCTAGTTTAGAATGACAAGTTTTACGCTCCAAATTGATGATGAAATTTGTGATGCATGTTGTGCATCATGTACGGGAAATTTGTATTGCATAAGATCTCGACGATGACTACTTCCAAAACGACCCGGATGACCTTTTCGGGCGCTACCTGATCCTCGAAGTACCCGGTGCGGACTTCGACCTCGCAAATCCGAACTATGGCGTTCTCAAACGTTACACTCTCAACTGCTACGTGAATTTGTAATGCAAGCATGGCAAAAATGCAAGGGTGAAGATTGCGCCTTTTGCATTACAGGTTCGGCACAGATATAGATACTGTTTAGCCGTTTGTAAATTTGTCATGCGAAGCAGCTTGATGATAGTGATACTGATGAGAGTTTTGCATGACAAATCATGTAACAGTTGAAAATGTAACGTTTGAGAACGCCATACGAACCTCGACGAGCATGTGACCGACGGCCGCAGCACGAGCAAGGCCATATCGTACGCAAATAGTGTTTCACTGTAAGGATTTTGCAAGTTCTGCATCACAAGTTTGCTCTACATCACAGAGAAAATTTGCCATGCTAGATTCCTAAGGGAAAAGACAGCTAAAAATCCACTGTCTTGCAGCATGTGTAGCAAGACAAACACTTCTCAGATGCAGTTTCTGCATTAGAAGTTCACAGTGAAACAGTTTTTTCTTGCGATAGGTCACCAACACCATGCAATCAATCGAGTTCCGGCAACCGCACAAGAAGCACAAGAAAAACGCCCCGAAGTACTTCTACAAGGTCATCCGGAGAACACAGGGCAACGACCCGGAGATTGAAGAGCGGAAACTGATGATGAAAAAGATGAACGAGACAGACAGTGAGGGGTACAAAGTTCCGATCGGCCAAGGAAACAAATTTTGGCAGAAACACGCAATGGCCGAGGTGTGCACGGAATCGGTATGCAATGCAAAAGTATTGTCGCGCTCTCAGCAAAAAAATTTGCAAGGCGGAGGCAATTTGTTTGTTTACAGAAAACTTCAGCTTATCATGCGGATGTGAGGTCAAACTCAAATTCAGATAGCACATCTGTCGTGTTTAACTGCTAATGCTATCAGTACGAGTACGAGAGCGATACTTTTGCGCTGCATAATCGGTCAGGTCCAACGACGACAACCTGAAGGACGTCTTGCGAATGTACAGTTACGACGGGATCAGTCTGAAAAAGCGCCGGGCGCGGCAGATGCTTATGGAAAAGTTCCACGAGATTCTGTATCCATAGGAAATTTCCCGTACACGACGTACAACTGCTGTCTCTGCATGACAAAACTTTCCCTCAATCTTAGACAGCATGAGCATGACAAGTTTGACGCTCCAACTTTGCGAGCAGATCGTTATTTGTCATGCATTTTCGTACATGTTGTACGGTAAAGTTGTGTTGCATATTCTGGGGTACGAGTTTACAGAGGAGCCGATCGAAATAATCCCGCAGAACGACTATCAATTGCAAAAATGTTTCGGTCTGGAAGTTGGTAACTTGTCATGGTAAATCTGAAGCATACAAAAATCTGTGCTGCATGAGTGCCAAAAGCTGTCCACTTTCGACCAAGTTGGGAGGGAGTTTCTCATGCAGGATAGGCATGGCGGAGACCTCGCAGATGAGTCTGTCATGCTAAGTCCCGCACTCCAGACCTCGTGGGTAATGGAAAATCTGCATGACAAGTTTACACTCTTCCAGACCCAGACATTTTTGCACTCGATAACGACGTCGACCTGACAAAGGATCCTCTGGTACGAGGGCATTTACTCAACGAGGAGGAGAAAAACCGGAGCAAAGTATCGAGTGCAAATATGTCTGGGTCTTGAAAGTTGTGATGCATGTCAGTGAATTATAGGAAGCGCCCTTTCATGCACCGCCAAGCATGCCAGATTTTTCCGTTGCAACACTGTTTTGCGTCATCTGTATGAGAAGCAGCGTTTTCGTATGACAGACATGACGTCGCGCTCTTGCTGGCCACGCAATACAGAGCTCAGTGTCATGCCAGATTAGCATAACAAATCTCGCATTCTTCCAGACGATCCAGACATCACATTTGCAACGCATACAAAGTTATCAAATGTAAAAATGTCTGGGTCTGGAAGATTGCAACTTGTCACGCTAAATCTGCAGCGTGCAAAAATCTGTGTTGCATGATTACCAAAAGTCGTCTAGTTTTGACCAATAAGTCGGGAGGTAGTTTCTCATGCAGGATGGGCATTAGAAAGGTCTCGCAGAATCTGTCATGCTAGGTCCTGCATCCCAGACCTCATGGGTCATGGAAAAGCAGCATGACAAATCGCGAATTCTTCCAGACCCAGACATTTTTACACTTGATAAAAGTGAGACAAGCCGACTTGGAGAAGCGGGTGCTCACCATATCAAAAGGAAAAATCCCCCCTCCCCATATCAAAACGGAAATCTGTGATGCAGATTTGTTGTCACAAATCAGCTTTGTCATGCTACACGGGAAAAGATGCGGACTGTAGTGCTGGGTGGCGTGGGGGGGCCTTGCATCTTCAGCATGATAGGAGGCAGCTGAGAGTGGGAAACAGCATGACAAATTGCTTGCGAAAGGGACCACGACCGCGGCTCTTGGCCTTCTAGCATGACAAGTCGATTTGGTGCCTCAAATCCTGCATCACAGATTTCCATTTCGATATGGGGAGGGGGGATTTTTCCGTTTGATACACCATTGGCCAGGTCTCCCGGGCGTTCTGCATGGTCACGGACGTGTGCCCATTGATGGGCGATAATATGGCGGAAATCCGGTTTCGAAGCTTGCGGGATGAATATCCACAGAAAAAAGCCCATCCACATCCAATTTGTCCGGCAACAAAGCACGCATGAAGCCACGTGGTTGTCATGCAAAAAATGGACGTGGATGGTTTTTTTTCTGTGGATAATGAACTGTGATGCTGTTGACTACAATCGAGGGTAATCGTTGTAACGAGCAGATTTCGTAGCGGATCAGTGAGGGACGACATGTTTTGGCGCTTCTTTCCAAAATGAATTTATAGAGACGCGGCTGAATCCAAGATCTTCAGATAGAGAAGTTGTTGACCACCGAGACGGAAGTTTAAATGGCAACAAAAAATCGCTTTTGTTTGTCAATGCTATCGTTTTTTGCTCGAGAAACCTTTTTTGACTTGACTCTACTTGAAAAGAAATCTTCATCGATCTGTTTCTTGCACCACCTTGCTGCAGGTGCTTCGTTTAGAACTATCGTGACGAAAAGTCGCAGCCTTGTCGAATCTGTGTTGCTTATGCTCTGTATGATTTTTTTCGATGTTTTGCTCCTCGTGCGTTTTGTTGTGTGGTTTCAAAAAACTTCGGTGGTGATAGATGTTGTAGTCCGTTGTTTGCAACACAAGGAGCCTTCGTCTTCGTCATCCATGTAAAATCGTCATCGTTCCGAACTAATATCGTCGTTGTTCTACACCTTCTCGTTCCGTTTCGCTCGTACTAGTTGTCGTCCTCGTCCTCCTCGTTCTTGGCTGAAAGTCTTATCGCTCGTCCACTGTCAAGAAATCCACCGGTTCTGCTGTGACATTCAGCTCTACCAACGAAGATGTCTTACCCCCCATCAAGAAGTAGCTTGCTGCCCTCCTCCAATTTCCGTCTTTTTCCTGTACTGGTGTTTGTTCTTTCTTGCTGGTATTGAGTGCTAGCAGTGTGGGTAAAAAATCGCTCAATTGTATAGTTTTCCATTACATGTTCATGTAAAAGTCACTGCTAGTACTAGCTAGTAGTAGTTCTGCTAGCGCTCCTCCCGCCCCTGTCATGCTTATAATGCTCCAAGTTTAAGAACATCAATGGCTCGGCTCAACCACGATCTCTTGAGTATGTTCCTCAACAGGAGAGTGCCGCAGGGCTGGAGCAAACGCCTTCTCCTCGTCACTGTCGCCTTCCTAACGCAGTGGCGGCCCTCTAAGTGGCTCCAGTTCCACGACAATTTGTTGCCAACAGAGGATGCAACAAGCGATACCGACGGTGAGACGGCGTGGGGTAGAACAAGATCGTCGGGACGAATCAGAAACAGAAGCGAAAACGTCGTCGACTGCACCAGCTTCATATTTTCCCACGCGGTCGTTCTGCTTCCGCAGGAGCAGAGGCGGGGGTCTTCTGCTACATCAGTAGTTTCCTCGCAGAGAACTAAACGAAGAGCTCCTTCTAGGTCGAAATCAATAGAAATTTTTTCAAGAAGGCAGGGTACACCTGGAAGTACGACAACTGTTACTTCTGCCATCAAGAACACGAATGGGAATGCGAAGAGGGCCACGACGATCGGTTCACTCTTGCAGCAGAGCAGAGTGGAGAACGACAAGGATGTTGTAGATCATGAGCCGGGCCTACCAACACCTATGGATAGCGAGATGAAAACAAGCGTCAAGGTCAAACGACATCGCCAACAAGGTGCTCGTCCTACTTCCGATCGCAATCATCATCAAGAGCAGGAAGATCAACATCGGGGCCCCGCCGATGGAAGTCGTGGTAATAAACCACGTGATATTAAAGTAGATATTGAGCAGCGCGGCGGCCGCGGCAAACATAGAAGGATGAGCATCATCAAGGGCAGTACTACGCGAGGAGAAACGAAACCTGGGCCGCAATCGCAATCCTCCAGTGATGTTGGAAGTGAAACGGCTCCAAGCAAGAGACGTTTACTGCCAGCAGTAGCAGGAACTGGCGATGACCTGCCAGAGCAGGACTTCGCACCGCAAGAATCACCTGTGGAGGTCCAGAAGGTTCTCAGAAACAGTTGCTGTGGCGATGACGCAACAACAACTTCCGACGTCACAGCTGGTGCAGCTGGCTTTGGTGGTTCAGGGTTCCCAAGTTACGGTCCGAGCATCATTCTGGGTCCCGGCGGCGGCGGTATGACAACCTCAGAATGGAAATCCTCAAAGTGGAAGTGATTTGTAATGCAAAAAACGACTCCAGTTGAAGCGCCATTTCTAATCGGCGCATGACAAATTTCCCTGGCACTCAAAACATGTCTATCGTGCTAGTTCTTAGGGCAAAGGTGTGTCCTTCTCTCGTGCTAATCAGCAGCCCAATGCTGAACCCGTAGAAGCGCAATAGTCGGCCTCCATGGCGTCCTCTGCAATACAGTCTTTTCGGTGTCGCATTTCATGCATCACAAATTACTTACTTCCACTTTGAGAATTTCCATTGTGAGGCTTGCATAGGCGGGTGTGGCTGCGTGCTGGTGGTCGTGATCGCTCTCGCAGGCCTGCTGTTTGTCGCTCTAGCCGTTATTTTCATAATGGTGTGTGTCTGCAGAAAACACTTTTGCTGTATCGAACCTCCGGAGGAGGCGTGGTGTCGGGGCTGTTGTCCGGAGGGTGACGAGAAGAGGCACACGAGAAAAACCGCTAGTCAGCGAAAAACCCACCATCACCACCACCACGATCACGATCAGAAAAATTCGAGGAAAACGCGAGCCAGCTCCCGGACGACGCAGCTCCACGGGCAGCTGAGAGAGGAGCATGAAAGGAAAAGTGAGAAGCTGGTGATACCGCCGATAATTGTGTCCCCGATAACGCCGACGGTGAGGACAAGCACGAGGAACACGTATAATGTTGGTGGTGCGTCGCCGGGGGATAGGGATTACAGAGACTACAGAGACCAGACAAGCCATGTAGGAATTGCGACACACTTGTTACATGATCATCATCACCCGAATCACGAACACCGGCACCGCCCCCCAACGCCCTCACCGGCAAGAAGTCCGACAAGGGCGTCCTCAGTTGTGGTGTTGATATGCAATACAAATTTACGTGTATATGTACAAAATGCATCACAAATTGTACCAATTCGGAGTGTAACACTTGTCATGCTGAACTAGGATCGAAGCCCAGTTTTGTCATGCAGAGACCGCATTTGTACGTGTACGGGAAACTTACTGTGGACAGCTAACTGCGCACGACCATCATCATGACCCCCGACAGACCACAGCGAGTAGCAGGGCGACTTCCTCCGTTATACCATTGCACGGACCATTTGCTGACCGGAGCACGACTGGTGTAGTAGTTCCTAGGGGCACGACAGCGTCCGATAGATCTCAAGCGTCCAGTGTGTCGAGAGGCACAACCGGTTCGACCACCAATCCTAGGGCAACAGACCGCTCTTCTCGTCCCTATAGATTGTCTTCTCCCGGCACGACGACCGTAGGTGCACAAGGCGCGGCGTCTACACCGAAGTCCGCGGGGCACCGATATCACCACGATCTTCATCGTGGTAGGGGGCCGTCCCTAAGGAGGGGAAGGGCCGCCGCTGGAGAAGGGGATCACGGGATGAATCTTGGTGATGTTGTAGCTGCTAACATTTCTTCTTCTACCCTCACCGGCCTGACTTCTCTCCCGTCCAGCTACGCCCATCTGACAGCGCAGCTTCCGTCCAGCTTCGCCCATCTGACAACGCAGCTTCCGTCCAGCTTTATCGCCCCACCTGGCGGTAGCGAGGAGGTGGATGACAGTCATGTTACTACCGTAGTTAGTGGTATCCTGTGGAAATAAAACGCCACCAGCAGCAGCACCCCAGATTTCTTGTCGGGGTCATGGAAATTTGCATGATGCCGGCCGCGCCCTCGCCCAGAGTAGATATTCATGCGCAGGAGGCGTAGCCGCATTCATGAGGAACGTTTTCCAGCGGTGTTTTGGAATTTGTGATGCTATTTTCAGCATAACGTTAATGGGATCGATTTCTATGCAGCGACGTGGCCAAAGTTGTCATGCGCAAGAACGACAGGGAACTTGACTTGTGTAGCAAAGTCCCCATGACAAAGTACTTTAGATACTTCTGCCTGCGGGCGGTGGTGTTGTTTGGGGGTGTTTTCACTAAGCATAATTGCAGTGACGTCTTCGACTAGTAAGGAAAACGTCGAAGTAGATGCAGCGCTCGAGCAGGTACTAGCGCCGCATGACCGTAAGCCAAAAGATGCCAAGGAAGTAGGAAGCAATAAAGACGAGTTTTCTCTTGGAGGATCTTCATCTCAATAATTTGAATTTCTACTTGCATAAATTGAGATAGACGAATTGCGAGGACACAATATACAATTCTCATTCAACAAAACGAAGACGAGGAGTAAATCCAGCCGCGATTGGCTAGTATGCACGACGAGCATGATGTGTTGTTCATCTTTTGATTATCGCTGGATATTAGTTCTGTGCATGTATATGAATTTGTTCTTGTCAGTGCCTCTAAATCCTATTTCATCTTCACGCAGCTGTATGGTGTCGTCGGTCTCTCGTCGTTGCTCTTGCTCATGAGAATGATGACCTGCATAAAGTTAAAGAAAAGCAACTTCTCGTCGTGGTTATCTTCGTATAACCAAATAAAAACTTCTCCTCGTTCCACAACTTTCTGTTTCGTTCTTCATGATCGTACTTATCGTTCAACATGAAGAACAATGGCTTTCGTCCTCGTCGCGCTGAATAAGAATTTTTTTCCTACAACAAGTTGCAGTCGGGATGAACATGAAGTAGATGTGTGGTTTTTAATTTTGTCGTCACCTACGTCTGTCTCCTCTAGCTCGACGAAGGAGCATCACCCAATAATTTACTCACTCCATCATCTTATTCTTCAACAGGAACAGGGACCCTGAAACTGAAACTCTTTGGGATAGCATTTCTATTTCATTTCTGGAACCCAAAGCGTTTTGATTGTTAGCTACTACTTATTTAGTTGGAGCGCGATCTAATTGTGTGTTACAACGAACTGACCCGCAGTATACACTCCAGACCGCCGTGCGGTTCATGCTTGAATACTAGTTGTAGTTGTAATTGACACTTGAAGATTGCTTGAATGAATGTCGCGTGCGCGCCGGCGTCGAGAACAAGAATACAAGAGATGATGCTAAAAATCGCTTAATCGTCCTCTCGAGCTAAAGCATGATCATGCTGGCCACTACTACTACTTGCAACCACTTGCACGGTGGCGGCGGTCATCTACTTACTTCCCGAGGCGCTTTTCCTTTTTTCTCGTGGTCAACTTTTTTCGTGCTCCTCTTGCAGCCGCGCGGCTCCCCATGGAGGGTCGTGAGTGGACTCCAGCTCGACGCCACGATGAAAAAGTTGAACACGCACACCCTTTGGGCGGCGGGTAACCGCAAGAAGACCCCGACGCCGCCTCTAAACCAGGAGCGCGTGTACCGATATGGGTCCTCTTCCTACCCCGGAACAAGCGAAGTCGCGTACACAAACATCGGGTACGGTTGGTGCGCAGTAGAAGTTGTAAACAGCAAAGACGAGATACAGAATGCAGATGAAGACACCAGCGGCAGCGATAAACCGACCTCCGCAGGAGGACCAAAACCGCTCATGCACGCCACCTACATAAAAGACACCACCGATCCAAACGCGGGAATCGAGCTGTGCAGTGCCACGCCGAATTGCCCCGGGTATAACCGGTCATGGAACAAGGAAGGCGTCGAGGGGGAAGAGGGAAATAACGCGAAGTATAATTTCTTAATCCATCAACTCACTGTTGACACGGAATCCCTACCGAATACCGTTTTCGCCCCGGATGTCGGCAATTTGGAACAGTTCTGCCGGCCGTTCTTATCTAATTTTGCAGACGAGGGTTTGACCGGGCAGGAAATCGGAGAGAAGTACTGTGTTGAGCAAAACTATTGGGAAAATTTTCCCTGCATGGCGAAAACCAAAGGGTTCTTAGATCCCAGTGGAGAAGAACTTTCTAGTAATCACACGTCAAATGGCGGCGGATCGGGAGGTTCTTTGGGTAGTGACCACGAGGACGACCCTCCGGGTAGTGACCTGATAGGGGGAAGTCCGCAACCACAACCTGTACCTCCAGCGGCAAATAACGGTCAACCTGGGTCGACGTCGTCGGGAGGCAGCACATCAGAAATCGCAGACCTGCAAAAAAATAACGAGGAGGCGGGACCCTATCCGCGTGAGCAAGACAAGCAGGCTCCTCCTCTGGGCATCAACGGGACGATGATCACGACGCCTACACCGTATCTTACTCTGGCCCCGAGAGATCCGCCCTGGATAAAAGACTCTTGTAGCTGCTCCGAGGAAGAGGCGGAAGCGTTTTTGCAGGCGCAGACGGACGAAGACGTTGCGAGAAGGACGACCCTAGTTCTTGCAGGTGATGTTGACCACGATGTCAGGGCTTCTACTTCCTCTATAGGCCACGATCTTCGGGGCCGGCACGGAGTCCTTGCAGATGTTGAAGATAGCAGGTCCGCAGCAGGAGTTCCTGCTGATGTTGGAATTACGAAGAAGCACGGCTGCGCGGCGTGTCTTCAGCAGTTGCTGCTCACAAGAAATTCCGAGGTCGAAGAGGACCCAGCAGAAGCCAATACAGCAGGAGATCAGCGGAGCGGCGTACTGTCCTCTTCGCAGAGCGAAGCGGAGAAAGTACTGCAGCCAGGTCGCGTGCTTATGGTCTAGTAGACGGACCGGGACAGTTTACGTTTTTCATGTGCAACTTTAATTTTTTCCAAGTGCAACCACACCAGGAGGAAGATGAACTGCAGCTCCTCATGACTTACTTAGTGCTCCTCATGACTTACTTAGTAAGTCATGAGGAGCTGCTGCTGCAGTTCATCTACGAAAAAGGACCCTTGTTTAGTAAACAATTACGAAATTTCGAAATAAAATGCATAATTTCAATCTCGACCGCGAACTCAACATACTCACGAAACGTATGTTGGACCGATTTGAATTTATCTGTTTTCTTTGGTATGGGCCAGAAATTGAAGGCTACTAGTAGCAAAAGTCGGTGTTTGTCGAAGAAGGTAAAGTGTGGAGTTTCGACCGTCGGTTGCGGTTTCTTTTAGAACGACCGCTATTTTCACAGCTTCTTCGATTTCATCAATTTGGTATCATGAGTCCTCTTCCGGTTTCGGTTATTGCCCCCGTCATGATCTACTTCTGCTTTCTGCCATCACAGCCATTACCATTAGCTCGGTTCGTTCTCCCCCCTCCGTTTGTACTTCTTGAGATGAAATATGGGTGCTGGCGAATTAATTCGGTAGTTTCTACTTCGTCGGCTCAACCGCTTGGTACTGAATCTATCATATTCAGCATCTGCTACGTTTTCGTTTTTGGCGTAAAGTAGTACGAAGTCGAAGCAGGAACTCCTACGAGGACCTTCTAGCCCCATCGGTCTTTCATGGTAAGGACCACTGTTTGTGGCTCGGTTTCATTTTCGTCGAAAAAATTGGTTTCATCTCATAACCACATCTTTACCGTCCGCTTCGGTGATAGATTTACTACTGGCGCCTGTTGGTGTTGTTGTTTCTGCACGTAATTTCTTTTGACTATGGCATACTAGATTTTCGTTCCATGATGACGTATCGTCGTCGTTTGCTTGAGGATTCGCATTCGTTTCTTTTCTTTCCCAACAGCATCAACATATTTCACGACGACACTATCAACCCCGTAATTAAAAATTCGTCTGGTTCTCATTTATTTCCCAATGTAGTCAACAAGCAGTTGTATTCTTATTGTTTTCTAATACTTCTTTCCCCAAGTGAAGTGTTGGATAACAAGAAAGAAAATCCGGAGAAGAATGGAGCAGCCGGTTCGCAGCAGTTCTTCCATGACCTTACCGCGGCCCCCGCGGCCCCTGAGGAGGACAACCATGAAAGTGTCGTCTTTTGTCTGCTTTGTGATAGCGGCAACGACGTCGTTGACCTCGACCTCGTCCACCGCCTTCTGGGGCAATTATTCTTTTCTGGCCGCGCACGCGTTGAAGTAGGTGAACGTGAATGTCATGAACCAGCAACTACACGAGCAGAATAAGGTCCACATCGACCTTGCGAGAACATTATGCATTGCAAAACTATCGTACTAGTATAAATAGCAAGACAAATAATGCCAAGAAGAAAAGTAGATTGTGTAATGCTGCTTTGCCTATAGATCGGAGATTTGTCATGCGTCACTGCAATTACTACGAAGACGATACTTTTGCACAGGATAAACATTCCGAGAATCTCGTATTGGACAAGAAGCAAGCAAATCCGGCTCGCAGATGTCCGCGCCTGAAGATGATGAGCCGTGCTTTCGAAAGGACGGGCCCGGCAAAGTCGTCTATCGATTCCGCAAAAGAAGTAGTATCGTACTTCTACAAGAATGGTCTCGTTCGTGGAAGAAGTACTGTTCTCGTGCCTAAAAACATGTTGATAAATCTGGCCTCTTCGGTCTCAAGAACAAAATGTTGTAAGATGGTGCAAAAGTTTTGATATACCCAGCGTAGCACCAAAGTACGATACTACTTTTGTCATGTCCATACTTTTTGCATCATTGGGATTCACTTGGGTGTGTGTTGCTTGACTGCCTGTATTATTTCCTTTTTTGTCTACGGGGGCGCGCGCATGGGGAGCAGTGTGGGCGGTGGTGGTGAAGGTGATGGAGTTTCAGGCGCTACTATAACCCCGCAATCACCCCCTCTCGTGGACGCCGGTGGGTGAACTTATTTTGCGACAAATGCCGCGCCGGTCAACTACACGACCATGACCACAACAACTCCCGCCACTGCAGCTGGGACCAACAACAACATCCGGCCGAAACAGCAGCTGTATCAACCAGGGAGAGCCACCACGTCGACGGCGCCGGCGGATGGAGCTCCTGTGTACGCTGCAAACAATCGACCAAGAAGATCGTCGCGAGGGCGGCGGGTCTCCGGAGTGGCTGCAGCAGGGGGGCAGCAGCAGCTCGCGTCGACATTCATCAATACTCCAGTGATGTCGGGAGCAGCGCCAGCTGGTGCTGGGCAGCTCGCGTCGACATTCATCAATATTGATATTCCAGTATCGACGGGAGCAACGCCACCAGCAGGTGGGCAGCTCGCGTCGACATTTATTGATGTACCAGCATCGATGGAGGGGCAGGAGGACGAAATAAACTTGAGCTAAAGTAGTGGAGAAAACTCATCTTCATGGCGGGCCGCTGCCGGGAAGATTTTTCGATGCAAGACACGAGATTATTGATGCACGGGAGTTCATCTAGTTGTAGTTCTCCCTCGGCCCACCACCCGAAACGGCTTCTGCTTTCCATTCTTCTGCTGCTCAGATCAAGGAGCGGATGATATTTTTGTCCCCCTTTCGTACTATCACTTTAAGTCGTACTAATATCTACTTTGCAACTCGATCTTGAACTTTTTTTGTTTATTTTGAAGCCAGTTTTGTTGTTGATTTGAAAAAATAAAGATCTTTTCTGATTGTCGATTTTTCTACTATGTACGTAGTTTTCAACTCCTGCGATAAGAAGTATTTTTTTTTTCGCCTCCAAAAAATGATTTCTCATCCTATTTTACTTAAAGAACAATCTATTGACGGCACTTCCACAACACGATGTGCATATTGAAGATTCCATTCACAGTACTGTATACTACATTGGTTTCGTTTATAATTGTTTCCCTTTGTGCTCGCTAGAGCGGCGTTTTGTTGGTGATGTTCGTACGTCTCGGTTAGTAGCTTCCGAAGGAACCCTGTCTGCTATTCCTCCTCTTTGTTGAAAAATGATTCGGTGCGCTATTTACATTTGCATCAAATTGAGAAACCTTTCAAACCCAAATTGTCTGCTCGTCGGTAGTTGTGATGTGGTTTGAGTACCATTTCTTGCAGGAGCAATAAAATCGGTTCGTGCCTGATTCTACTTGGTGGTAGGTCGTATGCTAGTCGAGGTTTTTCTTGATGTAGTAGGTCGGTTTTCATACTACTTGGACTAGTCCGTGCGTAGCCCTTGTCCGGTCTGCTCGGTTCGACGACGTCCCGCAGATTTTAGCTTGGACTTCTCTACCTAGTGCTGTCGGTTATTATCTACTTCTTCGTGCACCACGACAGTACATGACACTGGTGAAGAAAAAAGCTTCATCTCGTCCAGAAGTCGCGTACGCTCGGGGTCAACGTGCAAAATAGATCGGTAACAACGTACAAACCGTACTAAGAGCGCTTTGTTCCTCGTGCTGGTGCGCCCTCTACTCCTACTTCGTCCCAATATTACACTTTATCGTCCCGATGTTGGTCTTTATGAGTAGAGTCAGGATGGTGCACATAGAGTCGTCGGTTGAAGGGAATTCTTATACGGAGAACAAGATTTTAGAAATGCGCTCCAGTTCATCTTGTGGTTGTGCCGACGACTGTACATACTCATACAACTATTCCAAATAACTTTTACAGGAAAGGCATCGAAGGAAACAACTCTTCCAAAACCACCCCAAGAACGAAACAAGGTTTACAAAGCCCGTGTTGTACTTTTCTTAGTACACAGAAAAAGCAAACACTCGACAACTCGAAATCGGCAAACAAACTGCAAGAACAACTTCTTCTCTCTCGGTTTTTAACCAAACAGGAAAGAAGTTCCTCAACAAGAGACCACTTCTCAAAGAACTCTACAACCATGGTGCTCTCTTTCATGATCTCCAAGAAGCTGATCGCGGGGCTCTTCCTCGCCCTGGCGGGGGGCTTCTTGACCACTTCGGCGTATGGAAGCGTCAGAATTGAAATCGACAAAGTTGAAACAATTTCTCATGCACAAATTGCGAGGCATGAGGTGCCTCTCTTGCAGGGATGGCAAGTCAGTGAGGCCGACTTTCAGCCTGTTTGGGGTCTGCGATAGAGCTGCCAGAGTAGCATGACAAAAGACGCCCTCTGTCCCTAAGCAGCATAACAAACTGGATCTAGGCACCACCAAAATTTGTCATGCGTTACTGGGAAACTGGGTTTCAACTGGCATCCATTTTATGCATGCCAAACTATTTCAACTTTGACGATTTCGATCCTGGCGCTTCCATACGGCGACCGCGTTCCGTATCCGCATGGACGTCGTCAACAAGCAGCAGTATCGGCTGTCCATATCCTGTGCAAAAGTATCGTACTCGTAGTAATTGCGTTTATGCATTACAAATCTCATCCCCAAGGTAAATCAGCATTACAAATCTGATTTGTAGTGCTGGGCTAATTTGTAATGCAATTTATACTAGTATGATGCTTTTGCATTGCATAGTCCACTACGGAAAGCGAACACACGAACGTCGCGGTTACCACGACGAAGAAACTCGGTTTGTGGGAGTCCGTGATGACTGCCATCGGTGCGAAGCAGCGGCCGTTATGTACTGCAAACATGTTGTCGTTGGTTGGGAGGTTCTTCTTGTTGTGTGGGTTTGATGATGTAATGTTGAGAAGTTCTTTGGAAAGGATGTTGTTCTTTATTCTCTTGTGAAGTCTGTAATGAGTATGAACCCTCTCATTCGCGTTGCGCTACTTCTTTGTCAGGCAAAAGTCACGCGATATGTCATGTGGATTTTTACGCACTTCAGCACCGCTCAAATATTTTTTTTCATTCTTGGCTGCGTGGCAAGTACACCTAGTCAGTTCAGTTGAGCACTCGTTTTTTTATTTTGAGCATGACAACTTCCTAGAGGTAGAGCCAGAAGATGACCCAAATGACAACTACGTGTTTGCATGTGATCAAATGCAGCGGTATCCACAGTAAATTTCCTGTACATGTACAAATGCAGTCTCTGCATGACAAAACTTGCCTTCAATCCTAGTGTAGCATGACAAGTTGGACACTGCAAGTTAGCGAAATTTGTCATGCATTTTGTACATGTACAGGAAATTTACATTGCATAAGCGGGCGAAGGCGGGGATGATCAAGGCGCTGGAAATGGCGCTGACAACAAGACCGACAACAAGGACGCAGCGGATGCCGCTTGTATCCTGTGTAAAAAGCTACGTTCCCGACACCGCCCCATAGCTAACATAAGAATTCCGCAACACAAATCCAGAATTTTTGGGAGGGCCCTCCACGCATCATGGGAGAAGTTTGAGTGATGTTGTGCCGTGTAGTAAGTAGATGAAGTCGCGCACCTCCACCCTAGATGGAGCTTCTTCTAATGCGGCCGCGTCACAAATCCAAATCGATTGCCCCACTAAGATGGTCGGTGGAGCGTGACAGGAGCTTCTTTCCAGTGCTATCAAATGGGACTAGAAAATGAGAAGTCGCCTGGCAAGCTGCGTCAGTAGAGTCAGAGATGTTCATGCTCTGGGCATCAAAAAGAACATTAGCATGTAGATTTGCATAAGCATAAAGGTGGAGATATGATGGGGTCGTTGGGACGTAGACGCTTTTTCTCAGGATAGCTTGCGGCTGCTGCTGCATCACGATGATTATCATTTTCGCGGTCCTTATCAAATGTAAAAATGTCTGGGTCTGGAAACTTGTGATGCTGCGTTGGGAATAGTGAATGCTCTGTGTTGATGCACAGCCAAGCATGAGAAATCTCTGCGCTTCTTTGTGTTGCGTTTTTCGCATGACAAACTGCGTTTTTGCATGACAGGCAAAAGGGTCTCTTCTTGGACACGCATCACAAACTTTTTGGTCATGCCAGACAAGCATGACAAGTGTCGCAATCTTCCAGACCCAGACATTTTTACATGTGATAGTCCTCCTGCCCCTCATCATCACCGGGGTGGTGGTCTACTTCATCTTCTTTGCCGCCGCAGCCGGGGTCAAAGCAGCGTCGAAGTAAAAACTGCTGGCGCATTCATCTTTACTACAGCCATGTATGACCGGAAGATGAAATGAATTTAACGCAGAAGAAGATGAGGATGACTTTAAGGGAAACTTCTACAAGCAAGTACTCAAGCACTTTGTGTCATCAACAACATGTCGCCGGATCAATCAAGAACTTCTGTAGCATCTATCGATTTATGCATAGTATGCTTCGGATAAAAATACTGTGGTATTTACTATCCTGCAAAGATTTTGATTTTTGAGTATTTGTCCCAGGCCCTAAATACGTAACTTATCATGCGCGGAGAGCCGCTGCCGCACTGGCACTGGAAGAGATATGGTGTGCAAGTCACTTTTTTGGACGCCACATCTTCTCCGTTTTGAAGAATTCTTTCTGTAGTTGCGATCACGAAGAAGTTTCCATGTGGTTCTTGCATTTTGATTTCATAACTTTCGTTCGAGAAATTTTGCTTCATAAAAAAAACGGCTTTGAGTAGTTCTTTGACGACGACATCACAACAAACTCAACTAACGACCCTTTCCACGAGCTCCACTAAGCTATTGACTGTGACCTTTGTTCACATAAGTATCTCATGTCTTCTTTTTACCTAACTCCTTTTCAAAATTAAGAGCTGTTGTACACTATTTTTCTTCAGTATTTTTACACTAATGACGGAGATTTATTCCTATCTCCACCCTTTTCGGAAAACCACGAGAATCGTTCTGATCGTCCACGTCATTCTCGTGGGTCTGGCCTTTTTTGCACAATAAATGTCATCCCCCATTCAATTTGTAACTCCTAAAGCTACGACGGACCACACAAAAAATTTGGTATTTCGCATTGTCCTGCTCCTACACGCAGAGCCCCTTTCGGCAGGTCACAGGTTGCAATTGTTCTTCCTGTACCAACTCCAACAGACGAAAAGTTGTTTGCACTTCATTAGAGGTCGTCTTCCAGCACATCCATAGAACAACTTACCTGCCCTTGTGCTTCGGTCGTTCTTTCGCAAAACATTATCGATTTGATATCGGTCGGGCCTTTAGAAGTAGAGCTCCTGCAGGTGTCGCATTCATAAAGATTCTCTTCGGTCTTCCATTCGTTCCTATGTCGGTGTGCTCGTTCACATTTTCAAACCAATCGCACCAGACGTGCAGGCCCGACGTCGACGGCTCGTCGCGTTGGAAATGACATACATCAGCAGACGGCAGGCAGCGGTAGGGCGCGGGCAGCGGGTTCTCTGGAATGCGCGTCTCCGCGTTGCTCTTCGGCGCGTTGTCTTGCAGGGGAAAAAGGACGCATTGCCCTTCATGGGCGACATGATGCGGGAGTGTCTGGACAAGGATGCGACGAAAGGGCTAGGGAAGCGGTTTTTTCTTCTTCTACTCTAATGCACTGCCTCAAGAGGTTCCTGGCCGGTTCGGGGAAACCTTCGGCCAGATTTTTTGGGCAACCCGTTTGAGGTGGTGCCCCAACGGGGTGCTCCAACGGGGTGCTCTGTGCTGCTGTGGCGGATTTTTGGGGGAAGGGCATAGCATCGGCGGAAGGGTTCCCCAAAAATCCGCCACAGCAGCACAGAGCACCCCCTGAAGGTGTGCACTTGTCTGGTGTGGCGGATTTTTGGGGAAGCTGCTGGCCCGTAAGGCCGAAGGCGGGAAAACCGCACCTGGCAGCCTCTGGGGGCCGCATCGTTTTCACTCGTTCACATTTTCAAACCAATCGCGCACAGTAACTTACAGCTTGGGCACCTGTTAAATAAGCGGCCGCGTAAGCTCTTTGTAATTGGTGCGTATTTCGCGTCTCGGATAATTTCACGAACAGTGCAGTGCACACCCTGAAACTTTCCCCAGGGTCGCAATATTTGGCAGCTTTCGCGCCCGCCGGTCGCAAGAACAAAAGCGGGCCAGCGATCCATCGTGGGTTGGCGCAGCTTTTGTGGCAGCGCCTTTTCCGCGGATCAAACGGGCGCGCGAACGCGATCGTGTGGGCGACGCCTCTGGCACTCCGGGCCGGGTTGGGGAGGAGGTGGGAGGACGGCGGGC